CGAAGAACTTCCTTGACGTGTTCTTGATGTTCTTCTGGCGTATCAGAATAGATCAGAATGTCGTCTAAATAGACAATGACGCAAACATCGAGCATGTCAGAGAAGATGTCGTTAACAAACCACTGGAAAGCCGCAGGGGCATTCGTAAGGCCGAACGGCATAACCTTCCATTCGTAAGAGCCGTAACGGGTCCGAAAGGTGGTCTTCCATTCATCACCTTCAGCGATTCTGACTAGATGATAAGCGTGAGCAAGATCCATTTTGGTGTATATTTTAGCTCTTTTCGGAGCGTCGAGAAGATCTGATATGAGTGGGAGTGGGTAACGATCCTTTTTGGTGATGCGATTGAGTCCACGGAAATTGACGCAAAGGCGAAGTTTGCCGTCTTTCTTTGGGACAAAAAGGACTGGAGTGCCGTGAGGAGAGGATGATGGGGTGATGGCACCAGTATCCAGCTGTTTGTCAATAAAGTCTTTAAGGGCGATTAACTCCTTTTCAGACAAGGGATAAATACGGCCAAGAGGCGGCGAAGCGCCCTCTTCCAAGTCAATCTTCAAGTCGTAAGGTCTGTGTTCAGGGAGTGAGTCTGCAGCAATCTCGTCGAAGACGTCTGCAAACTCAGCATACTCTGCTGGGATGGAAGGAGGAAGTGGAGGGACAGTAGGAGCGGTGGAGGAGCGGTTGGCGGCGCGGGCCGCGACCTCTGAGTGGATAGCACAAAGAAGAATAGGTTCCATACCAGTGTCCTTGCAAGCCCTATTAAAGACTGCAGCACTGACAAGTGCAATGTCGACCTCGGGAGTTTCCAGCTGAGCAGCGAATTGAGAGACCGTAGGATAAGAGTAGATGGGTTCAAAGGGAAATTTGGACGAAAGGGGCTTGGCCCGTGAAGTCCGAGAGCGGGAGCGAGAGCGAGAGCAAAGTGAGTCCCCGAGAGGGGTCTCCAAAATTGTCGGTAAAGCCGATGGCGAAGGTTCCGGTAGTGGAACAGCAACCTTTGCATCAACGGGGTTGATAGCAGAAGGCACAGACGTCTGTGGAGAATCAAGATAAATTCAGTAGTTAATGATATTACAAGAGAGCGTTCAATAGAAGAAGGAGCGGACGCGTTGAGATATAACTCCCCAGGTGAGGTACAAACCTGATCAACGCAGCTCCTGTTTCGTACCGGGGAACAAGAGCTGCGGACTAGTTTTCCGAATCCTCTTCCACAACCTCAATGGTTGCTTCGGGGGTTTCTTCAACCTCGGCCGCACAGCCTTTTGCTTATTGCAGTCAGCAATCTGATGCTTACCACCGCAGAAGAAACAGAGATTGTTCTTCATACTTCTTTCCCATTCGGAGGGAAGTACTTTACCATCTGCTCCTAGATGGTTGAACGCGGGGCGCTGACCGCCAGATTGGCCGGAATTCGAAGAGTTCTGGGGCTTACCACCAGAGAAGGGTTTAGGTTTTGGCGTGAACGGCGCCGACGAGCCCGAAGGCTGAGAATTGTTGTGCTGGTTAGTAGAACTAGTCTTAAAGTCCGAGGAACCCTTCTTCGGGTTCCGAGCAATGAAAGGCTTACCAGCCTCATGCTTCCAATATCGATTGTCAATATGAAAAACTTCTTGACGATAATCGGCGAGCGTCACCGGCGCAGGCAAACGCGCCATTTCATCCTTGATACCTTCAGCTAAACCTTGTCCATAAGCCCACTTCAGGGCGGCAGAATCCCAGTTGGTACTAGCAGCCAGGATGTTGAACCGGATGTTCTTGGTTTCCTTCATCTTCAGGTTACCGAGAGAATCTTCGGCTTCGCCTTGCGCGTCGTAAACGCCGAAATTGTCCTGTAGCTCCTTTACAAGGGCCTTGAAGGACAACGTCCAGGCCAGCAGCAAGTCGAGATCCGGGTCGAGGATATCAGGGACAAACCATTCCTTGGCTGACCCACTGAGATAGGAAAGGGTATAGTTCACCTTCCGCGGGTCGGTGAAATACTTGGGACGGTCATTGAAGACCAGTGTTACGATCACTTCTTTTTCATCTTATCTTTCTCCTTATCCCTTGTCTTATCTTTTATCTTTTGTCTTATCTTCTATCTCCCTTATCCTATATCTTGTCTTATCTTGTCACCTGACCTATTATTTATGCTTACTGATACAACATGCGCTTTTCATTTACTTATATTAAACACAGCAGTCTCACAACACGTATACAGCATGGCGATCGAGCTTTCATTACTTACACATTGCTTTACTTATGTTTTACTCATGTGTACCACTAACCCAGGGCGTTGGGCATTACTAGGGCAGAGGGTTGTTCACTAGTATATAGGCTGTAGCTACTTGCTGTATTTCCTTAGCTTTGATCTCGTCTATTCTACCTGGTTTAGTCCAGAACTTTGCTTACTTCCTTTATTGCTCCGTTGCCTGAAGTTTTCTTGAGTGTGACGCCTGGTGACACCTGTTACTAGAACCAGTCGCTGACAACCAGGGCGAGATTGACGAAGAATGTCTTGAGTTTTCGGGGGTCCGAACCGTCGAATACCTCTGGCTCCTTGACCTTGCTCTTGGATTCAGAGCTGTCAGAGGGACGGCTGAGTGCGGCGAGAACGGTACCAAGGGTCTCAATGGAGCCCTTGAATCCTGAAAGGAGTTCCAACATAGCACGTTGCTCATTGGGGATGTCAGGAGAAATTGGGGAACGAGGTCCACCAGGTCCACTGGGGTCACCAGGCTCACCACGCGGTAAACCGCCGGAGTCGTCGTCCAGATCGTCATAATTGTTGTCGGCGCCCAGATTGTCGGGGTTGTCAGCGACTGGTTCTAGTAACAGGTGTCACCAGGCGTCACACTCAAGAAAACCTTAGATGGCGGAGCAATAAAGGAAGCAAGCAGAGTTCTGGGCTAAACCAGGTAGAATAGACGAGATCAAAGCTAAGGAAATACAACAAGTAACTACAGCTTATATACAAGTAAGTAACCCTCCGCCCTAGTAATGTCCAATACTCTGGGTCAGTGGTAAGCATGAGTAAAACATGTGTGAAACAGATAAAACCTAAGTAAAGCAATGTGTAAGTAATAAAGACTCGATCGACATGCTGTATGCATGTTGTGAGACTGCTGTATTTAATATAAGTAAAATGAAAAGCATATGTTGTATCAGTAAGCATGAACAATAGGTCAGGTGACAATGTAAGACAAGATCAGACAAGATAAGGAAAAGATAAGATGAAAAGAAGTGATTGTAACAGGGGTCGACAGGAGGGTCTTGATCATCGTGATCACCAGTATCCAAATCGAAGTGAGGAGGTGGGTCACGAAGAGATTCAGAAGCAGCTCTTCGTTGGGGTTGTTTACCCGTACGGCGAGCAATGGCATGGGGAATTGGAGAATCAATTCGAGTAGTTGAACGGCCCCGAGCCAGAGCGACCACGGGGGGTTGTCCACGGCGAGGGGTCAAGACTTGGACAGGTTGTCCATCACCAGTGTACAAAGTGCTGTACTCAAATTGTTGTTCTTCTTCCATGGCTTCAGGAAGAGTTGACGTAGTAGGGACTGTCGCTGGACCGAAACCGCGATTACAGCGACGTGGTTGACCAATGGCAGAGATAGAGTCGGAGAAAGGGGCAAAGGACTGGGCTGTGGTGAAGAAAGTATTTTCTTCGGAGTTAGCTCTGGATTGAGCTCAAGTTTTTGGAGGCATAAAAAATGATATGTCAGTACGACGTTAACGGATTGAGTTTAATTATACTGTTAAGATCATGTACACCGTGAAACCGTGCCAAGGTCACAAGGTGTCTAAGTGCGGAAGACGAGTGGGACAGTAGTGAAGTTATTAACAACACCGCCGTTATGCCGTTAGTCCCCGGAGATCGAGAGTAGAGAAGGGAGGAGCTAAGTAGCAGCCAGGTCGGAGCGGCAGTAACGCCGGTGACGAGGAGCAAGCCAAGGAACTTATAAGTCCAAAGGCTATAGAGAGAGTACTTCAAGGCAATGAGCCTGAAGACTTAGAGAAGAGCTGGGTTGAGAAGGGAGATCTAAGTTGATAATTAAGCTGAGGAACTACAGTAGCGTACAAGCAGTATTTATATCTATGGAGCGGCGCAACGGTGCGGAGCGCCAGACTAACTACTAGGAGTTATACGTGTAGTCCTGCAGGGTAAAGTAAAAGACAATAAGGAGGGACTAGAATGAAAGGGTATGTATAGCGAGAAAGAACAATAAGGAAAGATTACAATAAAAGGCAGATCTTCGGGATACCGAGCGGCGAAATGGAGGCCCGAGGCATGGGCTTGACAAGATCTTGGAATACCGAGTGGTGAAACAGGGCACCGAGGCATGGACTTGATATACAGGACTGGGACAGATGATCAACCATTTTTCACCTTTTCATTCTTTTCATTCTTCTCCTCACTCCATTCATTCACCTCTCAATCACAGTAATGTTCCACCACTTCCGTCTTTTCCTTCTGCTCAGACAATTCCCAAATCTGTTTCTGAAACTTGGCACCATCGTATCATTCCTACATTCCAAAACTTGACTCATAATTTTACACCTCAGGATATTTTTAATTACCATCCTCTTCCTTCTGCTCCCACACCTTCATCAAATATCTTTCTACCTGAATCCTACACTCCAATCAGTTCTTCTCAATTTTTGTCTATGAACTACATACAATCACCTGTTTTGGTCCCACCTGCATCCATTTGTCTTCCATCCCAACATAAGTCAAAAGGATTTTAAGTCATTGATTCAAGGCTGGCAAATGGCGGATTGAATATATTTCTACATCAGTACAAGATCTGGTGGATAAGGCCAACTTCCCCCCTACAAAAACAGATGAAACATTCTTGTAAGGAGCCTTACCTAAAGGTTCAGCAATTACATATTTAAACAGTGCCGGCCAGCAGCAGGGCCCACTACCTTGTTAGTTGCAAAGGTCCAGGATGTTGGCTTATAAGTAAAATTCTCCTGCAAAAGCCACTCAAAACTCTGTTCTTCACTCTTCTTGCAGGAGGAGGCCAAAACAGGATAATTTGTCAGCTACAGAAACTTGTCAAGGTTACAGAATTAAACATTGATTACAAAGGTGAAACAAAGGGAGAACCCAATCAATGTCAACATCAAATAAATAAAAGTTGAATGACTAAAATTCGGTGAATAAAAGCACATGGTAGGACATTTGATGGCAAAATCAAAATGTTGGGTCTACAAAACCCTTCAACCTCTAAAGAGGTAGCGGGAATAAGGAAGTACTGAGGAATCTACATGTGGTACATGATGTCAGTGCACACTAAGCATAGACTAGAATAACACATGACCATATTAGAAATGCAGAGGTTTAGCGCCTGAGACCCAGCTTAGCCGTCCGCAACAAATGTTGCTCTCGTAGAAGACTCTGCAATGAAAGAATGAAAAAGTTAGCATTTGTTGTAATAAGTATCCACCTACCCAAGGCTTGTATAGATTGCAGGGAAGAATATCTATAACCTCTGAGAGAGGTGTGTCCATCGATATCATGATTGGCTTAATTTTTTCGAATAGCTCCGTGCAATTATGTCTTACAGAGAATTCAAGAATTTGCTTTGGATTCGTTTTAAAGAATTTCCTGTACTTGGGTTGTGGGAGTTGTAGTAATAAGCAAATTAGCTCCAACTCACCGTAATTCAGCCTCACATGCATATACAGATCCCGTAACTTCATACTTCTCCGCTGCCTCTGCGAGCGGCAAAAGTGAGTCAAAGTCCAGGCTCTCCAAGGAAGGGATTCGACGAGGATAGATGAACTGGAAAAGAATTTCCAATGTCGCTGCGGACTCCGTGAGACGAACGATCTCATCCGTATGAACAGGTGTCCCGGCAGGGGGGAAAGCGCCAGTCGTGCATTCAAGGTTTTTCTTGTGAAGTCGGAACTCAACATTGTCAGAAGAGCGAACCACGACATCGGCGTCGGGTGCGTTGACTACCATGCGTCATGTTGTATATGCACAAGTGGATCAAGAGCAAGCAGAAGAATAACAACAAGGCTAGTGTGAGTAGTGTGACAGAACCTACGATATAGAGGCGACTCAACATAGATCGTGTATCATCACCATACAGGAATTGAAGAAGGGGAAGAAGTGAATCTGTGGGTCAAGATTGCTCATTTTATATCAAAGCCTCGTGTTCAATTGTCTATGTACCCTCTTTAGCCGCAAGCCTGGACTGTTCTCAGGCTAAGGCATTTGTGCTTGCGTAGAAGGTAAGGATAAGTCGACGTAGGGATCAGCAGAATTTTATCCAAGTATCGACCAAGTCGTAACGGACGATGCGAACCAACAGGCTCTTTCCAATCTTGACAATCAGATGGAGGACTATAGGCAGGAAAAAGCAGGGAACACAGATTTGCGGGACAGAAAATCCTTGATAAAGCCCGTCCCGCAGCGGAAGCCTCTAGTACAAGTTTGATGTTGATACTCAGTCAGGAGCGTACAAACCGGAATTCGATTTGACGAAAGGCTTGGAATTCAGTCTATCTGGACACAAAGACAGTCATTGAGCGAAAAGGCATTTATTCCGGGAGATGACAATACCTTTTCCAAAGTAATTGTGATTCCAAGCATCTGATTCCTTGCGCAACGGTATTCACCTACTAGGAATGGAACTAGGCCTGTCATACGAAAAGCTACCAAGAATTATTCAATTCGGGATGGAACAAGCATTCGATGTTAGTTGGTCAACGAGTTCGAAGATCTTCATGAATCCCTTTGATACATCCAGGCGTCGTATCTCGGCGCCGTCATCGGAATGGACAAGTCTGAAGCTGCAGAGACAGAGTCAAACGGAGCAATCGTTATACAACTAAATAATATAAATCACATATCCTTAGAATACAAAGCCCAAACCGCGGACTAACGTACATTGCACATAATCATGCTACCGAGAGGGTAGGTAAGGTTTATCATTCTTCCACTGATCGTCTTCGTCCTCGTCTTCATCAGTCATCTGTGCTCTCTCTTCGTTCTCCTCTTCTTCATTAGGTTCGGCCTCGCCAGCTTCTGCCATAACCGCATCCTCGCCTCTCCCATTAGCTTTCTTCTCCGTGTCCTCCTCCGACTTGACCTTCTTCTTTCTCTTCTTCGGTGCAGGAGCTCCATCTTCACCGTTTGCTGAGGCAGCCTTCTTCCCTTTTGAACGTTTCTTCTTTGACGCGTTTTCCGCATTGAGTGCATCCAGATCAATTGTGCCACCAGCAGAAGGATCCGGAACGCCTTCGACGATTTCTCGGAGGAAATCAAAAGTGTCTATTGTTTCGACGGCATGTTTTCTGCAAGTAGATGGATGATGAATGAGTTATTCGCTTGAGTTCATAAGAGAAAACTCACAAGTGATACGCCTCCACCTTCTTGGATCCTCTTTCCAACGTCACTTCGCCTGCTTTCTCAACGATCAGAGCAAGGAACATTTCCAGCGCCTTCGCTGCGAACATAGTGATTACATTTATGATATGGAAAAGCCTCACATCTTGTTCAAACTCACATATAACTATCGGTGTGGCTTGAGCTACCTTGCCAACATCATCGTCTTTCTGCATAATTTTCTTTATTCTAGCCTAGATGGACATGAGAGGTTTTCCTGTAAAAGCAGTGCGGAAAACGCACAACAGGAAATTTTGTTTGCTTATTTTTGTTCTTCATTTCTACAGGAAAAAGCGACACTGAGAGAAAAGACTTGGGGAAGAAAGTCAACAAACTAAAATGAGCTCGATGCGACCCACGACGAGCGCCAACGCAAGAGATTACGTCATGTATATTATAAACCTCTGAATCTCACAGTCCGACCGCTTTGGTTTTTTTTTGATAAAAGAACTCTTCATTGACCGCAAGCAAGCTGCAAGACTAGTACTAAGGCACGGGGAGCTGCAACAACTACCTAGATTGTCCCTAGGAAGCTTTGAATCTTCACATCTTTCACTTTCGGCGCCGGACTGATGGATGTTCAGAGATCATAGCTTCACTTTGTGATGTAGGTACCCTCGGCTTCACTCGATCCGGCTTGACAACAATGATTTTTTCTGAAGTTCATTTTAATGGTGGAAAGCTTTCTTCCTTCATCTCCTTGAACCTTGCTTTCAATGAAGATTCGAAAGACAATGACTGCAGTTTTGGATATGGGGAGGTAGAAAGCTTACTGGAGCTTGAGGCTGACGAAGATGGTGACGATGGTGAAGGAGAATCTGACAAGGAAGAGGGAATTCTGGTAGACCAACTTGCTGACTTCATGAAGTCAACTCTTACAGAAACGTGGGTTCCTTGCATTCGCGTTCAATTAGTAGAATTTGCAACTAATAATCATGCCCCTAGCGTGAATGTTAAATCCATAGCCTGCCATCGAGGTTGTAACGTTTTTGATCTTATCCTCCCTCGATGGGTACCGTACGTACCCAAGCTTTGTCCCTTATTCCAAATCCAATGACATACACATGTAATCTTTCGAAGCACCCACTGTCACAGTTCTTGGTGCACCACGCTTGAAGCGTTACCGTGTCGACATTGCGGACAACGACACAGTCGAATCCAGTCGCAGTATACAATTATGCGCGGAGACTGTTGTCGCACTTGACTTGATTGAATGACTCGCTGTATCATCCACCTGTGTGTCTGTAGGTGTCTATCTTGTGCGATTCGAACGACCAACAGGAAATTGGGATCCACCTCGATCGTCAGCTGGATAGTCCTCGCTGGATAGTCCTCAAAGCGAATACACCCAATTGACTATGAATCAAGGGAAATGAGTCGGTTTTAAGTGAACAGGCTAAATTACTGGACGCAAATGAACTAGCTTGTGATAGGTCCGTGTTTATGCACACGCTCAATTTTATTGAAGTTTCTGAATCTTCAACGTTCAACATCCGAGTCTCAATTAGGACCTGGCTTCGCGTGTGTTTGTGTTGGTGGACCATGTCTATCTTTCGAAGCAAGGTCACGCAAGGATCATGTCGTAACTATGACTGGGAGACAGTGGATGCAACCTTCTGTGAACTTTTACCCTTGTGACCTCTGGCAATGACCAAGGTTTCACGACGTATAAAAAGACGAAGTGAGTGGGTTACCGCCCCTACTATCAACTCACTCTCTTAGAATTACCATCACTATAAAGAATGTCTTCCAGCTCCGACACAGCCAGTTTCGACCTTTTTCCTACTCCTAGTTCAGCACTTCCTCACGCACTTTCTCCGACATGGTGGCCTGGGAGCACCCCCGATTCAACTGCAATCCTTCGTCAATTACTACAGGAAAATCACGAAAAATGGCATATCTTCTTTAATAATATAGGTTTTCACAAGCAAGTCTTTTTCTTCGTGTTTGCCATACTCACAACCGCGGCTGACTTCAAGTTGCATTTGACAGTCACATATCTCACCGCCTCCTCGCGCTGTGGGCCCTCGGCGCTAATAAAGAGGTCCTGAAAGCTGCATACGAGTCCGACTCTGAGCCAGACAAAGAAAGACCCGCGTTCTCTTCCCCAGAGCCAATAACTTCTGCAAACTTTCGTGATCACCTGCGAGATGAGCGGCAAGTGAAATTTGACATTCTTCAGCGAATATTGATGGAGAAATTTAGATATTTCAATGCCTACGTAAAATTCTTCACCGATATTCTCATGGTCCAGAAGAAGGATGTTGCTTCCGTGCTGGAAGATTTCGTGTTCTCCGGGCTCGATGTCAAAGCGCGCGAGGAGAATGGAAGAATCATACAATCTCCGTTGTTCGTTCCTTTCTTTGAAGGACTGCTGCATGCCTTGATCTTTGTAGGATACGGTTTGGAGTTCAGCTTACCAGGAATGATCATTGAAGGTTCGTTGGATTGTATTTTCGCCCAATTTAGTACCTGTTTTCTTTGCTGACTTGTCATCCTTTACAGGCTTAGCGCTAGCTGCAGTTCATAGACCCACACCCGGCTTCGAGGAACTCGTTTCTCCGTCCCACGAGACAGGCTCTGGAAATTATAATATTGAGAATCTGACTCTCAAGTCCCGTAAATCGTTGGATACAGGCTTTCATGGAACACACGCCTTCACCATCCTGGCCCATGTCATGAAAGACCCAATATTGGTGGTGAAGGAGGCCAATGCTGACGATATATTCGCGTTTCTTTCAGAAAAAGAAGGGGAGAAAAGTAAATTATTGCGTCAATACAGTGACCGGTGGTCATTCAACGCATCTGATGCCAAAGAAGTGGAACGAAAGATTGAAGAATTGCAATGGATGAATACCTTGATATTCACTGTCGCAGGTTTTAAGAAATCAAAAGAAGATGATTTTCGAGCTGATTTCTATTTGTGAGTTTCTCACCGGGATTATTTCTATCTATCGCCTGATCCAGCTTTGTGTAGTATGCATCTCGTCACTTCATCACTGTTTCTTCCCTCGTTAACAGCGCATTTGTCTCCGTCTTCCCAAGAGCTACTGTTGCGAGGGTATTTCGCCATCAGCCTGGCTTTCTATGTTGCTCGCGGCCGTCCAAAGATTGATCCAAAGCCCTTGTTTGAAGTCGCGATGGATGATAATGTATTTGATCCTGAGAAGGAACCATCTATTGCTCCGCCAGCTCTTAGCATACTTTCTTCATCTTCCAAGGAATCCAAGGAACCCAATTTGTGGCTTCCTCTCATCTCGCGCGCGATACTCCACCCGGATGACCATGTCCCAAAATTTCAGCGCGCTGTGGCGCACTATGCGACTTTGTACGGATCTACACCAAAAGGGTTTTTCGATGGGCTTGGAATCGAATTAAATGGGGTGGACAGGATTGACGGCACCCTTTTTGCAAGAGCGGGAGCTTTGACCCAGAGGAGACTAGGAAGAGATCGTGAAGGTAAATCATTGGCGTCTTATTGGGATTTTGAAGGATTTTACGGAGAGGACGGGGAGAAGAGCAACGATGATTTTTGACTGTTACGTATATTGATTGAAGTTGAAATAAGCGACTTGTACCTACGCTTGACATCTTTAGTTCTAACAGTGACAAATACTGTACTGACTGATCCTTTTACAACTCTAAATCCAATGAGCGAGACAGCACCATACGGTACCTGGGAGTCTCCCATCACTGCCGAGAGCATCACTGGCAACGTCAGTAACGTTCATTCCTTTGATCACAACCATCATATTGTTGACCCTTTCCGAAGTCGACTACAAGAGACGATGTTATTGTCGACCCAGTCACCTCCATCATATACCATCTGGAAAGTCGTCCTGCAGAGAAAGGACGCTGCGTTCTCGTTGAATCAGAAACTGGCCGAGAAATAGTTGGGAAGGACGTAAACGTGCGGACTGGTGTGCACGAATACGGTTCTGCTTCCGCAATTGTTCACGATGGAATCGCGTATTACTCCAACATCATTGACAATCGAGTGTACAAAGTTAATGTGAAGGATGGAAGTCCAGCTGAGCCAATAACCCCTGGTATGTTGTTCACCTTATCGCAGCAGATCTCAACATTCAGTGACGGAAGTTATGCAGAAAACAAGGCATTCCGTTACGCTTGTTTCAATATCCATCCATATAATCCTCGATTCCTGGTGTCCATCCTTGAGGACCACACTGTTAACACGCCATCCACGGTTGTCAACACGGTGGTTATCATTGATACCCAAGCAAAAACAGTGGCGCCCCTTGTGTCTGGAGCGGACTTCTATGCCCTTCCCAAATTCTCTCCAGATGGAGGTAAACTTGCCTGGCAGCACTGGGACCATCCGAATATGCCTTGGGATAATTCTCAAATATCACTCGCTGAAGTGACCCTCGCCGATTCGTCGTTGACGCTCTCGAATGTCACAACAATCGCAAAAGAAGGCTCAAACGGATTCCTTGCTTGGGCAAACAGAAATACGCTCTGTTGGGTGTGTGATGTTTCTGGATTTGGTAACCCATGGAAATACGATGTGTCTACGAAGAAAGCTGGGCCGATTTTCCCTTCTCCCGTCAAAGAGGAATTTGGTGCAGCCATGTGGTTGTTCTGTTTCTTCCCTTTCGTTATCGTCGACGATGCTGGTAAACTGGGCGTCTTCAAGGCCTACAGGGACGGGAGGGCTGTGTTGTATCGAGTTGATATTGAGACTGGAGACAGGGAACAGATAGAGAGCCCATATGTTGTCGTTGAATGCATGCGCTCGGTTTCCAAGTCCAAGGGCCAGTTCGGCTTCTTGGGCACCAAAGTTGATCATTCCGAAAAAGTCGTAGTCGGTACCATCAGGGATACAATTTCATTCACTCCTTTTACTCCCGGCACTATTTCAAAGGGTCCAAATTTTGATCCCTCTCTTGTCTCGGTTCCTCGAGGAATCCCTTTGAAGGCACCTCCCAATGATGAACTCTTACATGTAATCTACTATCCTCCTCACAACCCGGCGTACGCAGGCACGAGCATCGAAGGAGAAAAGCCTCCATGTGTTGTGAACGTCCACGGTGGACCAACTGGTGTGTATCTTGCCCTCCTTTTACTTCGAAGTGAGCGGAATTGGATATGTGTATAATAATATAGGTATGGCCCAGCAGGGCTTGAGTTGGAAAATTCAATACTGGACAACCCGTGGCTTTGCATGGTTAGCATATAAAGCCCTCCTTTCACATGCACTACGCTGATAACACAGTTTACTCGAAGGCTTGACGTTAACTACGGAGGAAGCTTCGGCTATGGGAAAGAGTACATCAACCGTCTCTGGCATGGATGGGGTGCAGTAGACGTCGAAGACTGTATCACTGCTTCACTATTACTCGCTAAACCCCCTCACTCCCTGATCGACCCAAGCCGAATCGTTATCCGCGGTAGTTCTTCCGGTGGCTTGACTGTTCTCAATGCCCTTTGCAATAGTTCCGACACCGAAGTTTATGCAGCTGCGACTTCACTATACGGGGTTACTGACCTGGTTGGAATGGTGAAAGATACACACAAATTCGAATCGCAGTACATGTTCTCGCTGGTTGGAGGGTCGCCTGAGGACACAAAACCGTTCCAAAAGAGGTCACCGATCAATTACGTGGATAAAATCAATCGCCCGTTGTTGATTCTTCAAGGTGATATTGACCGGGTAGTGCCAAAGGAGCAGGCAGAAGTGGTTTATAACAGTATCAAAAATCGTGGTGGCGTGGTTGAATACAAACTTTATCCTGGGGAAGGGCATGGGTTTAGGATGAAAGAGTCGCAGTGCGATGCATTTGAGCGGGAGCTTGACTTTTATCAACGCGCTCTTGGACTGCGGGAGGGTGTTAAATTGTGATGCTCATGAAAGAAGTGGTCGTAAACACCTGTACACCTCAACAATCAATACATAGCCCGAAGGCAAAGAATTTGAGAGTAGTGATATTGCATCATATGAACGATTACAATTATTGAGATTTCGGTACGTTGGGTCTGATACGCCCAAACTTCAAAGCTTCCAAGCCTCCTTCCATAATCTCCTCATCGCTAATTTTCTCCAACCGCAAGATCTCTCTACGCATGTATGTTACGATATCGAGCATCAGCTCCGGATATCGAACGTACTTGTCGATTTCATCCGGGGGATAATCATGCACACCGGAACCATCATCGCGACTCTGCTCCTTTTCAAGATCAATCTTTTCTGGATTTTCTACTGCACCTCCAACGAGGTTGACGCCCCTCCGGAATTTGGGAGGGTTGGAATCGGGATAGGCAATCCCTTGGGAGCCGCGGGCACCTAGTAGGTTCCTCCAGACCGCACTTGCCAATTCCATGTCGTTCGTTACCAGACCATAATCAAACCACATACCCATACCCATCCACTGTTCCTTGAAAATTTTCATCTGTCGCGTTACTAGACGTTCTGGGGCTCGACTGCCCCGCTTCAACTTTCCGTCTTTCGGAATGTTAGGATTTATGTAAAAGGAGGTGAAGAACGTGTATGGGTCGCGGGGAGGGATAGATGGTTGAAGAATGGCACGTATACGGTCTTCGATATCAAGAAAAAAGTGATCCAGGAGGAATTGAACGTAGAATCTACCGTGAGGTTCAGGAAGGGCGCGGAGACGGACAGTCAGCATCCAGAAGTGTAGGTTTGTAATAATGAACCACGACTGGAATGTGGGAGGCAAGTCACATTCTAAAGACAAAAGCCGTTTAGTATCCCGAAAATTTTGTGCATGGTTAGATCTACGTACCATTCTGCCAAAAACTTCTTTCTGCATCGGGTGTAACAGCACAGATACGCTCGTATAGAAGGAAAGTTCTGAGTCCGGCGCGCTGTTTTGGACTATGGTATCCGAGCAAAGCCGTGATTTTCATGAACCAATATCTGACTGTAGGCGAAGTTTCGACCTTGTGCGTCAGCCAGCTTTTCGGTCGCTCCGGTATATGTGGTGAACCATCCTCTCCTACTTGTATCGTGGGGCTCTTAGATGTACTGGTTTTCGAACTAGATGCTGATGGTGACGAAGACGAAGACACAGCTGCCGATTTTTTTGCGGACTGAGCCTGCGACGCATAGATCTTTTTCTGCGAGTTCTGCGCAGTATTTAAGAAGCGAGAACGAGTAGTATTTGTTTGGTGAATGGCTCTTGGAAGGTGCCGAAGCTGGCGACGCAGCATGGATGAAGACGGGAGCATGGATTCAATACAGGTTCTCGTCAGGCGCCGAAACGGTGTTATAGTAAACAAAGCGCTCAATTGCAAAATCTAAGTGGTAACTTCGACTCAATACAGTCTGCCTTTAGGAGGCTACAAAATATGGAAGTACCGACCACAGGCTCCTCGATTGTTCAGCTTTGCAATACGAGTATAATGAAGATAGGTAGCGGCATAGTGGATATCGAAGTAAATAAATTCAGAGGAGTAATTTAGCAGTCAAAGTCATATTGTTCCAGCAGATTCTAGCAGCCATTCACATCAAGGCAAAACTCACTAAGGCAGCGAGCAAGACAAAAATCTTCGGATCGAATTTCATCTGGGAAGCTGCATTTCCGGATGTGGTTGCACTCGTGGAAGCAGCAGCCCCAGTACTACTGCTAGCCGCGCTGACAGCAGTAGCGCCTGGGGTCCCGAACAGAGTCACACCGCTCGGAAGAGGTCCAGGATCAGCTGAAGCTGAAGCACCCTGTCCTACGAGAGCTCCGATTCCTTGCTGATATAATGTGTATCAGTTTGTGCGAGGGCAAGTGATACAAGAGGGGAACCACTTACGCCGGAATCGGTCGTTTGCTTCGCATTGTTCAAAAAATCGTTCAAAGAACCAGTACCACTACTAGGTGCGTTGATTGTTCCAACCATTCCTGAGTCGTCCCTCTATTGAGTTCTGTTGATGATCATAATATTACACAAAGAGCTTACCCGCGGCGCAGTGAGGAGACGGAATCAGTTGTTTACAGAAGAAATAAATGGCTATGAAGAATGTGTAAGTTTAGGAAATCTTGCTAAGACAGTAGTACAGGTACTGACGATGCGAATCATCCGTGACGGTCAGGTTCCACAAGGGGCTAGGAGAGACGCCGCCAGTAGGTATGAGCACCCAGCCAGAATCGAAGCCGCCGGACAGTGGTTGACAAGGATTGGATAGAGCACCTGGGTGAAGAGACATATTTTGCACGTCAGGATCAGAGCGAGCTGAAAACACAATGCGCACTTTGAGTGATGCTGCAACGATTCGAAAGAGATGAGCAAAGAGTTTGACTCAAAAATGACTGGACGAATATACCTATGGTTTCCAGGGTTTCCAGAAAACTCGAAGGTGATGACACTTCCATTGGTCGCATTGAAGCTGGAGGGGTTGAACTGGAATATTCCGCCACTCTCATTTTCTGTACCACCCACTTGCACCTGAATTGTCTATAGGAGAATAAGAACGATGTAGAAATTCAACGAGGAAGAATAACACATACTTGATTCTGAGCTTGGACAAGAGTAGCTATGCTCAGGCAGGCGACAGTCAAGAAACGCATCATGATTTTACAGGCTATATTGGTTGAGGAAACAAGAAAAAAGAAAGCAAAGTCGTTCGGGCAAAATTGTCTCAGGTTGTGGGTTTTTGAAGGAGCTGCAGGGTTGGGGCATGGAAATATGTGTGTGTCCAAGAATCATTCAACTGCATCAGGATGCCAGAACAGAACTTGAGAAAGATCACACTGTAAAGGAAATACATGAGGAGTTGGAGACAAAATATAAGTCCCGGGAAAGTAAGAATCTTCTCACCGTAAAGCTTCGGAATGACAGCTGCTGCCTTCTACCAGCTTCTACCTAAATTTACCTCGAGGAAGGAGGAAGTTTAATTGAGGACACTAATCGGTAGAACAGTGTCAAACAAATCATTCAGACGTTCTAGCTAGTGGTAAATTGAGTCTGGCACGAGTTTATACTCAGACAAGGTAGGATGCTCCTACGCCATCCAGATTGCATCACTAGCATATACTGTATACACCCTGACCAGAACTTCGGTGTGAGTCCGATATCGTAACAACTCGTTCGCAGTCGTTGGATCCTGTATTCAATCCAATGGATAGCCGAAGGAAAGTAAAAGTGTGTTTCATGGTCTTTGTCACTCCATTGTACCCGTTTGTACCCGAATCGATACTAGAACATGCAATAATGTTTCCCATGAATCATAGGCATTTGACGCACCCAAAAACGCATCTTCTGAACCACATGATATCGGAGAAGTTATCGATTCTCTCCATTGTCCATGGGATTTGGCTATCAACTCCGAAAGAGAAGTTGATAATCGTCTCGGAAATGCAGGTCTCTTTGATCAAAATCAAACAGCAAAGGATAGGATAGACAAATTATACTGAGTTGTATCTCTTTCCTTCCGCCCTCGCTGCAGTCTACCATCTTTGCGGTCGATGAGCATTCACCGCAGTAGAGACGCTTGGGCCTGGCTGTTACCTTGTGGGACCCCGTCCAAGGACGACAGGTCCAAGGACAGAACCATTCATCCATCTGGCTGTGTTTCCGATTCTTGGACAACCCCCAGTTTGACAGCTGAGTACTCGAGCGCTGAGGTCTGTGTCATTGCAGAAAGCATAATGAGGCGTGAGAAAAAGAACGACAACGGACGAGTGTAAGTTAAATAAAGTATGTTCTTCACACCGCCCATAACCACTGCCAGCCTATACCCTAGGATCTCTCTGGACTGAGATCACCGTGGCATTTGTGCGTGACTATGTCTCTATGTCGCGTATCTTGTAGCACTTACATGATTACTGACCAGGCAAGTTGAATATCATCAATCCGAATGGCGGTTCTCTATGCAGCTCAGCAAGCAGACCTGGTTTACCAACAGATCACGACCGTTACTAACATGCTCGACAATTTTAATGCTCGAAAGGATGGTCTCCTGTGCGAAGCAGAAAAGCGAGAGAGCTCGACTCGACCTACAAAAATGCAACATCTTATCGAAGGCTCGTCTCAAACCGTTCTCCCACCATCTCCTTATCCTACTCTGCCCATCGAAATTTTGGATTCTGTACTGCGCTGCGTACAGAGCCGAGATGACATCCGCAATGTGGCCATCTCGAACAAGCATCTGAGTGCCGTGGCTGTCCGAGTACTGTATCATACGATCAGGCTTGTGAAGCCCATGGAATCGGTCAAATGTCTTCGCATACTGTCGCAGAATACAAGGATGGCCCTGCTCGTCAGGTCGCTCGATATACACTGGCCTTTCATCTCTTATCCCACTCGGAACATGTATACACTCGCCATTCGAGCTCTGTGCAACACTACTTTACTGAATACTCTCAGCATCGATGGACCAACTGATTTTCATCCGTGGGACCTCAGCGAATGTTCTTTTCAATTGAAGAAGTTTTCTGCCTCATTTCCCTATGACGATTCATTAATCCGATTCCTCGAAGCTCAACCCTCCTTGCTTGACCTTACGCTGCGCGGATTCAACTCCGACCCCGCCAAATTCTCGTTGAATCTGAGCACCTTCAATCTGAATCCGAACCCCACTCCCTTTTCTCTGTCTCCTGGGGCTCTGCCGCGCTTATCTCGTTTGCGGGCGATACATGCTGGCCCAGACATAATTGCCTCGATTCTGGAAGGTAGACCTGTTACGCAAGTCTCCATGCCGTTGTATGCCGACTGTGTTTACCGCTCCCTGCACGTATTAAATATGTCATCTGAGCCCATTGAGAGGCTTAACATCATCAGCTTCGACCCCAATGCTCCTGTGTATCTGTTGGACGAAATAGCCAGCCGTTTGCCTAATCTTGAGGCTCTACACATTGTCATCCTGCTCGCGCAATGCTCCGAGGTAACCCCATACCATTTTCGATCGTTCTATCAATGGCTGACAGTCATTCCAAAGGCTCTATTGGAGGCTTTGGTTCCGGCTTTAAAGAAGTTTAAAGCATTGCAGGTAAGCAAGCTTTATCTATCTTGGATTGAGAAGCGGACATCAATGAACATCTTCCTATGAAAGTATCTGACGTACATGTCAGCCACCTCATCCGACGACGTATCTCAAGATGATGAGCAGAAAATAGCAGCAATGTGGCACAAATCTTGTCCGACGTTGAAAACGATTATTCTGCCCATGGGCAAAGTCTGGTTTATAGACAACTCTAAGTGGATGTGTTTAGAAGAATCATGAATTTTATTGTATTTAATATGTATCTTGTCTCTGTCACTAGAATGAGGAATGTTAGTATTTGTCTGTCGAAGGAAATTCTATGATTAATCGTCAACAGTACCGAGCGTACCTTCACTCGAAGCATTGTCAATTTTGTGAAGTTTGACTTAGGTTCAAGCTTGTAGACTCGCGTTTTACCTACCGTCAGCTACAATGATCTATATTTTGTATTGAAGGCATGCATGAGATTGACGTAACACTGTTGCCTGGAGTCGAAAATTATGCGACCGCATTGCTGCTTAATCATGCATAACTAGGTATAACTGAGTAAGCTATGATTATAGAGTCTCAGAGACTCGAGAAAGGTCTGATTAAATAGCTTGATCCCGCATTGAGCGTACAGGTTCTCTCGGAGTCTTCGATGCTGACGTTTTGTATGTTCCCCATCCGACCTATAGTACGGTCTTGAAGCATTTTTAAACAGATAGATAGATAGATATATACGCGGCTCCGTCGAGTCGACGGGGTCCCACAAGGGAACAGCCGGGCCCAGCAATCTTCGCTGCAGCGAATGCTCATCCAACCTGGGATGGTAAACTGCAGCTACTAGAGTGAAGGGGATGTAGTACAGGGTAGTTGTTGTATACATAAAGAATAGAACAGAACAGACGCAAATCACTCCTCTTCTGACTCATAATCGCTTTCAACATGTTCTAAGGAGCCATCTAAACCAGTATCTAAAAAGAGTTGCCAGAGAGTCACGACCTTGTGGATGAACTTAGCAGTGGGGATGATTAGGTTCCAGTCGAAAACTAATAACCTGGATAGTGTAGCGCAGTGGAATCCGAAAGATTTGGGCTGCGTAGTAGCGGCTGAGACTGTCGAATGGACAAGAAGAACTCGGATCGGAGAGAAGTGATAGAGGTAAGAGACGGGCATTGAAACAGAAGGTGTTGTGGAGTCTCTCCCCGTAGATTACATGCACGACAGGCTCGGTTAAGAACCTCAGTTGGGGTGAGCGGACGAAGGGGTGAGGCAGAGGCTCGGAATACTTGGGGGGTGAGGTCGCCACAGAGGGGTTTGGTGACAGTGCGACGATGAGCGTGGTTCTTGATTTGAGTGAGATAATGTTGAAGTCCAATGATTTGTTGTTTCGCCGGACCCGCTTCCTTCGGTTCTAGGCGATTTCTGAGTAAAGAGAGTTTTGACCAGGTGTCGATATGGGATTGTAGTTCAGATTTTGTGGAGAACTCAATGGTTTTGATGAGAGTGTCAATACAGTCATTGTTGAGATCCTGAAGGTGAGGCAGGCGGTGGTGGCCCGGGAGTTGGGAGATGGCATAGTCCAAGTCCGAGAGCCAGCATGGAGAGCCAGCACGGCAAAGGTTGTCGTTGTCCCAGAGGGCCGAGAATGCATAGTGAGAGGGAGGGAGAGTGATGAGGTATTTGAGGTATCGGAGTGCGAGCGATGCACGGCGGGTGCGAATAGGCATGATGCCCGATTCGGTGAATAGTGGTGTGATGACAGAGTTGTTGGAGAGGTTGAGCATACGGCATAGAAAGCGTATCTGGACGTCTTCAAGAATCTGGATAAGACTAGGGTCGGTATCGGATATGATCTCGCAACCATTGGTGAGGTGGCAGTCCACGAGCGCTGTGTAAAGTTGTTTAGTGATGGAGGGAGGCATGCGTCGATTTCCAACAAGCAGATCGCAGCCAGTGATTGCGCGTGCAGTCCCAACGGCAGCGTTGCGCTTTTTGGTGTAGTGGGGAGCGAACATGTTACGGTGGGTAGATTGAAAGAAGATGCCCACATATCGGCCTACATCACGGAATTTGAGGGGTTTATCGGAAAGTGTAAGTTGAGGAAGGACCAAAGGGAGGCGACCAAAGAGCATTACCCATGACTTTCCGGGGCTGACAAGAAGAGAGTTATTTTTATATTCGGATAACCCATCTTTTGTACGACTTGTTTATGAAGTTGACAGCACATCCGACTATGACAGTGTTCGTTAAGGCCTGAACTTTTTCTCCAGCAGCGTTGTAGTGCATTGCGATGGAGCAGCCTTGACGAGCAAGAGCTATTGTGGTTGCTACTCTACTAGTCTACTCCAATTCCTCCCTGTTCCTCCACTGTACACGAAACATCAATAGATGATATTCAGGATAAAATGTCATAATAAATGGTGAAAGGACATATGTACATGCAACCTGTGATCCGAGTAGTTTTGCTGAAAGATATGATCGATGAATGTTAACGTTGGTGCCAGGTGGTCAGAAGAAAAATCCGAATGAAAGTTAGTAATGCCAGTCACGACAGATCGAGGTGTCGAAATCTTATCAATCTGCCTGCAAAGAATAGGTTTTGAGAGAGACGTTCAGCAGCTGTGGAATTTTCACTAAAAATACCCCAAATTCAAGGACGGAGGTTCCGTCAATGGGCGCTCGGGTCACGGGAACCATTCCGATCATAATCATAACGCTTGCCTTTTTGGGCAGATAGAGACCGGGTGCGCCTGCCGCCTTGTTCGAGTCACTGTACTCACTTCTACCAGTTACAGTCTCAAACGCCAGCACCACAACTCTCTCGGAAGATTTTGCATTCACTTGCACGATCTACATATATCTATTTTATACATTGGACTCTCTTGTTTCTCTACCGCCATCTTTGCTGCTGCTCTTTTGCCTATTCTACTGATAACAACCTAATTAATGCCCTCAAGACATAGTCGAAATGCACGACACAAACAACATACACATATCTTTCAGCAGCCTACTCCTAGCTCTCGGCCGTCACCGGACATGAATCCCTCGTCGTTACCTGATGATTCGGCGGGGAGCAGTGGCGATGATGCTGTGGGGCACCTGGAGCGGAGAATCAGCCCCAGTCCTGCGAAGGCAAGGACTCAGAGACTGGAGCCTGATCATAATCAGGGGAATGAGCAGGAAAGTACGTATGAAAGAGCATTGGTTGGGAAGGATGAATCGAGCGAATCTGTTGAACCGTTGATTGATGTCGCGCCAAACCAAGAGACAGAGCGTTCAATACCCTCGCGGTCTCTTCCGACTCCTCCCCTGCTTGAACCCTCGGATACCCGTCAGCCTCGATCAGAACCGCTCTTAACTCCTTTGTGGGACGAATCTGGGACTTCGGGTGGTGTTGCTCATTCTCCCATTTTGTCATCACTGTGAGTTTTCTTTCTATGCTGTGTTATAAGCTTTGCATCTGCAATCTTTGGTTCTGCACTATCTCTGGATTGTGGCTCTGCAGTCATTTTCAGTTGTGAAGTAGATCATTCTAAAGTTTTGCAAAATCGACGATCATTTAAGGATCATACTTTTGGGGTACCTGAACTACCGCGAAGGTCTGAAGGTGTGCATACACGTGTATGTATAGGAATGGAAGGCGGTCTCATATGATATATATTGCGGCTGCGTGCATGGAGTCATGGCGTGTCATACCTACTACCGTTCTTTGTTCTGTTCCTTCAATCCATGTTTCGCACCCAGAACCTTTCGCAAATACTTTCTCAATTAGTCGTCATTTTGCCCCCTTCGCCATTACTAACCCCGCCTGATACTCCTCGTCCTCTTGCTTCTGATGACCTTCCTTTTCCTCCGTTGAGCGGAAACCTTGAACCAGGTGCTGATGCATTCTTTGACAGTGCAGGACGGAGCACGAATTCTCTTGGGGATGCATTCTCTCGAGTCGTAGCGAACGATTTTAATCTACCCAGCTTGCCTCATTATTCAGCCTCTCCACCAACGTCTGCTCCGTTCGATTCCTCGGCATTTACTCTCTCGCCTCCTTCAAGCTCGCGCCCCGCGAAGCTTAGGACCAGTATCCGCCATCATGGTGATGGTGCAGGTCGCGCCTCATCTTCGGGTGTAGATAGACCATCCGCGACATTGTCTGGAAATGATGTGTCCGTGAGCGGCTCGAGCGATTCCAATAATTCTTCTCTCGAGTCGGCTGACCGTGCGCCTATCGCCTATTCAGACGGCACAGCTGATCTCAATGACACTCTTCATCTTGACTCACAACACATGGAAGGCACTATTAGACCTTCTAAGAGAGTCTCCAACGGGTATAGCTATGGTTTTTCTCCTGCGGTAGCTCAACAAAGATTTTCTTCGAGCTCCACTGGGCGGGAAGGACGTGATGGCGGAGAGGGTGCCAATCATGGAAGCCTGTTATCAACTACGGGCGGACGTGCACGGCGTGCGCCGCAGTACGAGCTGCCGCATGTTCAGGACTCAGCACTTTCGCGTGCTCTGGCTAATACTGGATCCAGGAAACGCGTCGCCCAGTCTGCAACTCAGAGTAACACTGCTCGCTCACCTTCAGCGACTGTTATTCCTGTTAGCATCAATGGGGCTCCGGACGAAGGGGATACGATCATTTCGGCACGATGGGATCATAGTCTCAGTGGGCGGTGAGTTGTAACTCATTCGTAGTACTGTACCAATGAGACTGATATTTTCCAGACGGCTGTTGTTCCTTTCGTATCATCCTTCAGGAATGCAGATATGGGATTGTACCGACCTCAGCTCGGTCACGGAACTCCTAAATCTGCCATCCGAGTCTGTACGGCAACTCATCAGTAATGACTCGAACCCAAATGAAGACTTACTGGACGTGGCCGTTGCATATGCAGGGATAATACCAGGAGGTCCACTTGAAGAAACAAGTCCAATGTTGGGAATACTGTTAGTGTTCGCGCTTCGTTTTTTTCTCCCTTTGCTGTTCTCTTACCGTTGATATAGTGTAACCCCGACTGAGGACAAACGAGATCTTGTAGATGAGGCTTCGGACTCCGTACTGCTCAATTCCAAGAATGAAGTTCTTCCAGAATCTGCTGATAATTATACCTTTTTGTTAATCTATTCCCTGGTGGATCATCATATAACCAAGAGGATCCGTATTCCTGGGCTTGCTGTCGGCGGTGGACGATTTGAAGTTGGCAATGACTTTGTTGTAGTTGTGCGTATAGTTATCGTTTCATGTGATGCGATCCTGACGAGAATTTTCAGAGTACGACCGTCCCTCCAGCTCTACACGTACTCTCTTCAACAACCTTCGACGTGTTGCACCAAATTCCCTCAAGCGATATCCTACCATTTTGTCACAAATCTTCGCATTCATCTTCACGACGTCACTCGTTTTTGGAAACCACTTCAAATATAGTCAACGGCATATATAACAACTATAACGAACATTTCAATGATAAATACCACAATCTAAGCTATCGCAATAATGTAACATCACCATCTGTAGAGCATCATTTTTCTTCCGACCTTTCTTCAACCTCCCTTGATGCCACGGGCGAGCATTATGGGAGGCAACCATCTGATTATAATCGCCAAAGACGTGCTACAATGCATGGACAGGATTCGCAGGCAGCGGAGCTTCCGTCCATGAATATACCTGAGACCACTCCCCTGCCTGCTCCCGTATTTTCTGTTTCTGGTCGTCTGTTGGCCTACGCTTCCTCTCCGGAAGGCAATACTTCGCTTTCGGTCAACGGAGTCCAACCCCGAACGTCATCAACGTTATCTGATGCGGCAGTATCAACAGCGTCTGCCTTTGGATCTACGCTTAGCGCACAATTGGCTAGTATTGGAGGCGCAGGAGGTGCAAGTGGCGCACTTGGCGCACTTGGTGGGATCAGCCAAGCGGACGTGGGTAATGCCGCGCTCAAGGTTGGTGGAAGTGTCCTGAGTGGAATGAAAACCTTGGGTGGCTTGGCATATAAGAGTGCCGTGGCCGCTGCGACCGATTCGGGTCCTTATTCAAGAATGAATCGTCAAGGTAGCAAAGGTGGCGCCGCAATTGGCGGTGGGGTCGGTGGTTTGGCAAATAGGTTTTTTTCCCGCAGCGCTCCTGCGGCGACGTCTTCAACTGAAGATCAGGATCGTCGTTATTCCACGAGTCCGGCTGGATCGACGGGTATTGATGGATATGAAGTCGGGAAAACCATCAGTGTTGGTCAGGCGAATGCTCCAGGTTCGAATCTCCGACCGTCTGCACCACCGCGGACCCTGCCAATTATTGAGAACGGTTATCATGTCACAGTGTTGGATCTTGCTCATTTAACGTCGGATACGACGTCTCAAACAAGATCATCTAAGAACACTAGCTCTCCTGCTGTCGTTATGCATTTCGTCGCATCCAAATCGCACCCTTTGTCAAATATGTGGTTTTCAGCTAGTGGAACGTTGCTCTCGACTGTTTCTAGGGACGGTCAGACCGCTCAAATATACGAGATCAGAACTGATCCAATGCAACGAATTCATGAGGCATCGGAAGACCGCAACATCACCTCTCATAGCGAATCGAGAGGAGGTGATGTTTCACGATTCTCCCCGCCTCTTCCTATTAATATTCCAACCATATCTCCGCCTCCCGTCTATAATCTTCGTCGAGGTCGAACTCCCGCTGTAATAGATTCGGCAGATTGGGCCTCAGACGGTCGCTGGTTGGCAATCGGGACACGGAAACGGACTGTGCATGTTTTCGCTGTCAATCCTTATGGTGGGCCCTCCGATATTCCTAGTCACACCACCGGTAGAGTAAATAATGTCACCGAATTGGTAAAAGTTCTCCGTCCTTCTTTTAAATTGATCTTACGTTGTTTCCAGCCAACAAGTCCGACCGATATGCATCCTCTGGTCCGTCTGAGAGTAACCAGAAATCCGAGGCCGGATCAACCTCAAGTTCCCCTTGCGTTTACTTTTCTTGAGCCCTCGGTTGAGGAGGAACGTCAATTGCCCCCAAACCTTCTTCCACCCTTGAGCTCTCCGCACTTACTACCTACACATCAACATTCTTACGGAAGTGTCAGCACTGTCATGTCTTCATCACCTTCCATGCGATCCGATACGTTGTCGTTGTCTCCTCACCAGCAACTTAGTCCTCATGGTCGTCCAAGAAACCTCCAGGATATTCTTGTTTTTGATCCCACAGATGGTATACTGTCCCTAAGGCGCATATATACTGATGTCAAATTCAAACCAAACGATGGAGCCTCAATTCTTGGTACGAACTTCGGCTCTATAGGTAGTACGGGTGCTAGCAGATCACTACCCGGGACCAACGCTGGCGGACGATTGAGCGTGTCAACATCTCCACGAATATCCTCTGTGGCAACCACTGGTCTTCCACACTCCAAGGCAGAGAATGGCGAACTGATAGGTAGAGAGAACTTTGTCACTTCGTGGAGGTTACGACGCGGGAGAGATTGGCCCGAGAAAAAAGAAACATCGATGAACGACGAAAGAGGTTCAGCAAGGCAAGACACTACTCATCAGTCCAAGTAAGTTTTGGATTAATTTTTGCAAACCAAAACTCATTGCCCTTAGTTGGCTAGCACAGGCAGAGCTTTCGACACACTCTGGGTCCACTCGAGTTCTTCCTCGTTCTATTTATCTCTCGCATCAATTTTCCTTCCGAACTCTAGGGGAGGACTACCATGCTCTCATCCGCCGATATCAACTCGACCTCACTGGTACTAAGATTGAAGTTCGCAAGGGGATCGAAGTGAGCGCGTATTCTACCGGTCACAGCGAGTCATTTGTCGAAGGGGGTGGTTTTGCTATTCATTACGACCGTCGACGACTGTCATCGTCTTTCGATGAGCCCCTCACCTCTGCTTTGACTGGAGGGTTAGATCATACACCCGCTCAATCAGTGCTACCTATGTTCCCAAATGGCGCTCCAGGAACTAAACCGCGATCATTCAAAAACCACATCCCCATCAGAACCATGACAGGCATAGGGGACGGAATGAGCGAAGGTATTGGGCGTTTTAAACGGGAAATCATCAAGGTCCGGTCACCTCAGCATCTTACCAATTTGGACAGCAGTGCTTCTGCGTCCGTTCCGCTTGAGTTTGATGAAGAGGACGAGGACTTCCTGTCCCATGAAGAGGAATCAGATCGTTCTCAGAGTGGTTCTCGTCCAGTCTCGCCAGGTGAACATCCCCAAGAATCCAACAACATACAGGAAGATGATATTTTTGATGAAGATCATGATCAATGGCCTGGATGGGTGGGAGAAGACAGGAAGGCTGTTGAGGAAGCTGAGATGTTTGATGATATCTCCGCTGTAGGTCTCATGGATGAGGAGATTCATGCAGGACTGTCAAATAAGGGCAAGAATGAGAAACGAAATCAGTATTAAGATTGTATTTTGATTGTATGTACGACTCATAGGACGCAATGGATATGCCATATTGGGCAGCGTAGTTCATGAGTTCATCTTCACGAGTTCGTAAACTTCACGATTTGTAACTTCAAATTAGGGTCTGTGCGCAAGCGCGCGTGACTGCATGTGACTGCGGAGATTTAAATTTTTTAAGCGGAACTCAAACGATCAAAACGGAAATCGTGTGTCTTTCAACAGACCTTTTGTTCGCCGCCACCGTACTCGAATCCTTCCTCTATCCTTCGTCAGTTTCTCAGGTAAGGTTTACTCTATCTTTCTGTATCCTTTATACGCGACTATCAGCGTAATCCCCGTTGTTGATTGTTCGTAAAACGCGACGGTCTTTCGCGTGTATCTCTGTGTACTGTTCATTTCATGTGCTCATCTTCACACATTTTAACAGAATGCGTGAAATCGTTCACTTGCAGACCGGCCAGGTGAGCCTCACTATTGATTCGTAGCTCGTGTTCTCAAGGTGTTTCTTTACATGCAGTGCGGTAACCAAATTGGTGAGTATTTCATCTGTATATTTATGTCCCTTCTAACGACTGTTGTAGGTGCCAAATTCTGGGAAGTTGTCTGCGACGAGCATGGCATTGAGCCTGATGGTCAGTACAAGGGAAATAATGACCTGCAACTTGAGCGTATCTCGGTTTACTTCACCGAGACTGGCGGCAACAAACACGTGCCTCGTGCTGTTCTTGTTGATCTCGAGCCTGGAACTATGGACTCTGTTCGCTCAGGTCCTCTGGGTGGTCTTTTCCGACCCGACAACTTCGTCTTCGGTCAATCTGGAGCTGGCAACAATTGGGCTAAAGGACGTGCGTGGTGTTACACATTCCTTTCAAACTAAATTTCTCAACGCGTTTTCTTATTTTTTTCTCCAGATTATACGGAAGGTGCTGAATTGGTAGACTCGGTCCTCGATGTCGTTCGTAAGGAGGCCGAGGCCACTGATTGCTTGCAAGGTACTACCTCCATTTTCCCACGCGTATAAAGTCTCATCAAGGTTTTGTCAGGTTTCCAAATCACCCATTCGCTTGGTGGTGGTACAGGTGCCGGTATGGGTACTTTGCTTATTTCCAAAATTCGTGAGGAGTACCCGGACCGTATGATGTGCACGTACTCGGTTGTGCCTAGTCCCAAAGTTTCAGATACAGTCGTAGAGGTATGATCCCAAATTCACCGACAACATCACTTGTAACGCGTTTCTGTTTAGCCCTACAATGCTACCCTCTCCGTTCATCAGCTCGTCGAGAATTCTGACGAAACCTTTTGTATTGACAATGAGGCCCTTTATGACATTTGCTTCCGAACCCTCAAACTTTCTACACCGACATACGGTGACCTCAACCATCTTGTGTCCCTTGTTATGTCCGGCATTACCACTTGTCTGCGTTTCCCTGGACAGCTCAATTCAGATCTCAGAAAATTGGCCGTGAACATGGGTTCGAAAAGTTTTTTTTTGTGTTCGTGTGCGATGGCTGACATGTACTGGTAGTTCCATTCCCCCGTCTTCACTTCTTCATGACTGGTTTCGCACCATTGACTGCCCGCGGTAGTCAGCAGTATCGTGCTGTCACCGTTCCCGAACTTACTCAACAAATGTTCGATGCCAAGAACATGATGGCTGCCTCAGACCCAAGACACGGACGTTATCTCACTGTGGGTCTCATTTGATGTTACTCTTTGTCGTTCTGATCGCTTTTCAGGTTGCCGCAGTATTCCGTGGAAAGGTATCAATGAAGGAAGTCGAAGAACAGATGCAGAACGTTCAAAACAAGAATTCTGCTTATTTCGTTGAATGGATTCCCAACAACGTACTCAGTGCGCAGTGCGAAGTAGCACCGAGAGGCCTGAAGATGGCTGTTACCTTCCTGGGTAACTCTACTGCCATCCAAGAACTGTTCAAGCGTGTTAGTGATCAGTTCACTGCCATGTTCAAGCGTAAGGCCTTCTTGCATTGGTACACGCAAGAGGGTATGGACGAGATGGAGGTATGCGAAAATTTGTCATCGCGTTCTCTTTCTAATATTGATGCAATGTTTACATAGTTCACTGAAGCGGAGTCGAACATGCAAGATTTGGTTGCGGAATACCAACAATACCAGGATGCTACGTGAGTTGATTTCTATTACTTTTTTTTGCTAATGTCTCTCCTGACTTTCAAATTCATCAGCGTCGAGGAGGAAGGTGAATACGAGGAGGAGCTCCAAGCTGAAGAAGATCAGTAGACACTTTTCCAAAACGTTCCTCTTGCATTCCATAATATACCTTAGCACTCTCTCGATGGTCGAATCGTTTTATGTCCCTCATGCTTTTTTCGTTCCTTATACTAGTTTGCACTCTACTTTTGAATTGCATATCACGGATCTAATGTAATCCCGATTGAAGGTCAACGCGACGTGAATGCGGGAATGTCTTTGCTGCAGTTGAGGTCTCCAAGTGTGACTTCTATCTGTGGTTTCTACAGTCTACCTCGGAGAAAGGCAGTTGCATAAATTGTTGCTACGGTCTGATGGTTCATCGCTCCTTATCTGTGACCATATGCATTTCGTTATCTATGCTGTTCGATGAAGTAGAATTAATTTCATTGTGGCCTTTTTTTCTCCTAGAGCCTCTTAGCTTAACTTTGGACTGGACTCCCTCACAACAGCATCCAAAATGGAATTACCTCGAATGGTCCGACTACGACATTTTTATTTGTAGACCTAAGACTGCAGCAGACTATAGTGTGTTGATATTTTTCGTACTACTTCTTTCAACGGCAATGACACTCCTTATACTCCGCCTCTAGCGTTTGTTACCTATACAATACAATCACGAATAGTCTTCGACAGCGGCGAAAATAGGTAAGTCGCCGTCGTCAACTTAGAACTTCTCTACCTTCTCAATCTCCAAGAGTCTAGCCTACCTTTTAGCTCAAGAAAGAACTCACAAACTCATATCTGGGCCTTCCGCTCAGGTATAAAAGATGTCGTTTTTGTAGATCCTTTCTCCAGAACCAAAACTCCCTGTTCTACTCCAGTAATCGCTCAACCACTAACATCTTTTCAACAAAATGCTTTCTTTGCTCTCCAAAGCAGTCTCCCTTGCCATCCTCGTCACCGCTGTTGTTGCTAGCCCTGCTGGTAATGGTGTCGAATGGAGCGGTGGAGGAACCACGTACGGGTTTATTCAATGGCTGTCTTGTCCGTCGCTGTTACTAACCGTCGTACAGGACCGTCACCGTCACCGCCTCTTCTCCTACTACTACAGTCACAAAGAGTCAATGCAGCACCGGAGATCAAAAATGCTGCCAGTCTGTGCAGAATGTAGGCATTTCAGTATTCGATCAGTCTATGACAGAGTTGATGTGACAGCCGTTTAGTCGAGTGCCGCAGGGGTTTCCTCTCTTTTGGGGCTTTTGGGTATCGTTCTCTCGGGCACCGATGTTCCTGTCGGGCTCACTTGCCTGCCCATCGTTGGGGGTGCATGCCAATCCCAGGCCGTTTGTTGCACCGATAACTCTTATGTAAGGATTTTCTCTCCTCCTCCTGCAGGTATTTCGAGTAACTAATGAGAATTTCGAAGGGCAACCTCATCTCCCTTGGCTGCAGTCCCTTGCAACTCTAGTTGCGACGCACCAGAGTCGCGATCAGCTCGTGGGCGACTGGTCAAATTTCTACTAGCATCCTGAGTAGTAGTAGTACTTGTTCAAGGACCATTAAAATGATGGCAGCATTCCGTATTCTCAATACACGTTGTTCTTTTTGTCAGTAATTCATTTTCATTAAATCTTCAGCAAGGTTGCATATGAAATTAGCTCCTTTCCTTGCACCTTGGAATCAAGCTGCTTGTATCCTGACTTTGCGTGCTCTGGTAGACTAACCACTGAACAATATTGGGAAGGTACCCAAAAATTGGTTTTAATGCCATACAGAGATCGATTATCGTCGTCTATCAAAATTAAAGATTCCTGATAGGTGTTACTGATACCAGTGCCTTCTGGGGCGTTCTAGGGTCGATGTATATCTTTACGAATGGTGACAACGATGTTCATCACTGGTACATCCGCCTCAATTTTAAGCTATTCTAGTTATGGTACTTAGATATTACTGTTGTCATCGTCTTCTAACGAGTCGGCGACGGAACTTACTAAAGCCTAGTCACTAATCGTACCAGATTCTCTCGCTATTTCCAGTTCCTTGCTCATACTTCGATTGTTAATTTTTTTTATCAACAAATTTCACTACTAGTTCTGGTATCAGCACATGGTAACGTTATCAGCACAGTCATGGTAACGTTATCAGCACAGTCATGGTAACGTTAATTCTCTGAATGAGACCAGTTTTTCACAGAGGCTATGTAGTACCACTTGGGTGAGTCTAACCATGCGATTTGTACAGATTATACTTTGACCACACTTAATTATACCAAAGGCATAGTGTGGTGAAAATCAGCTTTAATGCCCAGAGCTCAGCAACCTGGGCCTGAAGGGTCTAGGAAATTAATTAACTCTTCGAGCTTGAGGACCTTTAGGCTTTGATTTCTAGTCGGTGATTCAGACAGGGGCTAGTTTAATGATGTGGTGATTCAATTAACAGACAAAGTTGAGGGCTAGAGCCGTGCCTCAGAGTTATCAGATAAATTCCGAGGATAGCGTACGTGGTATACGTAGTAAACCTTAGCAAATTAAAACAACTTTCAATCTTCTCCTTCTCGGAGAAGCCGTATTTTGGAATAGCCCCTATCTACATACACCATCGATGTTTACGTCATTAGATGAATATGTCGTCACTCACTCAATTCCAACTCCTCGTGTGTATAAAATGAACATCCTTACGATATCAACCCAGCTACATATCCCACTTCACACCATTACCTTCCCAACCCCTCAACCTTAAAGGCGAAGTTGAACAGCAGAAGGAAATCTTACCTATTGGAACGAAATATTTACTCATCACGATGGGGTAAGTCGATCTCACCAGAGTTGCACCAATTAATTTTGAATACTTTTTCATCTCCATAGCTGTATTATCTCCATATTCGCATGCATCGGCGATGCTATAATGTCTATTATTGCTTGCATAGCAGGTGCACTTGAATGCATTGTCGCAGGTCAGTTAATTTCGGTCCTTAACCAAGATGTTATGACAAACCCTTCTACCTGCTTTCATTTGATTAGCCATAACGAGCTGTATCGTTGGTATATTCGACTGCTTAACCTGTGGATGCTGCAGTTCGAGAAGGACAGCGGCTACGTATTGATACTGGACTGCGTTTTGAAGTTAATGATTAGTTGTATTTGTATGATACATCACGGAACATGACATGTCTGGGGCTACTAACTTTTGGCGCGAACCGGCACACATGGCGCGGTTCTGACGCGGTGGCTGCGCCAACCTTAGACCATAGTCGCTTGGACAATTCTAACACCAGTGCATGTCTATACCACTTCGGTAGAAGTAAGAATGATTCTACGGAGTTCTACTTTGAGGACATCCTTTGTATCTTATTATGTGGCAGCAACACTTCTGTGCAATCCCCACCATCGTCTGCCACCTTCCTTTTGCTACGCATTTGAATAGGCTTTGGTCTGAGATATTGATCATTTGTTGCAGGCTCCAGTAGTAAAGGTTTCGTGTTTGGTATGTAGCCTGATCCATGCTAAGTAGTAACTGTGAGTGGTAATTATGGATGAAAACGGTTTATTTACCTTGATTAGTTCATCCGCATCATCGAAAGACCAGTCGCGGGCATCCATTTCTTCTAAGCCTTCATATGGATTCCAATCGTCTTGATGACACCCAACATCCAAACCCCACTGATAGTATCCAGCTTTCCCGGCTGCCTTGGAGCGCTCGAACATCCGCAGCTCAAGTAATGACAGACATTCACTTTCCACGTCAACAACACCATGCCTGAATTGACGACTAAGCTCGGGATCGGGGTCGCTCTGTTGATGAATCCATGCCTTGTCCAACAAGTACACTTCCTTCTCATTTGCAGATGACAGAAGAAGGTAGTCCTCCTCATTTCCGACTGTGTCTTTGATTCGAGAAGCAATGAGCACTGTTAATGCATGTGAATAAGGTAAACGCCTATGCCACTCATGCTGAGATTTGCGTCCTTGATTGACCTTCTCATCAAACCATTGGGCAACTCGTGCTCTATCTTCCAATGTCAATCCACCCGTGAATGTGATGCTGCTATTGAGTCGTTTTCCCTTCTTCCTCAAATAGTCAAGAGTTGGAACATGTAAGGCCTGAGTAATGGAGCCCACGTCCATCAGGAGAGCGTCCAGTATGGCATGATGAGGTGCAAGTGCTAAATCAATCTCTTCTGTGTGCGGGAAAAGATTGAATCTGAATTCAGATTCTTCATCAGACTGGGGTCCTGGCACTTTCGTGCTACGGTTCCACTTTCCCAGCTGCAAATGTTATGAATGAGACATGTAGAATTGATAGTAGTAGGTATCTCACCCGGATTTCCCGTCGCTTTTTCTGTTGACCCCACAATGCAGAGACAACGTCATCCTCTTCTAGCCACACAACTGACTCAGGGGGTGAAAGTAAACCTTCTGGCCATATACATTCTCGCCACCACTTGAAAAGATAACGGAAACGGGATTTACGAGCTCCCTTTTTCCTTCCTTTTATCACAATTTTTTCCTGTTGAATAATTCTTCCTGGGTACCAATAGCCGCTTACTCTTCCTAAAGCACCTTTTCCTGGCCTGAAAACATGGTCCAGCTGAAACAATATGTATAGAGGGTTTAATTAAGCATATTCTTACCTGAGACGGTCCACCAATGTACGCTCATTTTCACTGTAGGGTTGTATCAGTACTATTGTATGGAACAAAGATAAATGACCAGAATACCCAGGATATATAGGCTTCGAGCCTGGATGAAAGCTTAGAAGCACTTCTTTTATACCATTGTGGTTGCATCCTTGACACAAAAAGGAATGCGAGGCAGGCAAATAACTTGCAAACCCATACCTCTGACATGCAAGATGTTCAATGTTTCGACACATAGCACATTGAATGACTGTCCCATGTAGTTCTTCCTTATGAGTATCTTCACCCACACCACAACGGCAGTTAATATTGCCAGGCGTTGGTGATTTGAGTAGATCTTCAGTTTCTGCATCATACAGACTGTTGATTTGCAGAGGATTACTACGGGCTAGGGGGAAAAGCCATAGTTAGTACAGCTTGTTGTCATTCTTTGAAACATACCTGATTTGTGCTTTGTTTCACTGCTGAAGTCAGGATCATCTGAACTCGATTTCATGGTGATTGTGTCGATGTCAGGAAATGGCTGGACATCTTTTTGAGCAGCATTTGTGGTTTTTTCTGAGAACAAGTCTGAGTGAGTCGAAGACTTTGTTTTTCGGTTTTGTGGTGGAATTTTGATAGTGAGTGATGGCACCCGCGCTGGCTCAGATTCGAGTGGCAATTGGAAGGACACATGTTTCGCAGCTTTAGGAGATTTTCGAGGGCTTTTAGATGGAGATGGAGTTGTATTGAATGATGTGGAATTGTATTCAGCAATAGCAGAACTGTATTTCGAGTTTTGGGATCTCCAGAAAATGTCACTGGTGCGGAGCATAGAGACAGTCGACATATTGAGGGAAAGTGTGGGGATGTGATTTTGGAGAGGATCTGAGTCAGGTGGAGTATGAACAAGGATTTTGTGTATATGTTTGAGTTCTGTGCATTGTCGCTCGAAAAATTTCTTTTGGGTTCCTGTTCCCCCTCGGAGATGATAAACAACACTGTGTGTGGCTTTCCCATGGGGTGCCTCAATGCCTGAACCATACAGATGGGTGTCTACACGTGCATGAGGCTCACGGAAAGGGAACCCGCTACAGTTATCTTCCATATCGTTGTATGTCCATATCCCATTGCGCCGAGGAGTATGAGAATTCCCCACATCAGGAACTGTCGGAGTAGACACTGTGCTATACCTTGCAACAAAGTGTTGATCTCCTACAAGAACACGTCCAACAAAATCATACACCATTTCTGATGTGTCAGATTCCCGATGTGCAGAACCTGAGCTATCTGTAGTTCCAGCCACTTCGGAACCACTACTTATTCCATCGGAGTCATCAGTAACTGATGTTTGCTTTTGACGTTTTCGACGGGTAAGAGGAAGAACAGCAGGAAAGTTCCACATATTATCCTTCGCCTCTGGCTCACCAAGCTCTAGAATCAAGACAATGGGAAGTGAAAGGTAAAACCGCATAGATGTATGTTGACCATCACACATTTGCTCTCCTTCAAGAATCCGATAGCAGCGTTGGACAGGGGATAATGCTCGGTCAACATCTACAAGATCCAGAATAAACTTTTTCACACTTCCCTTGTACTGCTTGCAACTGGTTGCAGTTAACTGAAGTAGGATTTCCTCCTTAGGTACCACACGAAGCTGATAATGTGCAGGAGAGACCTGGGTACCTGTGCAGCACCAGAAGTGGGATATGAGTCCAGAGAAGTAACGGTGTGGGAGATAGTTTAAGACTGCATCTGGTTGGCTGTGTGAATTGAGTTTAAACTTGGTTTCATCTCGCCTGAAGAGGGTAAGTATCCATTCCTAATTTAGGATAGTTAGTCAAAATAATATTGGGGACAATAAATCCATACCCAACATGGATACATATCATAGATTTTGTTGTCTTTCCCAGTTCCAATAATTTTTTCAGCAGCAAGAAATATACGGAAGTTATCCCTCTGAGTTGAAACAGTCCGGACTACCTCCAGTGATTTTTTATCGTATATTTGGGCATGTTTTCGCTTGTCCAACTTGCCGCTAGATATTGATGATGGAGCTGGAAGCTCAGCAAGGGTAAGACGGTATGACTCGAGGACACTGAATAGGGCATAGCTGTGATTTCTTTGAGTTGTAGACTGAAAATGTGATGAGAAACTTTGCCAGTCCCTGTTCACTGCCTGATTTAGCAAATGAAGAGTTGTATCAAGCCAGCAAGAATTCCGATCCCAAGCATAGCTTGGTGCTCCCCGAATCCGAAAGTACTGTGTTAGCTTTCCTTGATATGATGAGCCCTTCAGTTTCCCTATGAGCTCACTAGCTGTATCTGGCGGGCGACCATCATTTCCAGATCTCGAGTCAGTAGACCTGAAACCCTGTGGCACACGTCCAGGATGTGTTGTGCCAGTCCGCTCTTTGATTCGTTTATGGGGTTCAGGTTGTCCATATCGTACTCTCTGATTGCCTAGTATGAAAGTGAGCAAAATCTCTAGATCAAAATGTAATTGATATACTCAGAACTGCATCATATAGGGCATGAAAGTGTTTTGCTACTGTGTGAAGGGCCTGTAGACCTGTGAAGAGCGTGTGATTTTTCCCCTGTGCTGTATACAGGCGCCAGTGCATTGCCTCCTCTGCATTTGTAGTATCCGGCATTGAGGACCAGAGTGCCGGTTCCATGCGCCGTTGACTCTTGAACAGCATTGATGCATGCTCCTCGCGTATCCACCATGCAATCCAGCCATTTGCAAGAGGAAAAGATGCACGAAGCTCGCCTACATGCTGTTGAAATTCCTTCGAGCTTGACAAGTCAAGGAGACCCAGTGCTAAGTTTTCAAAATGGTTGCCAGAGTTTCCAACAACACCGATCATCTTCTTAATGCGGGAGACAGATGCACGATAGTGTTCCCGACATCCCTTCAACAATTCCTGAGCTCTTTCCCGAAGCTGTTCTGGAGTCCGAGTGTCACTTGGGATTGAAGTCCAGATGTCAACAAAGGCTTCGATCCATCCCTCTCGTTCTGCTTGCGAAAAGTCGATGATCTATGATATTTGGAAGTTAGCATTAGGGACACTATACTGATTAGAATGCAGAGTCTTACTGTCAAAAGTTTATCATCAGATAAAAGTATTTTAGCCTGCTCCAACTGCTCCACTACAATTTGATTAGCTGCGAGAAAGTGTCGACGGTAATGCTCGCTAGTGGCCCCATCTGCATAGGAGAATATCCCAGGTGTCCAGCACCGTAAGCGTTCATTGTATACTGAGCTAATGATCAGAAGATCGGTACGTTTCTTCCAAAATCCATGAGCAGCATCGGAGACAATTGACAAGACCGTGCCTACAGGTCAATAGCTATAGAGGTTCTGAGGCCGGATCTGGCCCGGGAATGGCCCGGGATAATTCCGAGGTCCGGAACGGAGTATTGGCCTGTAGTACACACTGGGAGTGGGACGTCGGTGAAGCTATTAGCAACACCCTTCACACACTGTTGGTGTCCCCGGGAATATAATGGCAAGAGTGCAAGATTGGTATGAGCAGCCTAAATGGGGTTCCTGATGATCCGGGAGTCCGGAAGCAAAGGGTAAAGAAGATATTAAAGACTGGGATAGGATGGTACACTTGATTTCAAGCTTGACTACAACGTACAAAGTATTCTAGCTTATATACATCCCAAATACAGTAGTCATAAGACCTCGATGAAAGCTCGGAATAATAAATAAGTCACAAGGTAATTACTCCGAAGTCCGGCCGCTCCGGGCCGGGCCGGGAAGCGTATGGGGTGAATTGCATGCATATGACAACAATTCCGTTGACTGCATCATCTGTAAACTGAGACAGTTCACCAAAGCGGGCTCGCATCCATGGAGATGCCACTGATACGATGCCGACTGGGTCAACTTGCGCACAGAGAATGAAGTCGGGATGTTCAGCTCTGAAATCTTTTAACTTTTGGAAAAAATCAGATGCTTCACCGGAAGCACCATGTTGTCCCCGAAGAACATTTTGGACAATACGTGCCTCTTTTGCAACACGGTCCGGGTTGATTAAAGGTTGAGCGATTTCATGTGCTGCAACATCTGGACGTCCATCTGGACCAGATACACCATAGGCAAGGGCAGAAGGGGTTGCTTGTGGATGACGGCGGACGAGATCAATGAAATCGAATTCTTGTTGAGCAGTCAGATGCAAGACCTGGTCGGGGCGTCCATGGTCATGGCTTCCACCGTTCACATAGTGAACTCCATCTCGCCACTTGTACAACCTCGATCTGACTGCACAACTGTAATGGACCATATATCCTCCACATACTGAGCAGACAGGAGGATTCACTTTCATTGCAGAGATTTTGTCGTCACGAGTGGGTGCTCGGAGTTTCCTAATCTTACAAGTATCACAAGCAAAGACACCTTGACATTTACGCTCTGTTGTCAATCCTTCTTGCCAGTTCAAAGCAGCGATTGACCCTCCTTTAATTCCACGTGAACGGTAACTCCAATGAACCCCTAACTCCTTCGATGCAAAGAATGTGGCCCAGTCAACATCGAATTCTACATCTCCGTCTGGCCAGCCAGACCAGCGTTTATGGAATTCCGACGAGTGCTCTCTCTGATTCATGCTTGAATGAATAGGCTGACAAGTGGTAGCAGTGGTGGCGGCGTTGATTGGAACGGCAGGAACAGGCATCATTGATAGGGAAGAGGACATCGGTGGTACTTGTACAGGATAGGGATGAAGTGCTGACGGAGATAAATGTAAATACATGGAAGAAAGATGTGATAGAAGGTGACGCACAAGCAACCATTGAAGGTCTACCCAGAGGTTGAGGAGCCGAAGGTATCATGTACCCTCGAATTTGGCCTGCAATTTTATCAAGTCGTGAAAGGCAGGTAGACATAATTCACCAGATGTATTCACCTGCATCGGAAAAGATGGGAAGTAACAAGCCTGACTTGATATGTTCTGAGAATACAAATCAATGAATAGAACAACGGAATGAGAATGGGAACAAACCTTCAAGAGTGGCCTGGGCTAAAGGACTTGATGTAGGAGCTGAAACCGACGGATTGACAGCAGCTGATCTTAGAGGAAGCAATCGATGAGTCGCAGAGGACTGCAGGGGATTGTCACAGGTTTCAGTTTGTGGTAAAGGCTGTGAGCATATGATTGAGCCACGAAGTGAATCAACAATAGAGAGACATTACCATGCAAAATCACCAATGTCTTGATAAAAAGTAAAGAAAAAAGTCGATGACCATCGGAACCCTCTTCCATTTTCAGGTCCGAGCATCGCCAATTCACCTCCGGTTCAATGTCCGAGCATTGCCAATTCACCGCGCCACATTCCGCGCCATTCCGCGCCAGGCTGAGATGGCGCGTGAGATTACTTCGCGCCAGTTGGCTCCTATTCCGCGCCAATCTGCGCCATGGATTTATGGCGCGCACGATATTATCTGGGACAGTAGTCTGTACACATTATATCAGCCCAGAAACAAGAAGGTAGCGGAACACACTCACAAAAGTTACTTCCAACAGAAGAACCCTAGTGAATGGCCGAGATAGCGAGGAACTGGAAGAGCAGAAATATGAAAGGACACAGAGAAGAACTTACCAAACGGAAGTCAAACTCAGATTCTCATTGAGTATTGCCAAATATAGGATAAAAACTGAGGATTTCACAGAGGTAGCAAAAGAGTGAAAGATGTTGATACTTAGAAGTTAGTGATGAATGTCATTCTGATGATGGGAATACCACATTTGCAACTCATCAGCAAAGCTCCTTCCACTGTTCTATCGATAAAGACAATTGAAGGAACGACGGCGTTGAAACCAACCGATATCGAGGATTGAACCCGAAGTACTGAAAGTTTGGAAGACCAGACTATCCTGTAGAACGAACGGATTTTATTTCGAATGATCATTACAGGGGCTCAATCGCGTGGGATGCAGACTACAGGAAGGGAAGAACATCTCTGAGGTGTACGTGGTTGAAAGGGATCCAACGTCCGATAAGTACGAGGTTTGTACGAGGTGACAATACCCGCGCCACATGTTGTGGGAAGACGCGTCCCGGTGTGCCGGTTCGCGCCATTTTCTGGTGGCCCACATGTCTGCCTTTCAACCGTCGCGTTTCAAAAAATTTCCCCTTGTCCAATGTTTTATTGTTTGGTAAAGTAGTATGTATACGCGAAACTGAGCAAATTCAATCGGTACTTGCTGCGGCGTGATCGTTCGTTAAATTTCGTCTCCAATCTCACAGCAACGCCAGGATACATAAAAGGCAAGTACGGGTGGATGTGCAAAGGTTGCGCCAGTGGCGGTGTTGAATTTTATTTCCAAACAAGCGCCGGAAGGCTTATCATAACAGTGCAAGGCACGGATCTTTTTTCTTCTTCTTCCTCTCAGCCTACGCTTTTCAATCGCCAGCACATCGTAGGCCGAGAGGAAGCAAGACTGACAACTATCCTCCAATACATCCAAAATTTATATCATGGCCCTTTTCACTCCCTCTGACGCTTCTGCCAGACCTTCTTTAACGCGCGGTACCAGTAATTTCTCGCAAAAAATTCCAACTCCGGTCGCTAGTGCTGGAATAACATCGTCAGACGCTGATGTTGACGCCGTTCTAGAGCTTTCTGACGGATCAGCATACCGAGGTATCAGTTTTGGTGCCGAAGGAAAAAGTATCACTGGAGAATGTGTTTTTCAGACCGGTGCGTTCAGTGCGATCTCTTGAAAATTTTAGTCGTTGTTGAGGATAATTTTTTTCAGGAATGGTTGGCTACACGGAATCGTTGACCGATCCCTCGTATGAAGGCCAGATCCTCGTTCTTACATATCCCTTGATTGGGAATTATGGAGTTCCACAACGACCTGCCAATCCCCTTGATGACCTTCCTCTTGAGTTTGAGTCGTCTCGTATACATATTGCCGCCCTTGTGGTTGGCTATTACTCAAAAGAATTCAGTCACTTCCTCGCGAAATCGTCCTTGGCTGCATGGCTAAAGGAGAACGGGGTCCCTGCTATATACGGCGTCGACACCCGTGTCCTGACTAAAAAGATCCGAGAAAAAGGATCTATGCTCGGTAAATTGCTGGCAAGAAACCCCGGAGCTCATGCAGGTCGGAGACTTGCTATTAATCCGCCGCCATCCGCGGCTCCATCGAGAGCCTCATCGCCAAATTCTCGCTCCTCCTGGAGAGAGGACTATCTTGACATTCCGTTCTCGGATCCTAACCGAACTAATCTTGTTGCTGCTGTTTCCATCACCGAGCCGCGTTTCTACAAAGCGCTTGGCACACCTTTACTTCATCCCTCCGGGCGTCCTGTCCGCGTCCTCGTACTCGATGTTGGGATGAAATACAACCAGATCAGGTGCTTCATTAATCGTGGTGTTGAACTCAAGATTCTACCATGGAACTACGATTTTCTCTCTGAATCGGAACCCTATGACGGTCTTTTCGTGTCTAATGGTCCCGGAGATCCAACCATGGTAACAGAGACGATTGCGCGCCTTTCTCGCGCCATGGAACGCGCCGACCGACCCATCTTCGGCATCTGTCTCGGTCATCAGCTGATGGCGCTTGCTGCCGGGGCTACCACGTCGAAGATGAAGTACGGAAATCGTGGGCACAACATTCCTTGCACCGACGCACTTTCTGGTAGATGCTACATCACCAGTCAAAATCACGGTTTCCAGGTTGATACCGACACCCTTCCTTCAGGGTGGAAAGAGCTCTTCCGAAATGCCAACGATAACAGTAATGAGGGTATCTACTGTGTAGATAAACCATTCTTCTCCGTCCAATTTCACCCCGAGTCCACTCCTGGTCCACGCGACACTGAATTCCTATTTGATGTTTTCATCAAGAACATTGTTGATTGTGCCGCCACAAACTCTCTCGTTCCCATTTCCATGCCCGGTGGCAAAAAAGAGGAAAACGACAAGCGCATTCCGAGGGCCAAAGTCAGTAAAGTGATCATTCTTGGTTCTGGGGGTTTGTCAATCGGTCAAGCTGGCGAATTCGACTACTCTGGATCGCAAGCCATTAAGGCTCTAAAGGAAGAAGGCATCTACACCATCATGGTGAATCCCAACATTGCTACGATCGCCACCTCCAAGGGATTAGCGGATAAAGTCTACTTCCTCCCTGTTACACCCGAATTCGTGCGAAAGATCATCAAGTACGAGAAACCAGACGGTATTTACGTGACCTTCGGAGGACAAACCGCGCTGAATGTTGGAATCAAGCTCAAGGATGAATTTGCTGAGCTCGGAGTTCAGGTTCTTGGAACACCGATCGACACTATTATCACCACGGAGGACAGGCAATTGTTCGCCAGCGCTATGGAAGAGATCGGCGAGAAGTGCGCGAAGAGCTTCACCGCCACTAATCAGGACGAAGCGATAACCGCCGCCAACGCGATTGGATTCCCCGTTATTGTTCGAGCGGCGTATGCTCTCGGAGGACTTGGTTCTGGGTTTGCGCAGAATGCTGAACAGTTGAAGGCTCTTTGTAGGAAAGCTTTTGCTACTAGTCCTCAAGTTCTGGTGGAAAAAAGTATGAAGGGGTGGAAGGAAATCGAGTACGAGGTCGTTCGAGATTGCAGGGACAATTGTATCACCGTTTGTAACATGGAGGTAAGTCCCTTAACATCTGAGTGCTTCCTAGTTTCTCATTTTTCTCTCTGCATTTTAGAATTTCGATCCACTTGGTATCCATACCGGCGACTCCATAGTCATCGCACCTTCGCAAACTTTGTCGGACTCTGACTACAACATGCTACGAACGACGGCGGTCAACGTCATTCGGCATCTCGGAGTCGTCGGAGAGTGCAACATCCAGTATGCGTTGAATCCAGAATCTCAAGAGTATTGTATCATCGAGGTAAAGCCTGTGTTAATTTCTGTCCGTCGTTGCCTATTCATGCATTCTATAGGTCAACGCTCGTCTCTCTCGATCTTCCGCTCTCGCCTCGAAAGCCACGGGATATCCACTAGCTTTCATCGCTGCCAAGCTCGGTCTTGGTATACCACTTAACGAAATCAGAAACTCAGTGACAAAAGTAACGAGCGCTTGCTTCGAACCTAGTTTAGACTATGTGGTGGTCAAAATACCTCGGTGGGATCTGAAAAAGTTCAATCGCGTCAGTCGCCTGTTGAGCAGTAGCATGAAGAGCGTGGGCGAGGTAATGAGTATCGGGCGAACATTCGAGGAGACATTCCAAAAAGCTATTCGAGCTATCGACGACCAGTTCTCCGGGTTTGCCCAGGTACGTTTGCCTGATATAGCCCTGGGGTAGGATTTACTTACTCTTTTGCGATGTATTTCAGAACGATTACGTCGAGGATATTGACGAGGAATTGGTCAATCCTACGGACAAGCGCATCTTCGCCATCTCTACGGCCTTCCATCGTGGATACAGCGTTGACAAAATCTGGAAAATGACCAATATCGACAAGTGGTTCTTGACGAAGTTACATCATATTTTTCAAACGGAAACTTATCTCATGTATGTTTCGCCAACCGAACTTTATCTGTATACCAATTTTTGTTTCGCAGGGGCCTCAATATAAACACTATCACCACGGATGACTTACGTCGTTCAAAGCAGCTTGGATTTTGTGACCGTCAATTAGCAAGCTGTCTAGGTTCGACAGAGCTTGCCGTTCGGCGCCTCCGCCAAGAGCTCGGAATTGCACCCTTTGTCAAGCAGATCGATACCGTTGCCGCCGAATTCCCCGCCTTCACTAATTATCTCTACACGACTTACAATGCCATCGAGAACGATATTACGTTTGAAGAGCGCGGAGTGATGGTTCTTGGGTCTGGCGTCTACCGGATTGGTTCTTCCGTCGAATTCGACTGGTGTGCTGTCCGAGCTATTCGAACACTCCGAGATCAAGGTCTGCCGACAGTCATGGTCAACTACAACCCAGAAACCGTCAGTACGGATTACGACGAAGCCGACCGCTTGTACTTTGAGAATATCAGCTTGGAGACCATCCTCGACATATACGACACGGAGCAGGCGCGAGGTGTCATCCTGTCCATGGGAGGCCAGACGCCGAACAATATTGCTCTTCCCCTGTACCGACAGAATGTCAAAATATACGGAACATCTCCGGAAATGATCGATACTGCTGAAAATAGGTTCAAGTTCTCCCGTCTTCTGGACGAGATAGGTGTCGACCAACCGTTATGGAAAGAGCTGACCAGCTTCGAGGAGGCAGAGGCTTTTTGTGAAAAAGTCGGCTACCCGGTTCTAGTCAGGCCTTCGTATGTGCTTTCGGGTGCTGCTATGAACGTTGTGTCCACCGGAGATGACCTAGCCAATTACCTCACACAAGCCACGGCTGTCTCGCGCGATCACCCTGTTGTCATCACAAAGTACATTGAACAAGCTAAGGAGATCGAAATGGATGCTGTCGCCAAGGATGGGAAACTGATCATGCATTACATTTCCGAGCACGTCGAGAACGCCGGTGTACATTCTGGAGATGCCACTTTGATCCACCCTCCTCAAGATTTAGACCCACAAACAGTTCGTCAAATCGAAGAGGCCACTGCCAAAATCGGTAATGCGCTCAATGTTACCGGACCATATAACATTCAGTTCATCGCCAAAAACAACGAGATCAAAGTCATTGAATGTAATCTTCGAGCAGCTCGTTCCTTCCCTTTCGTCTCCAAAGTCACTGGCATAGACGCGATCGAAATGGCCACCAAAGTTATGCTCGGAATTCCGGTTGAGCCATACCCAGACGCTGGCATGCCTTCTGATTACGTCGGTGTCAAGGTTCCGCAGTTCAGCTTCAGTAGGCTTTCAGGAGCCGATCCTGTTCTCGGTGTTGAGATGGCTTCTACGGGCGAGGTCGCCTGCTTCGGCAAAGATAAATACGAAGCTTATCTAAAAGCTCTCATCTCGACCGGGATCGTTCCTCCAAAGAAAAATATACTGTTCTCGATTGGTAGCTATCGAGAGAAGCTTGAGCTTTTACCTTCTGTGCAAAGACTGAGTGCTGCAGGGTACAATATCTTCGCTACATCTGGAACTGCCGACTTCCTGACAGAGCACAATGTTTCTTGCAAGGTATGCAACAATATCATCAATTATATTTCATGGCCTGATTTGCTGCTCAGTACCTCGAGACGTTGGGAGATGACAGTCGGGACGCGCAAAAGTCTGAATATTCACTCACTCAGCACCTTGCAAATAACCTCATCGACATGTACATCAATTTACCATCCAAAAATCATTACCGCCGCCCCGCCAGCTATACGAGCAAGGGTTATCATACTCGTCGTATGGCCGTCGATTTTGCCATACCCTTGATCACCAACGTCAAAAACGCGAAGATGTTAGCCGAGGCCTTGGTGCGGAAACTACCACTCGACGTGTCTAGTGTTGATTCCAAGAGCTCGCATCGCACACATACGTTCCCTGGCTTGGTAAACGTCGCGGCCTTTGTTCCAGGACTTGCTGTACCAAATAGTCAAGACTTCATCGATGCGACCCGCGCCTCAATTAGCGCCGGGTTCACAACCTCCATTATTATCCCACAAGCTCAGGACAATGGAATAGTCGATCGTGCGACCCTCGAGGTGGCGAAGGCAAACGTCCTCGGGTCCGCCTACTGCAATTTTGCACTGAGTTTGTCTGCATCCGCCGATAACGTTCATGTCTTCGATGAAGAACTTAAAGCAGACGCCAAAGCTCTATTCATTCCTTTCCGTATCGCCAACAAACCCATTCCTTTGTCTGCTGTCGCTGCCCACTTTAGCTCTTGGCCTACGGAAAAACCTATTATTACAGATGCCAAGGGTTCGGACCTTGCATCTTTGCTCCTCCTTGCTAGCCTACATAGTAGATCCATCCATGTCACCGATGTGCAAACTATCGACGACGTGCTTTTAATCTCTTTGAGCAAAGCCAAGAATCTCAAAGTGACGTGCGACGTTTCGGTGTACTCTCTTTTCTTTACACGCGAACAATTTCCTTTGGCTCCATTCTTGTCATCCCTTGAAGATCAAAAGGCCTTGTGGAAGAAGCTTGACTTGATTGATGCTTTCTCCGTAGGTAGCTCACCCTACAAGATGGCCGTTGAGATTAACGAGGTTGGCTCTGCGGCTTCTGGGATGGAGGAGGCACTTCCCCTACTACTTACTGCTGTCACTGAAGGCCGGCTATCCTTGCAGGATATCACTACTCGCCTGCATGATAACCCGGTCCAGATATTTGGTCTTCCCGAGCAGGCCCAGACTCATGTCGAGGTAGTGCTCGGTCGGCAGGCCCCCTTCGTGACACGTCCTTCATGTTGGTCGCCTTTAGGACAAACACTCGTGTCTGGTGCTATCCATCGGGTGATTGTTCATGGTCAAACCTCCTTCCTTGATGGCTCCCTCTCCCAAACTCCCTTGGGCAAGGACATTTCCAGCGCCACTATTAGTCATGGCTTAAGCGCTGTTGTACCTCCCTCTCCCGCCCTTAAACCATCCGACCATCTGGTGTCTACAACTTCTGTGACTCAGTCTCAGGCTGGCGGATCTTTGATGTACGGGCCACTGACTCACAGCCAGAAGCACTTTACGTCGATTCAACCTCACCCCTCATTCTACCGGCGTCATATTCTCTCGGTCAAACAATTCACCCACCGGGATATGTATGATCTCTTCTCCCTCGCGCATGAGATGCGTCTACAAGTCGAACGAAACGGAACTCTTGACATACTGAAGGGCAAAGTTTTATGCACAGCATTCTACGAGCCATCGACTCGTACTAGCTCCTCTTTTGACGCAGCCATGAAACGCTGTGGCGGCCAGGTGGTACAGATAACTGCGGATAGCTCGTCAGTTGTTAAAGGGGAGTCTCTACCAGACACAATTAGGACGTTGGGATGTTATGGAGATGCCATCGTCATCCGGCATCCTGATGTAGGGAGTGCTCAGACGGCTGCGAAGTTCTCTCCCGTACCGATAATCAATGCTGGTGATGGGGTTGGTGAGCACCCTACACAAGTGAGTTCTGTTTATTCAAATCGTTATCAAGAAGTCTCATGGAGTTTTGTTAGGCTTTACTTGATGTTTACACGATCCGTTCGGAACTTGGTACCGTGAACGGGCGGACTATCACACTGCTTGGGGATCTCAAGAATGGACGAACAGTCCACAGTTTGGTGAAGCTATTGTGTTTGTATCAAGTTCGTCTCAACTTTGTGTCGCCACCGTCTTTGGCCATGCCTTCCGGTGTAGTATCTGCCGCTCGAAAAGCTGGCGTTCCGGTACATCAGTGCGAATCTCTGGATGAAGTCCTCGCCGATACTGATGTATTATACGTGACACGGGTTCAGAAAGAAAGGTTTGAGACGGAGGTCGAATGGCAGCAGGTGAAGGATGCATATCGTGTCGATCACGCAGTATTGTCCAGAGCGAAGGAGGAAATGATTGTCATGCATCCTCTTCCACGAGTCAATGGTGATTTTCTTTCGAATAAGAAGGTAAAACGGCTACTGAAATAGTTTGTGTAGAAATTGATGCCGAAGTCGACTTCGATTCTCGTCGTGCGGTGTATTTCCGACAAATGCGGTACGGTCTTTTCGTAAGTCTATCTCGACTCTATGTCTATGGAGTCTTGCTCAATTTACCTGTACAGATTCGAATGGCTTTGCTTGCTAGCGTTATGGGCTAGAGAAGTTACCAATAACATAGGTAGTACGTTATATTTAAGACGGAGACATAAATCAAAAGTAGATACAGTAGATACGCTTTGGGACATTGCTAATTGTATGTGCTTCGTAGAAGGATTCTCATTGGATGAGTACCTAGCTTCAGAAGCAGACCAATTGAGGCAAATTGAGGACAAAATTGAGGGGCAAACCAGGGCGAATAGGCCTTGTGGTGGCTGGAAGACAGATGTCTATAATAATCCCACGGACTTCTTTCAATCTCAACGGGAATGTCTTCCAACAAGTCCTAAATATCTATTCTGTTTCTTTCCGAAGCCTCTCTCAATAACACAACATGAATTACGATTCAGATGTCGCGATTCTGAAATCGCCCGGTTCACGCGTGGAGACCTCCCGGCAGCGTTTTGTAGACTACACCTTATAATTGTGAACAGCCTGTTGCTCTACATGGATCTCCACAAAGTCAACTCTCAAATTGCTCTAGTTGGCTCTCAATTGACAAAACCCGAGGAGTCTCAACCATCACGACATTCCACCTCATCTCCAGACTTCGGAATCGAAGGGCCTCGGAGAACATCACCAACCAACTTTAACACCCTCACAGAAGGAGACGGAAATCCAGCTCCTAGCTCCTCTCGAGGAATCGAAAGCAGACATAATTCTGTACTTCCTCCGCTACCTGCTGCTCGAGGGAATGGCGATGCTGCTCGGCGCTCCGAAATACCTCGTACACTCGAAACACTGCCAGCACAATCTCCCACTCGGAGATCCAACATCGACTGGATAGTTCCACTTGAACCAGAACACAAGGAGACAACGACCAATGTAGTAAAAAATGAACACCTGAAGATCTGAAATTGTGCTGACACGTTGGAACTTTCTGTAGCCTCGGGCGAAAACGGTGGGGGAACGATTACTGCCGACCTTAGAGAATGCGGAGGCAGAGCGCACTAACTACGCTCTGAGAGCGAAGATGACCGGATTTGCTCTCAATGTAGCTATAGGTGAGCATTAACGGCATTGACGGTTATTAACGAAAATAACCTGCAGCAGGTCTTCAAGTACTGCTCGGCGCGTTAACAACAGCCATATCTGCCGCGACCTCCGGAAAACAGGTGCGGCGCTACGCAATCATGGCCTTTACCATTTAATCAGACATTCCTCCTGTCAGACATCTATCGCAGTGTCAGTTCTTGGTAGGTTATGTGATATTGGTGCATTCTGCGTGTCACTATGCTTTTCTCATCGATACCATTTTTATCCTTCTGATCATAAGGTGGATTATCTACTCTGGTCGCGTCTTATCTTGCGCGTGCTCGAGGGTCAAACGAGCCGGAGCTCTCAATCATACGTGTCAAGGATCTTGATCAGTTCATTCGAGAATGCAAGGCTTTCGATATGGATTTTGGACACCTAACCGGGGATGCATACGACGAACGGTTGCAGAAGTTTCGGACTCGATTTGAGGAGCTCCTCGGGAATGCTAATGGGTGAGCCTCACTTTCTCCTATTGGTTTCGGAACGCCACCATGTCCTTCCTCACGTTCATTTCAGGGAAAGACGCCTGGCAAATGTGTAAATTAACACTAGGGGGCATTTTCCGGTGGCCATCCTTAATCAATACTGACTGGACTAGGCCGGATTGGAAGAACTCTTCGAATCTTTTAATCGACCTGCAGACTATAAGTCGAGTATTCGTTAGGCGCCTGTATAGAGATCTTTTCCACCAATCCACCAAATGACCTCTCCCGATGGGCTCAAATCAGGCAGGTATCTACAATGAAATTATACCGTGCCTTCTCCGCTCGTGGGCATTTTGATACTTTTCTAAAGTTATCGTTATTTGTTATATCACGAACCAAGTAAGAATATGTTATTTGACAAAAAATTTCAACACGCAGCGCGCTGTGTGGATTGTTCATTGACTATGGCGTTCTCCGTGGTGTGTATAACTACATACATTCTGCGAGGTCTGAAGCGGATCAAGATGTTCTTCATCGTTTGTTCTCTGGCTGCTAAAAGAATCTCTAAAGTGGCTGAATACGATTTGTGAAATCAATTACATAGTTTCCTTCCTCTGTAACTCTGCGGGAGTGAGCTAATAGTAGGGACGATAACCAGGCGGTAACCTACGCACTTCGCCTTTTTATACGTCGGTCATTGCTAGAGGTCACAAGGTAAAGTTTATAGGAAACTTGCTCCCAGTCATACTTCGCCAAGTTACGACATGCATGGTCCACCGACACAATCGCACGCGAAGCTAGTTCTTGATTGACAGTCGGATGTTGAATATACAAAAATTTCATAAAATTGCTGGTTCGTTTGCATTCGGTGCTTTAGTGGTTCAACCTGTTCGATTACTTAACCGGCTCCTTTACCTCGATAATTTGTGTTCGCCTTGAGGTCTATCCAGCTGTCGATTGACTTGTTCAGATATGAGTGAGGTGGAACACAATTTCCTGTTGGTCGTTCAAACCGCACAACACAGATACACAGGTGGCAAGATAATACATCCAGTCATACATTTGAGGCTCTAGTGAAACGTACATACAAACGGTTCTGGAATTCTTCCTTGGGATACTGCGACGCATTCAATCAAGTCAAGTGGGACAACACAGTCTCCGCGCGGGTAATTGTAGCCTGCGACGGATCCTCCTCAATGAAGATGGATTCGACTTTGTCGTTCTCCGCAATGATGACATAGCGCTTCGAGCGAGGTGCACCAAACTTGGGCGTGGCATCGAACATCAACCCAAGCGCACTGGTGAAGGTACCCTTGTCGTCTGCCATGAAACGGACACCTGTGAATCTATGCGTGTGAGAACTTGGGACGGAGACAGATCGTGCAGTATACCCGACCTGTCCCTGTGGGAGCCAAATGTTCCTTCCATGCCCTGTAAAAGTAGGATTAGTCAGGAACGTCGGATGAGTAGGGCGCGAAGTTGCTATTCTACTCGCAGAGATTTTGGAATTGAACATACTTCATCGCAAAGACATCATTTACAGCGACAACATAGACTTCGTTAACACCTTTAGCCTTGAACTTGTCGTAATTATTGATATATCCCGGAATCTGAACGGTGCAGGTTCCAGAGAAAGCACCGGGAACGCCCACCTGAAGAGTTGAACACATGAACTGACAGTTTTGATGAAAAAAAGCAAAGATAAGACGCACAATCACAGATTTCCCAGAGAATGTTAGTGGAGCTGAGGAGGTTGGAGTAGTTTCCTTGACGGGATGTTCAGGAATGGTCGCGCCAGGCTGAATTTGAGCCTTGCTCAGAAGCGAGACGGCGAGAGAATGAGCAGCTTCGGCGGATGTCGTGATAATGGAAGTCATCTTGTAGTGGGGGTGAGCGGTGGTGGTAGAGGTTTAAAGAGTCTCAGTTTGCTCGATGAGAAAATGTTGGAAACTCATCGCTACTCTCCCACTACTTCATTCGGTATTCATTAACCGACACAGATGACCGTGGACAAAAGAACGTATCCAGGGCACAGTCAAAGCTGTTACACTGAGTTCCAAGTCGAGAACTTTGTCGACGGCAGGATGAGTGTCCATCTACGACGTACGTGAAGCCGTTGCCGGTCAGTGTCACTTGACACTGAAGCGAAATCTGATGACCACGTGGTGGCTTCTGTGTCACATCAACGGCGCCATCATTGGTTCTTCTGTTTTTCTGAAATTCAAAGTCCTCTATCTTTCTTCTCAACATAATCATGAAAGACTGCCACTTCCTCCTCATATCGTCGTTTGAATTTCATCGATAATTACACGATTGACTTGGTGATTGCGCGATGATTGCTATTCGGAACAGAGGCAGAAGCACGCCATCGCACCAACTTAAAGAGTCAGGCGACTGAATTCATCCTCTTATCCCGAACCACATCTTTTCCCTTTTCATAAATGGCTGACTCGCAACAGTTCCACAAGTAGGTCCTTCGAGAAAAAGACGTTCGTGTATTGTACTAACAAGCATTGTCAGAGCACCTGAATTCGACACATTGATGGTCCATGCCGGCCAGACACCAGATACCGCCGTCCATGTAACTTCATGTTTCATAATTCATTGATTATGACTGGTAGCTGACTTGCAAGACTCCCAGTCTCGCGCTGTTCCTATCTATGCAACGACATCTTTCGTTTTCAATGATTCCGCGGTACGTGACTTCCTCTTCAACTACACGCAAGCATCTCAATCTTATTCATCTATCCAGCACGGTGCAGACCTCTTCGGCTTGAAGTAAGCACCTGTCATCAACTCATGTCTAACGACAAGTTCTTACGTGCACTATCATTTTTAGAACTCCGGGATTCATCTACTCCCGAATCGGAAATCCTACAGTGGTTAGTAAGACACTGCGAAACAACATGCATAGTCGGTCTAACTGATGTATTTTAGGATGTGTTTGAAAACAGGATGGCTGCTCTTGAAGGCGGTGTTGGCGCTGTAGCCACAGCGTCTGGCCAGGCTGCCCAATTTTTGGCCATTTCTGCTCTAGCAGATGTTGGGGACAATGTTGTTACAAGGTGCGCACTATGCCAGTTGATTTTCGAGTGAAATATTGATGGCTGTCCCTAGCTCATTTTTGTACGGTGGAGTAAGTTTTCGAAAATTACACGTTGAATGGATGTTGAAAGTCATTCTTCCACTGTTCCTATCAATATTAGACTTACAACCAGTTCAAAGGTTCTTACCTGTATCTCTTTCACGTTCTTCATGATGTCTGATTGTAGTTCTATGCATTCAGTCACCCTCAAGAAGTACGGGATTCATGCCAAATTCGTTACCGAAACAGATCCTGCTGCCTTTGCCGCTGCCATTGACGAAAAAACGAAAGCAATCTATATCGAGAGTATCACAAACCCAAAGTATCATGTTATCGATATTCCGGTGCTTGCAGAGGTAGTTTTCTTTCCTTTATCGCGTTTCAATACCATCGCTTACCATCTCCTACCCACCTAGATCGCTCACAAACACGGTATCCCTTTGGTCGTTGATAATACTTTTGGTATGGGAGGATACCTCATCCGCCCTCTTGACCATGGTGCCGATATCGTCGGTAAATCAGTGGCGCTATCTCTTTGCCTCGCCGTACCTGATCACACCTTGATTTCTTAGTTCACAGTGCTACCAAATGGATTGGTGGCCACGGCACGACTATTGGAGGCGTTATTATTGACGGCGGGAAGTTCAACTGGAAATCTCCCAAATTTCCAGGATTCACAAACCCCGCGGAAGGATACCATGGTTTAGTTTTTGCGGATCTAGGTCCAGCTGCATTCAGTATCAAAGTTCGAACTGAGGTGAGTGAAAGTTCGGACTGACTCTACTAGTCTTCCATAATGAACTTTCTCTCGAAATATAGTTCCTTCGAGACGTAGGCCCCTGCCTCTCGCCATTTGCTGCCTTCCTACTTCTTCAAGGACTTGAGACTCTTTCTCTTCGCGGCGAACGCCATTCTTCGAATGCTCTCGCCGTCGCGCAGTACCTAGAAAAACACCCCAACGTCAAATGGGTGTCATATCTCGGCTTAACATCGCACAAATCGCACGAGACGGCGAAAAAACTGTTGAGGCCAGGTGTATTCGGCGGAATACTAAGCTTTGGGCTCGATGGTGATGCAGCTACTGGGAGTAAATTTGTGGATAGCTTGAAATTGGCGAGTAATCTAGCAAACGTTGGTAAGTGAAATCTAGGAACACATGTTGGGATGTTTGCGCAATTGCTAACTTTGATGATTGTTATTGCAGGTGACGCTAAGACTCTCGTCATCCACCCTGCTAGTACGACACACTCTCAACTCACGGAAGTAGAACAGCTGCAATCAGGTGTTCCTCCCGACCTTATTCGTGTTTCCATTGGAATTGAAGACTATCGGGACATTATCGCTGATCTCGATGCCGGATTTAAGATTGCGTTTGAGCAACCATAACTCATCGGGGCCTGAAGCTTTTTTAACGATCCCATAAATGTCAAACTGATCAAGGAGGAGCAAATGAATGGAATGTGGATGTGTAGAGTATACCAATAGGCTAAATTAAGAGTAGAATCAAGTGTTTTTTCCACTGAACCCCAGAGAACCCCCCATCCAGATAAAATGATATTCCACCGTCTCACGATGAGATTCGATCACTCCCTATTTATTCTCCGTCACTGAACGCGGTTTGAATAGGTTTTATGGTATGTATGTGATTGAAAATGATTGAGCTCATGCTCGAGACTTAGCATCTAGGGTACGCAGATGGAGGAAGACCATTCTTCTCGATATGGATTGCAACCGATGCTCTGACGTTGATGTCGATGTTGATCTCGTGTCCAAAAGAGAAGCAACTTAAGGCAATACATTTGTTCACGTTCATTTTTGAATCATACTCACCCTGTTGATCATAGGCGCTGCTAGTTTGGCCGTGGTATTCTGAGCCAATCCTTCTCTCAGCTTTCAACATCTAAAGAAAACAAAGAAAAGAGATTTCTATTTCAAAAAATGGGAACTATGACTTACTCATGGAAGAACGAGTCCTGTCGTCTCGCCCTCCTCCATCTAAGTACCTACGGTAGAGCTCTGCTTCTCCCGCGAAGATTTTGAAGATTGCAAATGGCAAAATCCAGTAATCTATTCAAGCCTATTCATTTCAAGTCGAATCTGGTCATTTCCTTTGATTTCATGCACATATCTCTATATAAACATACTGTAAGTAGCTAAATTCGAGACTAGTACTCACTAGTATTCACCCTCCGACTTACCAATCGATCGGTTGAGCTGACTGGTGCGGCGCATCGAAACAGTCTGGTTGATAGGATCCAGAACCAGTAGAGCCCTATAGGCTTAGGTATACAGTAGGTTTTTTCTAATTTATCGCTTCCAAGCATTTTGGAAAATAGGGTAAATATTTCAAACTCCAATTCAGGAGGAGCTGATAATGGTTTATAGTTTCCAGAGTACTTAACAGCTTACTTTACGGGTCTTTCTACCACATCAACTTATGGCTTCCAACTTGACGACACCAGAGGAGGTAAGAGTGTAGCATATTTTTGCACTACCTATCTCATTTAAGTTGTTTGTTTGAATACAGACAACTCCTCCAACCATTGAACTACACGGGATTATCATCGGAGGAAGCATATCCGGACTCTCAGCTGCTATTGCTCTACGGCGCGCAGGACATCGAGTGACTGTGTTAGAGAAGGACTCAACGATAACTGAAGTAAGTTTTAATCTTTTGTTTATGGAAAGAATGGGCCCATACCGTGGTAGAAGCTCAGCAGGGGCTTCCGCATTGCACCTAATTTGCATAAGATACTGTGTGAATGGGGTCTCGAAGCCGAACTGAAGGAAATATCATCAAAACCTAAAACGATGAATATGCTTTCCTATAACAATGGGACTTACCTTGGAAGCCTGACATGGGACAAAGAGGTGCTCAAAGAAACAGGCGGGGAGTTCAGGCTAACCACTGTATGTACTCTCGTTTTAATTCTTATTTCCTCATCTCTGTCTCTCGAGTCGTATTCACCGTCACCTACTGTCTAGTATTCTGCGCTGTGGTCCCTTCTTTACCGCGAGACGATCTCGCAAGGGGTATGCGTACGGTTTGGGACAAAAATCGTGTCTTTGAAAACCCGTTCCATCTCGCCTTCCGTCTCATTGGAAAGCGGGGAGACGGTTTATGCCGATCTACTGATCGGGGCAGATGGTGTCAACGGTCTGACTCGGAAATACATCTCTGCTTCCGCCGTTCCTCCAGATGATTATGCTCATAATGATAAATCTTGTGGAAAAGATCAACCAGCGTATGGTGAAGCCAAACCCGGCGCCAGGATCGAGAGCGCAAAGTTCAAAATGTTCAGGTATCTTGTTTTCTTACTTGCATTTCCTTTCCCATTCCGTCGTCTCATAGCGCATCCATACCCAAAAAATCAATCATCAACGACCCACAACTTGCATATCTGATAAATCGTAGGGAGAACGTAGGTTCATCGTTTATCTTGGATTGTGCGGGCCTAAGCGTCATTGCAGGATATGTTCGTCTGGATTGGCCATGAACATTCAGCTATTGGGTTTCCTAGCGTAAGCTACTTCCTTCTGAGAACTTCGCTTTTTTCGATACCATTCCTCTGGGAGTCTCTTACGAGCGCAAATTGATAACTGTGCTGCATCCCGGATAAATCTCGGATAGCTATCATTCAATCTTGTGTTGTGTAATTCTTCCTTCCTTACTTTCACCCTTCCAAGGTTCAACCAAAAGCTGACACGGTACATCAGGGCAACAGCAGCAATTTCTTCCTGAATGTCTATGGACTGGAGTCTGGAGTCCAAGCTCGGGATTTACAACATGTATTGTATGGAGCGGAGTCAAGGTACAATACGAGGACCCCTTATGAATCACTAACCTTCATTTGAGCTAAGTATCTCCTTGTTAGCCTTCTCAAATTATCCCGCATTGCCTCAGAAACATTTTCGAGCTTGACATATGCCCCCCTTATTCACGAGAGCGTTCTTGAGACATGGGTAGATGGGAGTTTAGTAGTGATTGGGGAAGCAGCGCATCCGTTACCCGTAAGCCTTTTCCCTTTCTTCTTCACTATTTAACCCCAAATTCCAGCCTGGTTCGGTGCAATCGTGTGCTCTATCTGTCGAAGATGGCGCCGTTCTAGCCAGATTATTCGCCCCTCAATCCCTTTCCTGGCGTTCAAAATCTTGCGGACTGGTTTCCTATATTCCAACTATTCTCGCTGCATTTCAATCCATTCGGTACCAACGTTGTGCCTCCGTGCAAACTAGAGAGGTCGGAATCATACACTATATGACTATGCCTGGATCCAGTGAGGCGGAAAGAAACGTCAGAGATCAAGGGATGCGAGCGAGAAGGGATTTGGTGGAACTCGCAGTCGTTCCAGTACCACCTGAAATTGCAGATTTTTTCAAAACTGACTTTGACGACGATGTGGAAGAAGAAGAAGAAGAGGGACTGTGTTACCAAGTGAAAAATGCAAATCTCACGGCTAACACTGGTGATAGATTGGAAATCTCCCCGGAGCGGGTAGAGGCCTCTGAGGTGTTTGGGTATCAAGCAGAAGAGGAGGCAGAAGAGTGGTGGGCTACTTGGGGTAGATATCAAATCCAGACAGAAGTATCTCCGGCAGTTGCGATTGGCGGCAACGACAAGACTGTATGCAACTTCTTCCAAAAGTTAACAACTTCTGACCCGCTTCATTCTAACTCCTCCATTGCCCCTCATTCACCGTATACATTGCCTTCCACTTCAATTTCAGAGGAAAACTGGAACCACACACCTGCATGTACTAGTGCCGAGTTCCTAACTCACAAATTAATTGATTCTTCAGAAGATGGTTGTGGATGCTGTTTCCTGATATAGATGGTTAAACAAAATTGCACACTTGTAAAATAAATATATTTCCTAGTCTCCCCTCCATAGCGTACAACGATGGTTGTATCACTTAGACAAGAAGAACATTTTTGCGCCGCCGTCAAGTGACTTTTCCAAGTCCTCTCTTCCCTCTTCCAAAGATCGGACTGCCTCCTTGACTATGCGATCCACCAACTCCCGACTCATGCCACGATTACCATCCCTGTACTTTCCGAAATATTCTATGCCCTTTAACATATAGCCAGGCAAAAAGACTATTTGAGTTGGACGTTCCATATATCCGGGTCCGAAACATCCTATAAATTCTTCTTTCGTCCTATTTGACCACCGTCTCAGTATAGAGATTGACATCCTCTGAACAGCAAAAAGGTCCAGTCCCAAGGCCGTGTTGATAAGATCACTTTCAATTCGCTGCTTCAAAACGTCCAACAAGCTGAACGCGTCACATCGTTTGCCTCCGAAACGGAGCCGAGGCTGGGGAGGAATGCCTATCCGGGAGCGTCTTGCTACAGTAAGCTCTCCTTGACGAGGGAATAACTCTGCGACGAGACTATCAGTCAACCTATAATGGTACAATTCTGAGAGCCTTCCTGGAAGGCTGCCACCGAAGTCCTTTGGAAGCACACCAGTCCCATACCCATTGGATTTGTACCCGGGAGTTATGCGTCCTTGGCTCAAGGCTGGATCACTACCCAGGAAACCGGAGAATGACATTAAACATTTTCCCTTCTCAGGAAAATGATCATTAAATGCACATTCCTTAACTATCTCCAGGATCTTGTCCATGTGAGGCCATTCGCGTTCAACTTGGCCGTGGACACGAAGGGCATGGTATAAATGGGCGACCGAACCTAGATAACCAGTACCATTCAAGACTTGAACCATAGTATGGTGGATTTGAAGAAGGAGCGAGTACAAAGCGGCGCCGCATGCCCAAGGATTGTAATGCCAAAGTTGGTATGGAGTCAGATTGGCGATGTGATTTTGGTCTTTCCACGAGCCCAAACGATCGGTGAGCACATGACTTTGTACTAGCTGGATGAATTCGTGGATAGCGGGACGCAGAGAGTCAACATCGTTATCACTGTAGAATCGGAAATCGTAGTCTTGCTTCCAGAAATTGAAACTCGACATAATGTGACGAGAAAACTGAAGCAGTTCTTCAAGCGGTCGTTTCAACTGTTTGCGGGTCACCAGTACTGTATCTTTGTAGACTGCCCACTGGAAGATTAGATGGAAAGGTTTCGGCCGGGAACTATCGATGATAAAAGCGCGCATATCCCGAACGAGCGCTTGTTCATCTACTGTTGTGCGATCCGACTTCTTGGCCCGTTTACCCACCTCAGTCGAAGATAATTTACACTGCATCGCTACTTCTGAAAGATGAGGCATAAGAATGGCGAGGTCCTCAGCGGCCAGTTGTTCATCGTCCATAGAAGAACGATCATCCTCGGGATGGAAAGTAGGAAAAAAACCCGGTTTAGGACAAGGGACATTACCCGCAATCAAGGTCATACCGAATTGCCACAGGCTATGGAAAATTCGCGACATGGTAAAGTCAACGGTCGATGAATCCATCATGATCAACTCCTGGACTACGGACCGAATGTCAAGTTTTGGGTGCATGCGGAACATCACTTTGACGAGATCTAGATATCCAGAAAAGAGTTGAGAATGGGAACTGAAGAAGTCTTCTTCCATTTCCTTTACGATCTCAATGGACTGTGTTGTGAGGAAGGAGGCAGTGACGAGTGTGATCTCCTTTTGACAATACTGTCCCCAGATACCACGGACGTGCTCCCGAAGGCGGGCAAGATCGTGGAAGAACATCCAAGCAAGTACTTCAGACTCGTCCTTTCCATTGTCTCCGTCGGCGATGATAGAGAACTCGCTGAGTGGTCGATCATGCATCGGAGTTGTAGGATTTTCTTTCTTCGTGGATGCTTTTCTTCTGAGGTTATCAGGAAGCCAATCTTCATCCAAAGGAGGTTGAACAGATGACACAGGAGCGGAATTGTCGTCGATTCCCAGGAGACTCATAAACTCTCCCAGTTTGACTAACGCATTGTCAGGCCTACTGGTGGGACAGAGTTCGAGATAACGGCGGATTTTGCGTAGACATTCTATGAAGTGTCGATGCCGATGATTAGATTCGATTAATCTAGGATGGGACCCCTGGCGATGGTAAAAGGAAGCTACCTCCGAACGTAGCTCTATAATATCATCCAAAACGGTGAAGACAGCGTCGGGAACCTTCAAATTTGTGACTTGAGTGCTAAAATCCAGCCCAGGGTTTAGTATCGATGTTCTCAGCTGTTCTCAGTAAGTAATTTTGACATACATTTTTTCTGCCAATCTCACGAGAAGACCGACAGTGAAAACAGTGGGTAATGTCGTTTTCGGCGTCACTGGACTTTGAGCGGTTGTCTTTTTCTTTTTTCCATGAGCATTGGTGCGTCTTGACGGATTGATTTTTGTCTTGGACTGCAAAACGGATCCAGAAGTCGATTCGTCTTCTAGTTCATCCAGCGACGTAATTTTCATATCTTCTGCACGACAAGAAAGCCACTTCAAAAACCTGGCAGTAAGGTTTTTATATTTGGACCGGGAAGTCTCAATGTCATTCGGAAGTTGAGGGTTAGGCATGGGTGAACGTCACGGTTGAGAACAAGCGCCCTTCGTCTCGAAGCATAAGCGCAGATAAGCGCTGGCATAAGTCTTCACAACGAACAAGCAAATTATCATATCAACTAGCGTTACCGTTACAGACGTTTCTACATAGCCAATCGAAAAGATTGCAGCACCACTTTCGACCAAATTTCCCTTCCCTCCTCTAAAGATCGGACGGCTCATTGACTATGCACTCAACGAGCTCCTTATTACTCATGTCAGGATATGTATCCTTGTAATATTTGTAACCTTCCATACCCATCAACATGCAGCAGGGTAAGAAAAATATCTCGCCAGGGCACTCCATGTACCCAGACCCAAAACATGCGATGAGTTCTTTCTGTGCCCGCTTTGACCACCGTCGTAGTATCGAAGCCGACATTCTTTCTACCACGAAAAGGTCTAATCGAATGGATTCATGCGGAACAACACTTTGACCAAGTCTAGGTATGCAGTTTTTCCATCAGGAAATAGTTTGGAGTGAGAGGGTCGGAAATCTTCCTCCATTTCCTTGACAATCTCACCAGCCTGCTTCGTCAAGGATGAGGCGGTAACGAGATTCGTCTCCTTTCAACAATACTGTTCCCATATATCACCGATGTATTCTCGAAGACGAGCAAGATCGTGTGAGAAACATCCACGGCAGTATTTCGATCTCGTCCTTTCCATAATCTTCGTCGGCAGTGATAGATAAGTTGCTCAGAGGTCGATCGTGCATTCTTATGACAGGCTCTTCTGTATTTTTTGACAGTTTCCCTTTGAGGTCACTTAGAAGCCAATCTTCATCCAGACCCTGCGCGGGACGAACGGAAACAGTGGTCGACGTTGAAATGGAGATCTCCTCGAGCCCGAGAAGACTCATGAATTCGGTTAATTTATTCAATGATTTGTCAGACTTGGTGGTTGGACAGAGCTCAAGTAGTCCACGAATTTGTCGCAAGCACTCTACGAAGTGCTGGTGTCGAGGATTATGCTCCATAACGTTGCCAGATGAATTCTGGTGGGCTGTAAAACGAAGCAACCCCGGAGCGTAGCTCGATGATTTGGTCCAGAGTGACGAATATAGCTTCAGGGACTTTTGATTTTGCTATCTGAATACTAGTTTGGACTTGGATGAAGACTTTACAGCGAAAGTAGGAATTTTTGTAGAGACGGCAACCTTTTTCTTCTGGCCTTTGGAGCCTTTGGACTTCGAATTGCTTTGCGCAGACTGGGAAGTAGAGAATTCGAGTCCTCGACCTCCAGTTGATCCATCATTTTTAACTCTTCCGCGCGACAAAAAAGCTATTTCGCGAAACCAGCAACCAGACTGATCGGGGAGTGTCGATGTCAGCTGGCAATGGAAATTTGCAGGACGAAAACATTCCCTGCTGAACTGGACAAACACGCTAAACAGGATGATACCTATAAATACGGCAAGCCGCAAAATTGAACATCGTATGTGGGGGTTATTGAACCTCTTTGAACGAAGTTGGAGCTGGTAGCGCAGGCAAGAAGGACAAAAGGTTTTGGATAAGGAAAGAATAGAAGGAGCGAGAGGGACCGCCGGCTGGTGTCAATTGTATAGATATAAGCGCCCATTCCTTTCCCAGTGATCATGAGGACCTTATTCACAGTTAGCTTCCCAGACGCCCCAAAGCTTAATTATAGCCCACACCAGGCCCATCCACCATTGGTGAGCTATCCCAGGGTCTCAAGTCTCAACTCAGTACAAATTCTTTAGTCTGATGGTCGACAACCCATACTTGGCCCGTCTCCCTCCTTCTCGGCGGGGTGCTGCGTCTTCATCTTCATCTTCCTCATCAGAAAAGGAACCATTGTTCGAATATCTCCCTCGTAAAGTGAAAGGGGAGCAAGTCCGCAAAGCAATGGAACACCACTTGAATCCATTCACCAAATTACCTCATTCTGCTCAGTACCGAAAAATATTAGAAGCCCGACGCGCTCTACCGGTTTACTCCCAGATGGACGAATTTCTCGAATTGTTCTTGAGAAATCAAATCATTATCCTGGTCGGAGAGACCGGATCCGGAAAATCTACACAGATACCACAATTTGTTACCTACTCGGATTTGCCGCATATTAAAGGGAAGTCAATCGCATGTACACAACCTCGGCGAGTAGCTGCAATGAGTGTTGCCCAGCGTGTGGCTGATGAGATGGATGTTGAGCTCGGGAAGCAAGTGGGATATTCAATCCGTTTTGAAGATATGACTGAGGCGGGCACAACTTTTCTCAAGTATATGACGGATGGTACGCTGTTGAGAGAAGCGATGAACGATAAAGAGTTGTCGAGGTATAGCACCATCATTTTGGACGAAGCTCACGAAAGAAGTCTTGCAACGGGTATTCTCATGGGTTTACTGAAAAATATCGCTAAACGGCGGAAGGACTTGAAGATTATTGTCATGTCTGCTACGCTTGACGCAGTTAAATTCCAATCATATTTCTCCCTCCACGACTCTGCAGCTGGCGAAGAGCCTTCACCTGCACCTTTATTCAAAGTTCCTGGCCGAACACACCCTGTCGAGATATTCTATACCCAGGAGCCCGAGCCGGACTTCGTTGAAGCTGCCATCCGGACTGTTTTAATGATTCACCGCGCCGAAGACCCGGGAGACATCCTGCTCTTTCTCACTGGTGAAGAAGAAATCGAGGACGCATGTAGAAAAATTAAACTCGAAGCAGATGACCTGCTCAACACAGATTCTTCGAGTGTAGGCCCGCTCATGTGTGTACCATTATATTCCTCCTTACCCCCGCAACAGCAACAACGTATATTCGACGCTGCACCGAAACCCTCGCAGGAAGGATATCCACCAGGCCGGAAGGTCGTCGTGTCAACAAATATCGCCGAGACTTCACTCACGATCGACGGTATTGTATACGTCGTCGATCCAGGCTTCTCAAAACAAAAGGTCTACAACCCAAGAATTCGAGTTGAGTCATTACTCGTATCACCGATATCAAAAGCATCCGCTCAGCAGAGGGCCGGTCGTGCAGGGCGTACTAGGCCAGGGAAATGCTTTAGGTCAGTGATTCTTTGAGATATTCACTTGCTTGTCTAACTTCCGTCCGTCTTCATCGCAGGCTGTATACTGAAAAGGATTTCATATCCGAACTCGAAGAGCAGACCCACCCGGAAATCTTGCGGTCAAATCTCGCTAATGCAGTGCTGGAATTGGCCAAATTGGGGATCAAGGTGGTTCCGGACACTCCTTAGAGCTTTTTCTCACTGACCTTACAACAGGATCTTGTCCGATTCGACTACCTCGATGCCCCAGCACCAGAAACACTCATGCGTGCAATAGAACTTCTCAATTATCTTGCTGCGCTGGACGACGAAGGTGAACTAACGGCATTAGGAGGAGTGATGGCAGAGTTCCCACTAGATCCTCAGGTGAATCCATCGCCTCGCCCTAGTCATCTGTCGAATTCTAATTACCCCTCTTCTAGCTCGCCAAGATGCTGATCGTTTCGCCGGAGTTCAAAGTCTCCAACGAGATACTAACGATCACGGCGATGCTGAGCAGTCAGTTATAATCTCGTACGTTAATATCGTTATTTTTCTAACTTCGCTACGTTCCTCAGTTCCGAATGTCTGGCTTCGGCCACCAAATCAACGAGCCGCTGCGGACCAAGCGAAAGCCATGCTCACCGTCCCCGAGGGCGACCATTTGACGATGTTGAACGTGTTCAACAATTATTCGCAGAGTGGGTATCTCGATTTCGGTATAGATGGCAATTCAATTCATGACTGTCAACAGATAAACACGATCGTAACTGGGCATGGAACAACTTTCTGTCGGCTCGTGCCCTTGCGCAGGCGGAAAATGTGCGCGCGCACCTGTTGAGGACGATGGAAAAGTACGACATAGATGTGATAAGCTTGGAAGATGAAAAAAAGCGGAATCTAGGTCAGTCTCAGTCCATTCAACTTGTTGATATAACATCAACTGTTTGCCTGAATATATCTTTCTTCTGCTACGGTAGGGATACGACAAGCACTGACTTGTGGATTTTTCATGCATGTGGCACATAAGGAGGGAGAAATAGACAGTTATTTGACGGTCAAGGACAATCAGGTAAATGGTACTCTCACTCATTCGTTGTCTGATGTTGACTTTCTTCTAGGTCGTCGCTCTTCATCCTTCTTGCGGCCTCGATCCGCAACCTGAATGGGTTTTGTACAACGAGTTCGTCTTGACAAAAAGGCCATATATCAGGACAGTCACGGAAGTTAAACCTGAATGGATCTTGGAATATGCACCTGTATACTTTGATTTGGCTTCGTTTCCAGAGGGAGAGACAAAAAGAGCGCTGCAGAGGATAGCCAAAAGTCGTGGAATCAGCAACGAAGGCGAGAGAAAAACGAGATCAAGAAGGAAGCCCAGAAAAGAGAAAAACTGAATTCAGCACCATTTGAAGATTGGAGCGCTGTAGAGGCAGCCAATAAGCGTCGTGGAACATGCGCCGTTATATTTGACAGAGCTTCGCTTTCAACGGTACAGATGAAGAAGGTAGCGCAGGTAGTCAATGACTGAAGCCATCCTGAGTGTATGATTAAAAAGTATATACTGTATGTAGGTGGCATGTGAGCGCTTGACCCTGTGAGTTGGGAATTGTATGAGATGACTCTTTTTGGAGGTTGAACTTCAACTTCAAGGGTTGCATCCAAAACCGTCAAGATGGAGGCTCCGCAGCAATCACAGGTGTGTTCGTAACTCTAGTTCATTCAAATGACTTGGGTTCAAATTCTACTTGCTTTCATTACATATTCGCTGTGTGAAAAAAGACTGTATCAGGTAGTTATCGGATGCACCATTTTGTCAAACGTGTCTCATTAGGATAGGCGAGGCTGGTCAAGTTGCAGGAAGCACTGTATTAAACGGCGAAAGAGCTTCAACCGCTGGTAGTAGAGGCGCAAATGGGAGGAGGAGGAGAAGGTCAAGAAGAGGAGGTGCGCAGCAAGGTGCTGAGGCACAAGGCAGAGCTAGAGGCACAGGTGGTACTGGTCGTGGGAATGTTATCGGAGGCGCCGGCGATAGTAGTGAGAGCGATGACGGGAATATTGGAACCGGTCAAGGAAGGGGGACAAGGGGGACCGGAAGAATAGCAGGAAGGGGAGATGGAAGGATCAGAGGAACAAGTGGAGGTAGAGGAGGCAGAGGTAGCGATAGAGGGAGGGTCGAAGCTCATAGTGGAAGTGGTAGAGGGAGGGGAGAAGGTAGTAGGGGCAGAGAAGAAGGGGGTGCAGGTGGTGGAATCGGAAGAGGTGAAGGGAGAGGTGGCGGCAGAGGAGGTGGAGGTGGAGGTGGAGGCGGAGGTGGAGGTAATGGAGGAGGTGGAGATAATGGCGGAGGTAATGGAGGAGGCGGAGGTGGTGGAGGTGGAGCTAATGGTGCAAGAGGAGGAGGTAGAGGTAGAGGTGGTAATAGAAGATCTAGACGACGAGGGCAAGGACAAGGACAAGGTGTAATTGGGTATGATACACATGATTGTGAGTGACAACGCTGAGTATCGTGAAAATCACATAATCCAAAATTTGTGCAGACCGACCTGGTGTATTCGGTGTTACATTGTCAGGAAGGACAATTTATGATTGGGAAGTGGGAGGAGAATTTGCAGATTATTACGACCCTAGCCTTGGTTTTGCTCCATCGGATTACGACGTTTCGGATTGATCGGAAGAGAATGAAAAGTATTTGTGGATCATTCTACACAGGATGCTACGAGCCAGCTTCAAACAGTCTAACTTGTATTATATAAATGCTATATGTGAATCAAAATGGTCTTGAAGAAACTGAGAACACAAGTATCCTCCGAGATTCCAATTTCCTACGACAAGAAAAAGACAATCGACTTCATTCATTCACCTCTATCCTTCCCTGTAAATCAGGATGCAACTGTATCCACGCTTCCCCTTCCCTACCTCCGAGTTTTACCAAACCAAGCTGCTCGGCTTTGTTTGTGTAGTCTTTGAACTTGGTACACCCCGCACGTTGATAGGTTTGCTTATCTTTCTTCATCAAGGCGAATGATACGTCAGATCTAGAAGGTGCTGGAGTGCCTTTGAGTCGGAGTTTTTCGAGATGCTGGACAAGGAAAAGAAAGTTACGTGGAATGAAGGGGTCTTGGGTTGAAAAAGGCGATGGTGACGATGGTGGCAGCGGTGCACGCATAGACGAAGGTGGAGATGCTGAGAATGCATCACTAGCAGCTGGCGAACGGGTCCAAGAAGATAAAATTCCTGGCCCTGGGGGGGCCGTCTTGTCGGAGGGAACCCCAACGACGCTACGAGGAAGGGTTGAAAACGAAGACAACATAACTCCACCACTGAGAACGTGTTTTGGCAACGTTGAAGAACTTTCGACAGCAATGGCAGAGGTATTTTCATCCGAAATGTTGATAGTACCTGTTTGCAATGGTTTGGTTCGAGCTTTTGGAGATTTCGCGATAGTAGTAGTAGAGAATTTGGTGGTCCGGAGAGTAACGTCAGTTGGTTTAAGTTTCTTGGGTAAATATGAATCCGCACTACGAGGTCTAGGCGTCGGTGGAAGTGGTGCACGGGGCAGGGATCGATTTCGACTTGGCGTTGGGGCGATGACTTCGGTTTTTGAATGTCGTTCATTCGTTGGAGTCAATCGAGTTGCGAACGAATTGGTATCGATGTCAGAGCGAATCGAAGGATCTATAGACGATGAATACGACGGTTGTGTGTTTTTCGAGCAAGAAGCAGCCGCAACATTCGAAATGTTTGTGACAGCCCTTGTGGTTCTCTCATCATTATGATACAATGGTTCTTCGAGTTCGAACAATTGCTCGGTGAAAGCGGAACATCCTGGTGGACTTTTGCTTGTCGCTTGAAGGCGAGTAGTACTATAGGGTCGGACGGAACAAGAGGAAGTCTCAGAGAACGGCTCCGCAAGACCCATCCTGGAGGGTCTATAGGTAGAAGCAAGAGCCGGAGGAGGAACCTGTTCAAATCCCGAGTCTTCTTTCAAAGTGTGGGATGCTCGAAGGTTTGAAAGAAAACAAGAACCACCGCCCGAAGCGGGCGTAACGAGTGTCGTCGTACGAGATAGGGGGGAGTTGGTCATTGTCATCACAACGTCGTTACTGGAACGAGATCGAATTCGGGAATGGCTAGATCGTAAATACGACGAATCAACGTCTCTTCCAGGCCCATCCAAAACATTCCCATTCCATTCGAAAAAACTCGAAGCCTGGGCTCGAAGGCTTGAATGAACAGTCGAAGGTCCTACAACGACAACATTGTATCTCCTCAATCGTAACACAGACAATGCATATGCGAAATCTCTATCCCCAGAGATAAGCATAATCGTGGGTGTCGATAGAGAACCGGAAGAATTGTCCATCGCAAATGCGAGCATGTCCACTGCAATAAAATGAAGCCAAGTTTTGATCAGAAACCAAGCTGAGCACCTATGATCATTTGGTCCGCGACATTCTTGTAGTTGTTATGTGGACAATCAGTGATACTGACACCCGAAGATTGCAGTTCAGATCGTAAAATAGCAGAACGAGAAGAATGAATGGCTTGGTCGGAGAGTTGGGTGTAGGCTTTGAGTACTTTGATACTCCCAAACTCATGAGCAAGGGTACGGATCCGGTTGACGATTTCATGGCCTGATACACCGCTCGGCACAGGACAATTTTCTAACACAAGACTTGGTTCAAATCTCTCCCAGTAAGGAGTACATGTACAGACGCACCATAATCCCAGAAGATAGCTATCTCTGCCTCTTTCATGATACTGAAAAGACTCGACAGAGAGCAACTTGAAAAGAAGAAGGCCTACTAATAGAGCTACGATGTCGATTACGTGTAATTTGCAATTATCAGGGCCTGTTCGGTTCAAGCTGACTTGCTATACGAGCTACGCCAATTATGTATACTGAAAACGACCATATTCAACTTGATATTGATAGCAGATACGTAGAGCGGTCCTGTCCTGGATGAAAGAGATCAAGTGAAAAAGTCGTTACATAACGTGGTGGAACTCGGCTAAAAAAACTCTGTAAATTATATGTAGCTAAGTAGGCAGATGTAGGTCATTTGCACTCTCAATCTTAACTCAGCGCTTCAAATCCAGATACTCCACTCAACGATCCATTACTGCTCCATGATACGATATATGCGCGAAATTGTTACCTCTTCAAGTTTTTAATCCAGTTGTGGCAGCCCTTGTATTAATGGCTTTGTTCAACATTGTCTATCTGGCAACGTCGTTGATTTCGCCTTATGACCAATTGAGCCAATATCCAACAGAGCTATGGATTTGCGACCTTGTGGCTATATCCGGTTCAAGGTTCTATTAAGCATTGCAGATATAATCGGAAGGGATTTTGGGATGATTCCTCCGTTGAGACCCAGTGGTGAGGAAGAACTTGCCCCGGTCATTCTTCAGGACTGACTGGATTCCTTACGAAGTTCCTACCCAATTGTCCACCCGGAATGTATTTACAACACTCCATTAGACCTCGCACGTTTCCCTCGAATAAAATTTCAAAGGTGTGCCCTACTCTTAATGCACCGGTCCCAATTCCCAGCTAAAGTTTGCACCTTCTTAGGCAGAGGAGGGTAGGACCTCGCTGTCCATATTGCCCATCAATAACTTCGATAATAGCATTCGTTACCTCCAACGGACTCTTCTAGGATTCGATGCCGACAATCCTCAAATATCCTTCTCGAATCCCGGTTTCTTGCCATGGCAAGAGCAAGTTCAGTCTGTACAGATTGCAAACGACAATACGAGCAGTATTCTGGTCGTTCCGGGCTTCGAATCTCTCTATATAAAAGCAGAGGGTATATGCTACGTGAATTACCTGCCTGTGGAGCTTCTTCGAGAAATTTTTTTGTACCTCTTACCTGGCCGAGACTGGACGCTCGAGGAAACACCTCCGCCACAGCTAGTTTTCGTTCAAGTTTGCAAGCATTGGCGAAACATCGCAATCTCTTATCCAACACTCTGGTCGACATTCATGATCATACATCCCATAGAACGTCACATACCGATGACCAAATTGTGGTTAGAACGCTCAGGAAATCACCCATTAACAATATTCATTGACCATCAGAAATCAGAATTCGAGAAGTCATGTTCCACGACGGATGTTGTGATCAACCTTCTTCGACCTCATATCCATCGCTGGAAAGCTGTCACGTTCATCTTAACAGCTATCCAGTCGTCATTGCTGGCGCTTCCTCGTGACGAGTACCCGTTACTCGAGACATTCTGTTTTGATGTGACCGGTTCCTTTGCTTGGAACCCAGAGAGCGTAGAACGTGTTGAGGAGAAATTTTTCCCTTCCTCTTCCCCGATGTTGCGGGAAGTTACATGGGAAACGCACGGCTTATCGCTGCACAAGCCTCCCCTGGCTCCAACGAACATAACCTATCTTTCCGGAGATTTCTTCATGGATCTCCCCTTTTTTGACTCAATTTCTGAATTGAAGAACTTGCGGACCCTTCGGTTGCACGGAGGCGTAGTGAGTGGCCGTGTTCCTCCTCCTCGCTCAATTCCTCTGGTCTTGCCTCATCTGAGAGCTCTAGAAGTCCGGACGATATTCTACGCGCCCTTCCTGTTGGATTCAATAGCTACACCGAGTTTGAAGGTACTAGTGATGGCCAATCGACTCGACGAGAAAAGCCGAAAGTCACTGTGCTCCCTAATTTCCCGATCTCGCTGTCACCTTAGTGGATTTTCTTACCTCAATGGCCTAGGGGACGCGTTAGAGAGCGAATTTTTTGAAGAATTTCTACTTTCTCCTCACATGGACTCTCTCTCCGAGCTAAACCTACTTGTTAATAATGCAGATGCGGTGTTGAGGGTCTTGGTGCAATTAAATACCAATTCCGGACCTGTCCTTCCTTCCTTGAATCGACTTTGGCTTTCAACACACACTTTTTCGGGTGACCTTCTACTGGATATGTTGGAATTCCGGGCAACTGACTTTCATCCTCCTACTGGGGCTATGATGTCTGAACCGTTGTTCAGTGCAGACTCTCCTTACCCATCTCAATATCTCTTTATTCCTGTATCCAGGTATTCGCTTTGCTTGCAAGTCACCTGGATTAAGAACAACCCTGACGAAGTATTTGAATGGTTCAAAACCAACGCTCATACTCATTGGAACTTGCTTACAGAGGATGAGTACATTGAATCAAAATCGAGGAAGAAACAAATTTCAAGTACTAGTTAGATAGTTATTATGTCTAATTTACCATCGATAGATAGTTTCGTTCTGCAGCTATAAATAAAACCTTCCCCCCATATATTTGATAGTTTCATAGAGCGTATGCCTTTCCAATTTATATCCAACTCATGAGTTCGAATAGATTGAGTAGTAGAGCACAGGAGAACCAGCTCTGTGACAGACTGTAGGTCTACAACAGCGTTGGAAAGGAACCCACGGATATCCACTCTGCAGTCAATTAAATGCAAGGTTTTAATTTGAGTGGGCCTAACCACTCCTACTGGACAAACTAAACCGAGTCCCAAAGTTCCATAGCTCTCGCCTGGCCTCTGTAGGATGAATGTTTTGAGTTCTGGACAACAGTTTAAAATTGCTCGGTAGTCTCCTGCAAATATCGTAACTGCATCGAAGCAAATGTGGGTCAATTTGGTCCAAGGCATATTCTGGCGGAAGCCCCCGTGGAATGGCTGGGCACTCGTACCCCCATACTGAGAGTCACTCCCAAAGGATATTGCTTTCAGATGAGGCACAATGATAGGAATATAGACTTGGGTCAAGTCGACACATGGAATGTAGCTGTTGAATTGGCGTCCACCACCTGTATTTGAGAAACCTAGGGGCGTATCCTCCGTACTTCGTTCTGGAGCCAAAGCACGTTTGATAAAATTCTGGAAGTCAATAAAATTGGGAGTATCAACTAGCCAAGCCTCCCCGTCTGCCCCGCCTTTGCGAAACTGGTGAGGGATTATAGGAGGAGGAAGGCGGATCAAGGCATGTGTTAATGCAAACTCATAGATTGATGTCGCACGATGCTCCTTGTGAATGACTTTGAGTCGGGCGTCCCACGGACGGTCATCATAAGGGAATCGCAAAAACGCGTCTGTATTCCAGCTGTTATTCACAGCATTGACAGCAAACTCCACAAAAACTTGACCCGATCTGTTGGTTTTTCCGAGAGTTTGGTCCAACTGTTCTTCGAATTCGAAATGATAGTCGAGGAATCTGACGTGTGGACGGCTCAATGAGAATTCGACGGTGATTGACCAGCCCTCAACGGGGAGCGGGATTGTGACCTGCTGGGGGCTCTTAACTCTTTTTTCATGTGGAGTAATACCAGCACTGTGAGGGGCTTTCGCCAAAGAAGTTTTGTTATTGGAAGGTGGAGAAGCTGGGTAGGCGTAGAAAATGGTGCAAATATAACAAAAGAGGATGTAGAGCAATATAGCCTTGAATCCCAAGGGCAGCATGACAAATATTCCAGCGCCTTGGATATCTCGGGCTCGATGAAGCAGAGGACCCTCGCCGGCATAGAGGTACCAGACAATGGTGACTATACCGACCACAGATACAATCTGGGAGATAGGATGTTCGTCCAGAATTTGACGAACGAACGGGGTGTCGAAGAGTAACAAGATGGTTTCTTCTGAGAATATTAGCACACTCAGTGGACTCGGAATATAAGAGAAAGCCTACTTGTGGGGGGGAAATTCATGATGAGTTCTGATACTCGTAAATCGGAGCGGTTAAGCCTTTTTAAACTTTCGAATTTACCCTCCAGGTCGGTAAGACAATAATGTATCACATACGGAAAATGACATTTCCGCAATCATTCACCAGGAAATGATTGTTGCGAAGAAAAGACTGAGGTTTTTTGTTTTCCAACTAACAAGGATTGGATATGTGGGTCCATGAAAGTCCTCAATTGTCATTTGGTCGCGATATCGTTATCCCATTCACAGAAGTGTCTTAATTTTAAATCAGAGATAACTATCGTCAATGGTCAATTTTACGACTTGACTAACTTTCAACTGAAATACTAAGTGTATATGCATGCCAGTTGTTCTCCCAGGAGCATAGAAAAAGCCCTTGGAGTCGTTGAAGATGGCTGCGGGATGCCCATGTTCGTCTAGTAATGACAGTGGAATATTATAACACAGTTAAGGATCAATTTTGAGAGCATCTTGCAAAGTCCAGGCCGACCTGTTGAGTACCGTCCAAGGACCTGCATGAATTCGGGTGATGAACGGACAGTCTCGAGTTGCTTGGCCAGATCGATTACATGTAATTTACAATCATTAGTACCTGTTCAGTTCAAGCTAGCACGAGCTATGCCAACTATTATACTGAAAACGACCATCTTCAACTTGATATTGATGTGTATGTAGAGCGGTCATGGATGAAAGAGAATCAGATCAAGTGAAAAAATCGTTACATAACGTGGTTGAACCTGGAACTTTAAAACTCCGTAAATTAGAATAGGTCGTTTGCGACCCTCTCTATCTCTCAATCTCAAATCCAGATATGTATTCCACCTTCAACGATCCATGACTGCCATATGATACGATATTTACGCGAAATTGTTACTTCTTCAAGTTTTTAATCCGGTTGTGGCAGCCTTTGTATTATCAACATTGTCTATCTGGCAACGTCGTTCATTTCGCCTTATGACCAATTGAGCCAATATCCAACAGAGCTATGGATTTGCGACCTTGTGGCCATATCCGGCTCAAGGTTCTATTAAGCATCGCAGATATAATCGGAAGGGGTTTTAGGGTGGTTCCTCAGCTGGGGCCTGGTAAGTAAGAACTTGCCCCGGTTATTCTTCAGGACTGACTGGATTCCTTACGAAGTTCCTACCCAATTGTCCACCCGGAATGTATTTACAACACTCCATTAGACCTCACACGTTTCCCTCGAATAAAATTTCAAAGGTGTGCCCTACTCTTAATGCACCGGTCCAAATCCCCAACTAAATTTTGCACCTTCTTAGGTAGAGGAGGATAGGACCTCGCTGTCCATACTGCCCATCAATAACTTCGATAATGGCATTCGTTACCTTCAACGGATTCTTCTAGGATTCGATGCCGACAATCCTCAAATATCCTTCTCGAATCCTGGTTTCTTGCCATGGGAAGAGCAAGTTCAGTCTGTACAGATGGCAAATGGAGATACGAGCGCTATCCTGGTCGTTCCGGGCTTCGAATCTCTCTATATAATGGCAAAGGACATATGCTATGTGAATTACTTGCCCGCGGAGCTTCTTCGAGAGATATTTTCGTACCTCTTACCCGGTCGAGATTGGAAGCTTGAGGAAACATATCCCCCGCAGCTTATTCTCGCTCAAGTTTGCAGTTATTGGCGAAATATCGCAATTTCTGATTCAAGGCTCTGGTCAACGTTCATGATCGTGCGGCCCGTAAAGCAGCACATACCGATGACCAAACTGTGGTTGGAACGATCAGGACAACACCCACTGACAGTGTACATTGACCATCAGGGATTGGAATTCGAGGAAACCTTTGCTGCGACGGACGCTGTGATTGACCTTCTCCGACCTCATGTCCATCGCTGGAAAGCCGTCACGTTCATTCTCGCATCCGGTATCCACTCATCATTGTTAGCGCTTCCTCGCGATGAGTACCCTTTACTGGAAACATTATGTTTCGATATAACTGATGTTTACTGTTGGAGTCCGGATGCTATAGCGCGAGTTGAAGAAAACTTTTTTCCTTCTTCTTCCCCTAGGTTGCGGGAGATTACGTGGGAAACACATGGCTTGTCGCTGAATAGTCCCCCAATGGTTCCATCCAATATCACCTACCTTTCGGGGGATTTCCCAATGCATCACTCCTTTTTTGAATCACTTTCGGAATTGAAGAACTTGGAGACACTCCGGTTGCATGGAAGCGCACGCAATGGTATTGTTACCCCTCCTCTTCCTACCCCTTTGGTTCTGCATCGTCTACAAACTTTCGAGTTCCGGTCGGATATCCACACGCCATTCTTGCTGGATTCAATTGTTACACCAAGTCTCAGAATTCTAGTGATAGCGAGGCAAATCGACGAGAAAACTCAAAAGTCCTTGTGTTCTTTCATTCAGCGAAGTTGTTGTCATCTCAGCGCATTTTCGTTTCTCAATGCCTCAGGAGACGACCTGGAGAACCGATTCTTGAAAGAATTTCTTATCTCTCCTTATATGGAATTCCTCACCGAACTCAACATCCTCAGCCGCAATGCAGATGCGGTGTTAAGGATCTTGGTAGGAGGGGATAGCAGTGAACCTGTTCTTCCCTCTCTAAATCGACTATGGATTTCGACAAGGTGGTGCTCGGGTGATCTTTTGATAGACATGCTAGAATGTCGCGCACACAGCTTCTATCCTCCTACCAGCACTCTGATGTCAGAACCATTGTTCGGCATGAATCATCCTCACCCGAGTCAATATCTATTCATCCCTGTATCGGGAATATCGCTCTGCATTCAAGTTACTCGATTTAAATCCTGTTTTGAGGACGTTTCGACGTGGTTCGAATCCAATGACCGGGCCCATTGGAGTATGTTCACTGCATCGGTGTATTGGGAACCGGATGCTTAGAAATTTTCAATCCAAAATACCATTTATGTAGTCATCGTCTCTAACAACTCTAACGTACTTTTACTCGAAAGTCTATTTCTGCACACCCAACAAGAACTCTCTGCCAATTCTGTTTGATAGTCTCAAAGTGTGAATCCCTGTCCACTTGATAGCCAGCTCCTCAACGCGGAGGGACTGCTCGCTGGAACACAAAAGCACTAGCTCGGTGACTGTTTGAAGGTCAACAATGGTGGCAGAAAGGAAACTCGACATGTCCACTCTGCAGTCAATCAAGTGCAAGGTTCTGAGTTGGGAAGCCGTTGCCAATCCTGCTGGGCGCATCATAGAATCCGGTGCTCCGAAACCTTCCCCCGGCCTGCGGATGATCAAAGTTCTAAGTTCCGGATAGACCTGCAGAATCCTTCTGTATTCTTTGGCAAATATTATAACTGTGTCCAATGAAATGTGAGTCAAATGATCCCATAGGAAGTCCTTAGTTCGATCGCGAAAGGGTGCAAGGGCAAGGATTGGACCTTGTTCAAAGGATCAGTCCCAAATGAAACTCTCACTAAGCGAGGCACAATAATGGGAATGTTAACTTGGGTTAAGTCAACGCATGGAATGTAGCCGTCAAAAGTTTGTTTTCCCCCTGCGTCTGGAAAACCTATAGGTATATCCTCTACGCTTCGTTCTGGGGCTAAATTTCGTTTGACGAGGCTCTGAAAATCGGCGAGTTTGGGAATGTCAATCAGCCAGGCCTCTCCAGCTGCCCTGCATTCGCGAAGCTGTGGAGGAATCTTAGCAACAGGGAGACAAATCCACACTTGCGTTAACGCGAACTCGTAGACAAATATCACCCGGTGTTCTCGATGAGTGATCTTGAATTGTGCGTCCCATTGGCCATGTCCGCATTGCAAGACGAAGTTCGAATTTTCACTGCTTCCGTTCGCAGGTTTCACAGTGATTTCAACTTGAACGGTGCCCGATCTGGTGTACCTTTCTAAATTTGTATTCAACTCTTTCGCAAAGCTGAAATCATAGTCAAGGAATTTGACATGCGGACGGTTCGATGAGAACTCGACGGCGATCGACCAGCCCTCGACTGGAAGTTCTATCTCGGCCTTCTGAGGGAGCATTGGGTTCTTGACTCTGTTTTTGGATGGAGAATTTCCAGCAGTGTGGGGGACTTTTGCCGAAGAAGTTCTACGACTGTTGGAAGGTACTAGAGAAGGTGGGATGGCGTAGTAACAAACATAACAAAAGAGGATGTAGAGCAATATAGCCTTGAATCCCAAGGGCAGCATGGCAAATATTCCAGCGCCTTGTGTATCTCGGGCTCGATGAAGCAGAGGACCCTCGCCGGCATAGAGGTACCAGACAATAGTGACTATACCGACCACAGATACAATCTGAGAGATAGGATGTTCGTCCAGAATTCGACGAACGAACGGGGTGTCGAAGAGTAACATGAGTCCTTCCCGAAATATTAGCGCCAAACTCGGAATATAAGAGATTTGAGAAAGCCTACTTGTGGAGGGGAATTTGTGATGGGTTCTGATACTCGTAAATCGGAGCAGTAAGCCTTTTAAACTTTCGAATTTACCCTCTAGGTCAGTAAGACAATGATGTAGCACATACGGAAAACGACATTTTCGCAATCATTCACTGAAAAATGATCGTTGCGAAGAAAAGACTGAGGTTTTTTGTTTTCCAACCCACAAGGACCGGATATATGGGTTCATGAAGGTCTTCAATTGTCATCTAGTCGCGCTCTCATTTTCCCATACACAAGACCGTCACTCTTAATTGTAAATCAGCGATAACCATCGTCAATGGCTGTCAATGGTCAATTTTACGGCTTTATTTGACCAGCTCATACCCAATCTTACCCAATTATTCTGGCAAAAGAACCTTGTGATGTGTCCAATACTTCAGACCAATCTTGACCATTAACTTCAACCACCTGGGCCGATCCAATTACTTATTTGGAGAGCCTTGGAGTCACTGAAGAGGGCAGGGATGTCTGTGTTTATCTGGTTACTAGGAGTGACAATCACGATGTATATTAATTATGCTTTGTTGGTTGCGACCTGCGTTGAGTAGTTATTGTACAGTTTTTCTGGGAAATTCGTTGAGCACAAGTTGGAATCCGGATTATGATACAGTATAGTGAGCAAAAACAGGGTCTACAACTATGCTACAATCTTCCAAGCTTCAATGATTTCATCCAATGATCTGATTGACCATCCGGCACCCAATGCTGTGGTCATCCTCGATCCTGTGGAATGCAAGACCTCCTTAATGCTCAGCTCCAAAACCTTTTCATCACTGGTACCCGCAGGCGGCGTGACATTGAGACATTGAGCATGTGCTTCCGCCGCGAGCTCTTTTAATATGATGAGCAGCGTTGATACAGGAACGGCATTCCGGAGCAGGTACCATGCTAGATTGCTAGCAGAATTCTCGTCCAAAAGTCCAGGCCGACCTGTTGAGTACCGTCCAAGGACCTGCATGAATTCGGGTGATGTACGGACAGTCTCGAGTTGCTTGTCCAAGTCATGCATAGTTCCCCAAACCGTACTATCACGAATAAGGGGAGTGCGATAATTATTCTCAGCCCGACCACTGAATCGCCTCTCGTACACCCTACCGTAGAAGTCGGCTAAGAATCGCAGATCCTGTAAATGCAAATGGAAGTACCGAGATTTTGGAGACATAGTACGGTAGCGGAATAGCGTCAGATGCGATTGTATTGTTTGCGGTTTGCCTTGAAGGATGGAATCAAACAAGACTGCATGACAGTAGGTATGCAGGAGTTGCTCCTGATCAGTTCTTCCATCACTGCGACAGAAGTATTCTGCAAAGGACAGGAAGAGAGGGTCATTAGAGAAGGAGGTAATGAATTCCCACAGATCACCTGCTGGGTGAGTTTTGGCATCGGTCAGTTGCGGGTAGTCCAGTGTAGCTGCCTCTCCTGCTGACGACCTGGAACGGACAAACAAGCTACGACTACCTCGAGGATCTTCGGTATAGCTGAGGAAAGCCGTTCTTCGTTTGACATACAATGTTTGACTCCGCATGAGAGAATCACTATGTCGGGGAATTTTTTCGGTGTCGAGGTAGAAAGGCCAATATCGAGGGGTATCCACTCGAATAGAGATGAGTTTGTTCAGGTCAGGAATGAGCGTCGGGGCTATCAATTGCGTAGTCCCAATGGCTTTACCCTCCTTCATCGTGATCTTTACAGGGAGATACACCACCTCCTTAGTTTCTACGTCCCGCGCTACAAGACATCTCGGTTCCACAGCAAGCACCCAGAGATGCCGAAGAGCCTGAAGATAACACTTGTTGTCTGCAGATATGAGATGTGTACGAGGGAAGAACGCCGTGACCATGCATGCAATAGCAGCATCTGATGTTCCGAGAGTGAATCGCCCACCTCCGAGGAATAACAATCCGAGTGCCTGATGTGTCGAAACGTGGATTCCGTACTTGAACGCGGGATGATACATTGTAGTTGCATACATCCCATACGCGTATCGGAGCCTTCTCAAGCAGGTTATTTCTCCGGTTCCTGCCATAACCATGCTCAACGAGACGGTAATCAAGTTTAATCCATCACGAGCAGCGGAACGTTTGATCCGCCAGTCGAAAGAAGGTGCTGGTAAGGTTATTAGTTTGACTTCCATAAACGCAAACGACAGTCAACGCACTGTTCGAATAAACTGTTCTAGTGTAAAGATCGTGATATCGGATGATCATCTTGTACGCTTCCTGGCGAGCAGTCCCAGCAAACTTCAAGCCGATAGCAAAGCAGCATCCAGCAATGATATTATAATATGCCAACTCCCAAGCGTCGGCGACCGTTGACCCTGGTGGTAACTTGTGCTTGTTCTCAATACCCTTCCGAATCGCCTCTGGAATCTGACCTGCAACCCAATCATTCGTCGGTGTGATATCGCTCCACATGATCAACGATCGAGCTAATGTTCGAATAAGAAGGAAGCTTGGTTGAACACGGTTCAGTCCTAGAATAGTATCGGGGATGCTGAGCATATCTGCAACGTCCTGACGTTCTGTTCGGAGGTACATCAATCCTAAAGCAATACTTGCAGCTGGCGAGGTGAGATTGATGTCAAAAGATGCGTGAGGGCTCCCAAATTTTCCATCGCCATGTATAAGGAGGTTCAACCGTTCAAGGAGAGCAACGTCTGCGGGAATAGCGGTTCCTTTCCCAAGCATAACCATACCGAAAGCAAGCGCAGCGGAATAAGTATATGCCTCCCGATATTCGTTACTCAGATCCGGTTGCACTAGATCTTTGCGGTTCATCTGGTTTAGGCAGACCTCTGCCATTCGCCTGTTCTTCGTACCCATATACAGCAACCCGACGCCGGACATTCCAGCTGCTTGCGTATGTAGCGGGACATTCAAATCCACGGTAGGCGTAGGCAGTAGTGCCGGAGTATGAACCGCGAGCAGTTTGGTAACATGCTGATTCCCATTTCCCACATTGGCCGCTGACAACCCTAGTAGAACACCAATCGATGTAAGGTCATGCTTGGGAGTAAGATAGCCAAACGTGTGCCATGTTAGCATTTCTTTCAAATGACCTGTAAGCCCGAGTCCATACAGGAATCCTGCATGCTCCGGTGTCAACTCCGAAGGCTTATTGAACGCAATCCACGAACTGTCCACGCTCGTCGCTGAAGAAGATATCCTGAGCGCCGCAGCGACACCATTATGGAATTCGCCCCAATGTACCGAGTCAGGCATGAGTTTCCCGGGATCAGGAGACACGATGCCATTCGTAGGGTGAAGCTTGACGGCAAATTCGAATTTAGGAATAGTAAATGCCTCGCGGGAGATAGAGGAAATGGATCCAAAAGTGAATATGGCTCGGCCATAGGGTAGCGCTAGTGTACGTTCTGCAATGCGACACACTTGCATTTGATGGTCCTTAGCTTGGTCATGCTCACTGCATAGCAAAGGATCAGTTTATCCAGCCGCGTATATAAAAAACTTTGAACACAACATCCCACCTTGCATCAGGGCGTTCCAAAGATCGCGCAGAGGAAACAGTAGATGAAGATAATAGTCGAGCTATTTCTTCCAAACGTCGATCCTGTCCAAACCGAATGTTAGTGAATTCATCCAGCTCCAATTCAACACCACTGGTAGCCTCGGATTCGCCCAAACTTGCAGCCTTCGCCTGGGATGTGATTTGTCCAATGGTCTTGCGGGGACGTGATGATGTCTGTTTTGCGCTTGGTGAACAGAAGAAATCATTCAAATATAGATGAACTTACGAGGTACTCCTTTGCCGATCTATATCCATTCGTTAGCATCATATCCGGACTAGGGTTTGCAGACGCTGCCACATCATCTCTTGATATCGCCTTGTACGCTTCCTGTGGCCAATCCAATGGTGGGGCCAACTGACATGTCCGTATCGCCTCTCTCAACGGAGCTGCAATCCCTAATGGAAGTCGTGCAATGAATTCCTCGTTCATTCCACTTCTGACCATTTGTAAGACAGCATTCTCTGCGCGTTTCAGATTGCGCTTGACGTCTGGGTCCGCGAGCGTCATGTATGTCCAGGTGAGGATTTTCATTGACTCGAGTGGATCTATCGTGCCATATGCATAAGACGGCTGAATGCGGAACCGCGTGGCGAGTTCAAGGGCATCGAACCAAGGGACTTTCCACTCTGGGTTGCTGATGCGACCGTAGAGAATGGCGGAAATATCGGGAGGCCAAACGGGGATAGTGTCGTCGAGGCTTTGAACAGCTACAAAAAGAAAACTCATAAATAACTACTCTGGTGGATAACATAAAGCATACCGGCTGTGGCTGAAGATGGCCAAGGAAGAGAAAACATTGCATCAGGACACATTCTCCTCCAATAATCTGCCCACTCGGGTCGGATATACATAGCTATCCTACATATCACTGGCGCTAGCCGCATCAACAATGGGTAACGATCAACCAGGAGACGCATTCCTTCCGCAAGGGTGTGCAACGTATATAACACAACAACAAGTTGATTATACGAATCCGTGCCCTTTTCCATAGTGTGTAGATGAACAGAAAACGGGGCTGCATGCAGTGCAGGGCTTATAGGTGGTTTCAGATTCTTGATCGCAGGATCTTCACGGAAACGCTTATGTGAACCAGAGTGGTATAAAGCATTCCATGCACTACTAGTCGATAATGGAATAGTGGAAGATACAATGGCGCCACTTTGAAGGCCAAACGTCGAATACAATGCATCTGTGAAACAATCAAACTGTACTTCGGAAGTAGCGGTAAAAGATCGTGATGCCCAGTTCTGGAGAAAGCGGCGATGTAAAAGGAAACAGACGTCGGAAGGAAGACACAGGGCAAGAGTTTGTAGAGCCTGCAAGGTAAGATCATCACTAGGATAGAAGTGAAAAGCAGTGCAGGTGATGGATTCATTTGACATTTGAAATGTGACGAGCAACGGCGAAGATAATTCCCCAATCACGGATATAATGCGAGGATTATCTGAGCGCCCGGGGTGCAAAGAACCCTCGACATCCATACTATCATCACTGGGAAGTTCTGAATCGTGTAAAGTTGGCGTTAGAGCCACCTCGTACGTCCCATGTGTTAAAAGGGATAGCCCGCCGCCGGGTTTCACAACCAAAAGATCCCAAATGGACCATCGTGTACCACAGATGATTGCAGTCGAGATGGCGGGAATCTCTCTCAGAGCAGTAATTTCTATTCGGTGTTCTGCATTCGGTGCTAATTGAAAGATTGTAAGGCTTTGTCGGGAAGGGAGACAGATAGACAACAAAGATCGCCTTAGTCTGTCAATTTTTCGATGGTCGAACAGCGATGCTGTTATAGCAGAGGACGTATCAACACTAAAGGACTAGTCAGAGCCCGAAATATTTAATGCGACGGAAGACTGACTCTGTTTGGTCTAACTCGATCTCGTGAAGTTTGTCCATCCATAAGCAGGTTTTCATCCTCCCGTGCTCTTCTGGCGTTAAGACATCCACATCGGCTCCTCTAGAGCCCAAAACCATACGGTTCATCGTCACACTCAAATCATTACGAGTCAACGAGTTCCGTCTTACTTTCGTAGCCGGTTCCGGCTGTGGCTGGGAATTCAGGTGGTTGAGATTGGAGGATCCCGAGGCCAAGGAAGCCATGGTCGTAGTTGTGGAAAGAGAAGGAGCCATACCGGGGAGTTTGGAGAGTGGCAGTAGGTCAGCCAGCTCGGGAAATGGTGGTTTCGGTGAAGGTGGTCGAGGAGACGTAGGATGTAATTTGTCAAACATGTCGGGGAATACAGAAGATGTACGACGACTATTTGAAGACATACTCTGGCGCTTCTTATGCGCTAGATTCTGGGTACGCGTCCGTCCCAATGGTATAGGCGAATCCTTAGGCTTGATATACACATAACGCCACACCGTCAAACGTCGCTTGCTACTATCAAGGGTAATGACAATTTCGTGAGGTGAATTGGGCCCACTATAAGAGGTCCAGAGTATGACCTCATGAGGCGGAACTGGTTTCAGTGGTTTCGTCGAATTCTCAGCTTCATCCATCAGCGTAGCGGATCCGGCGTTTCCAATAATTCCGCTGGTCAAACCAACCGCCGAGGGCTCAGCGAATGGGTTTGAGAGACAGAAGATGGTAGGAAGGACGTCTTCACCGGCCAGTTCCGCCTCGTAAAGCTCCGCTGGTTCCAAGACGCGTTGAATGAGCAATCCGTGAGGGGTGACTGGCCAAGCTTTTCGAACGATAAAGGGAAGAGCAAAAGTGTGTTCGAATCCCGAGTCGAAATAAACCTTCCCAATACTCCGTAGGAAGACAAAAACTGCAGAAACGTTCGAGTCGCGTTTGCCTGGTGGTGGACCTGATTTTTGGTTGGCATAGAAGAAGGGTCCGAATGTTGGTCTTTCAAAGGGTGATCTTGAGGCAGAGTCCTGCCGTTCAGAGAAATGTTTTCGCGGAAACGAGCCACTCTCTTCCAACCACCCTATGCAAGCCCACTGAACCGGTTGGCCTTCGAGTTCAAAGCTCCATTTCTTCTTGACAACCCCTCCAGCGCTCAATACAACATGATTATCATTCCAGGTAAGCTCCTGCTCTGGTCCGTCGTTTCCTCCTATCAGGACACGCGAAGAGTGTACGGTGGAAAGCGAAGAAACTCCAGTTCCACGAAGAGCACTTTTGATTGATTGTAGTAAGAGAGATTCGGAATCGTCGACTTTGTCAAGCTTTGGAGCAATTGTGGGTTGACGTTTCCGATAAAGGTGCACAGGAAGAGGGTCAAACTGTGCCATGTCGCGACTTCATCAGAGGAAGGGAGGATAACAGATTAGATTACTGTCACGTGGTCCAGAAATACATCTTGACTTTTCAGAAGCTTTCAGAAGGCTTTCATGATCACCAGGCTAATTTTGACGACAAACTCTGTATATAGACTTTTACTGCTTACTAGACAGAAACCGAAAATACCACAACAAATGAAATAGACCAAATGCTCGCAAGAGCATACGATGTGTACATACTCGTCGAAGGAGAATCACCATGTGCTGGGAGGCGGCGATGAAATAGTGGCCTGCGGCGGTTAAATCACACACACACTCTCTCGTACACAGAAGGAAATATAAGATCATGGCAAGCCGCAAAGATCACTGGTTCAAGTCGATGCAAAAGTGATTCGGGTAATCATCTCCTTAGGCTAGCTTTTCTACGCTTGTGACCACGGTATTATCTACCACTTCTCCTAGATAACACCTGCAAGGACGACAACAACACAAGTACCCGCAAATAAAGTGGACAAATGGCCTCCCTTCACAGATCCTGCAGCGTTCGTGGCACTACCAGTTGCCGTGGCCGAAACAGATACTTCAAAAGTCGAAACAGGAATGATTGATCCAGTCCAGGCTGTAGTCTGAGCCGTTGATTGTCCAGAAAACTGAACCACCTCGGTACATACTCCGGTCCCGGAACTGGCACCAGAATCAAAGTTACACTCAATCTGAATCAATGGTTCAACTCCAACAGCAGAGTCGTTGTTGAAGGTGAATCCGACAGCGGTTGTTCCCACTCCATATATTTCTGGAAAGGCAGATAGTTCTTCAACTCGATCCATGATTGATCACAACGTTTCACGCACCATGCGCTGTGTCGGTAGTCGAGAGTGTCCCCGTTGTCCATGTATACAAAGTACTTCCGTCGACAGTCGTGACGGCATGCCCTTCGACATATTCACTGTTAATGATATCTTCGCCGTATACAGTCATGGTATTTCCATTCCTCGTCGTCGTCCCTAATACACTGAACGAATGTACCAAAGTAGGTGTGGATGGTGGTGTGGGTATATCATTTGACAAACTGTTTGAGGGAAATTGGGCTTCAAACAGCGTAACCGTCCTTGTCGCTGGTATCGCATCGGCAGGAAACACTGACACTGCAGCGAGCAATGTGCCTATACGTTTCCAATCGTAGGTATCAGACGTTGATATTTGCCTACGGACCCACCTGCAATATATATGCCGCGATATGCAGAGTGAAAAGTGAACATAGTGGACCTCTGACGCGCGATTAGGTAGAGGAAGGGGAAGGGGAAAGGACATGCCAAAAGCTAATGCCGTATTTAAGGCATTCAATGTTTGACCGCCTGACTCCATCAAAAAACTCCGTTCAAAGCTGTAAATTCAATGGCTATTTTCCGTGACCTACACGCTACTTACCGTGGTTTCACCTTCAGATGATGTACATTGCATAAACATTGGAATATTGACCATCTAGGAGCCTCTGGGCCTCATCTGCTAGGTACAGAAATAATATATGGACACGAGGGACACACGAAGTCATCGGACTTACTTACATTTGTGGCCAGATAATCACAGCTTTGACCTCCGAAGGCTTGGCATCGCAAAAACCTCGGCAATGACAAGGTGAGTCAATTCTGCAAGTCTTCGCTTTTCTGCTGTCGAGAGTGATGACAAAATCGTCCAGAGGATGACTTCATAAGAAACTGATTTTCCGAGTTACAGCGGTTTCGTGGCTTTTCGTAAAAATCTCATCTCCGTCCATCAGTGTGGCTGCTCACTGTGGCAGATTTGGCACTTCCGATGATTCCACTGGTGAATGCAACCGCTGAGAGTTCAGCGAATTCGAACGACAGAAAATGGTAGGAAATATGTTTTCGCCGGCTACTAGTTCAGCCTCATAAAGCTCCGCTGTTTCCCGATCACGTTGGATTAGCAACCGTGCTGCTCCAGAACGCAAACTCTTCCATCCTCAACAACTACAGTAAGCCATATTGAGCTATATCCTCGATGCCTGACTTTTTACTCGGACAGATAAGTTCAAATCACTACTTTGGCCATCAGAAGTTCTGCAGGCCACAGAGATCTCCGTTTCACAGTCTCCTCAGGCAGACCTTACTACGCTTTTGGCCACTCCCTTTTCCTACCTACTATCTTATCGAAATACAATTTACACATTCCCATAGATGAGACCTGCAAGCGACGAAAAGACTGCAACAACACAAGTACTCGCAAGTAAACCGGACCACTGGCCTCCCTTCATAGATCCTGCCGCGTTCGTAGCACTACCAGTTGTCGTGGCCGAAACGGATACTTCGAAAGTATCAATGGGAACGATTGACCCAGTCCAAGCGGTAGTTTGAGCGGTTGATTGCCCAGGAAACTGAACCACCTCAGTACACACTCCGGTCTCCAGACTTGCACCAGAATCAAGGTTGCATTCGATGTTAATATGTAGCTGGTTCGAGCGTAGCGGCAGAGCCACTGTTCAAGATTAAGTCAATTGCAGTAGTTCCGACTTCAAATATTTCTGCAACAGGATATAGTTCTTCAGCTTCATGCAGAATTGATCACAATGTGTCACGCACGATGCTCTGTAAGAGTAGTCGACAGCGTCTCCGTTGACCATGTGTACGAAGCACTTCCATCGACACTCGTGACGGGATACCCTTCGACTTGGATATATTCACTGTTAATAATATCTTCGCCATATACAGTCATGGTATTTCCATTCGTGGTCGTCGTCCCCACTACACTGTATGAATACACTAAAGTGGGTGTGGATAGCGGTGTGGGTATATCCAAAGTGTCTAGAGGCGTTTGGGCTTCAAAAATAGTTACAGTCCTTGTTGCCGGCATCGCATCAGCAGGAATCACTGACACTGCTGCGAGCAATATATGTACCTACATGTTTTCGGCTGTCAGAATTGGACGGTGATATTCAATTTACAGACCTACCTACGATCTCTATAGCGTGGTATATCGAGTAAAAAGCTACCATGGTAAACGTCTGCAGACGTCTGCCCGCGCGGTTGAGGTGGGGGACAGGAGGGGATGGTTCAAAAGTTACCGTATTTAAGAAATTGTGAAGCAATATTTACTCACTGACATCAATCAGCTCCGAGTCTCCGGCAAATTCGAATCTAATAGATTTATAACTTGAATGGCTTGGCTTGCACCGGTGTGGCCTATGCAGGGCCTATGTAGCGCGATTTCGACTTCAGAGTGTATACACATGATCCTGATACCTTGCATCACTGAAACAATTCTCAACTGCCGGTTCTGCCTGGTACATTGATTAATTTGGAACATTCGTGAGCAGGACATGTGCATGATTACATTGTTGTCGGAGAACCACAGCTTTGACCGAGTCTGAAGCTTCTGAAGGCTTGGCATCGTGATATCGATCAAAAAAACTTCGGCAACGACAAGTTCCTAATTTTTTTGCTCGCAAGCGACTTTACACAACAGCGTTGATATGTTACATATGAATCCTTCCTTTCTTTCTACAGCAATTATACTTTGAGCGGGGTAGTACGGAGGTAGGGCTAGAGGAGAAGAGGGTTTCAGACATCCAACTTGGAGCAGAGCAGGAATTAAACGCGTACATAGTGAACTGTGTGCTCAGGGAATAGCCTCTTGGCTTCCTCGCCTTGGACACTAGCATGCACGATAACGTCTTCTCCAGGCCTCCAGTTGACGGGAGTAGCAACTTTGTATCTGTACAATGATCATCAGCATTACCTCAACCAGAAAGTGAGAGTGGACAAATACTCACTTATCACCCAACTGAATCGCATCGATTGCTCTGATGATCTCGTCAAAGTTCCTTCCAGCTACAGCGGGATAGTCCAATTTGAGCCTGATCTTTTTGGCTGGATCGATGACATAGACACTGCGGATAGTGAAGGGAAGTCCAGCTTTAGTATCGATGTTGGTGGCATCCTGGTAATCAAGCATGTCGTAGAGGTAGGAAATGCGGCGGTCACCGTCGGCGATCTAAGTAGATAAAGTATATTAGTGCAGTGTAAATTAAGATGGCCGTTTAGAAGACTTACGATAGGGTATTGGACGTCAGTCTCTGAGACACTTTTTGTACCGTATTCATTGATGTCCTTCACCCACTTGTAGTGTTCCTCTAAGCCGTTGGCACTGATACCGATGACCTTGATGTTCCTCTTTTCCCAGTCACCTGCTTTGGCCCGTCGAGCGACCTCACCGAGCTCGGTAGTGCAAACGGGAGTAAAATCACCTGGGTGGGAAAAGAGGATACCCCAGGAGTTTCCGAGCCATTCATGGAAGGATTTAATCGGACCAAGCGTTGTTTCGGCCGAGAAATCGGGAGCGACGGAGCCAAGACGAAGAGAAGGGCGGTTGGGGTCTGGTGGAGGTGCAGTGGCTGGAGCGGACATGTTCGTGTAAAGAATCGATGGTGGTTTGGATTCTGGTTTATATAAACCAGCTTTGTGCGAATTGTGTTAGATTGCGTGATTATAGAACGGCTTCTACTTTAGTTTGGGCATGATTATCGCGCAATAGTTTCGCATTCCGTCCGCCCCTTCGCCCACTTGGGAATTTTCAGAAGGTAAAATGATTAACAATTAACAGGTGATAGAGCGCGACGCATCGAAGAGCTATCTAGAGCTATATGTATACAATCTTGAGTCAGCTGAACAGCTGAACAACTCTTGTTAGTTAGACAATGGGAACTCTCGGCGAAGCAGTGAATCAATGAAAATCGAAGCCATCACACGAGTTTACACGGCACGAAATACATACATGGCCAGGCGATATTAATCGCTATTCACAGTGCAACAGATGGAATGATGAAGCAAAAAGGGTGGATCTAGAGAACAAAAAGGGTAAGAATAGTAGCAAAATCGCAAGAGCGGGAGATTAGGAGATTAACAGATAGGTACAGGCATGTTTCTGTTAGTTTCTTCGACCACCTTTATTGAAAAAAAGTATCACCGATGGGTCCTTGGCGATTATTTGGTTCTCCAGCAACCGCGTATAACTTGTAACTCAGGCTGGAGCACGCAACTCTTTGAAAAGGTCTGCAACAGGGCTTGTCCATCGATCCACGACTCGGTTGAATTTACCAACATCATTCATGGGTAGTCCAGTGAGACCAGTCAATTTGAACCGTTGCGTAAACCATGTATGGAGGCATCTGTTAGTCTCTTGTCAGGGATACAGTTCTGCTGTAAACTTCACACATTCCAATGCTGGTGGTGTCGTGATATCAACACCAACATTGATAGATTGGAGGTAGATGATTCATAACAGAGCCCTGGAAGTTTTATCTCGTGCCGCTCTACAGCATGAAGCTGCATGAAAGGGAGGCAATCATTATCTTCATGATGTTCGGTTAGGGAAAAGCAAAGACCCGTTGGTTAGAGACTGCGGTGAATAGTCTGTTAAACGGTTTATAAAGCTGGTATTCTTTTATGTATATGAGAGCACTTCGGTCATTGACCGAAAGTGAAGCGGGAGTTTCGAAGAAAGGTAAAGTGCTGATCGTGCCGCGGGTTTGAATCATGGATGGCATGTAATTGCAATGGAGATTGAGCGACCAGATTCAAAGAATGTTCGTAGCCTGAGCATGTGAAGATGGAGGAAAACTCGCCTGATACCAATAGATGTAAGCCAATCACTTCCAAGTTCCAGGCAAAATGCTCATATAGTCTATTGTTGATGTAGGGAAAGACCTGTATCTGAGCCAAGACTTCGGGATGAATGAATAAAATGCTAAGTGAAATAGGCGCCACTTGGCTCTCTTGAGTGGCGCTTATTCAACCCAGTCTTAACAAATCCTTAGCGCCGTGCTGGCACGGCAATCCCCGACTCTGAATGGTTTCATGACAAGCAGGTATGCTGATTATTCGCGATTATAGAAGTAAATCAAAATTATGTTCAAGAGGAAAATAATATGATGCAGTATGGTCGTATGTAACTGTTGAATATATGTGATTAGATACAGATTGAGGTTATTGTTAAACTTTTGCATTGTGGTGTAGTGATTTTTGGTACGGTTTACAGTGTCTGTAATTTGTATTTTGAAGAATGTATTTATGTTGAATTTTCAGTTTGTTTTCGCCTAAAGATACATTTGTTATACTGTTGACATGGAATATCAATGACAAGATTGCAAAAAATGAACTCCTTCATTTTTGGTATACTGAAACTTCGGAATCAGTCTAGTGTTTGATGTGCGGCCAAAATTGGTGTTGAGAATTAAGTCATGGTCACTGTTGGTCGACCTAGTGCATTGTATAAACTACTAGAATTTTCTGCAATGGCTATCTGTCAACATGAGCAATTGCACTGTAATATACAAAGTTACTGGATGAAAAGGAGTTGGAGATCTTCATTGTAGGATTAGTGATCCATTCATGAAAGAATGAGTGACCTCCATTTGTAAGTTCAGAGGTCGGTTCCACACTGCCAGTGGCAGGATAAGTTTGGCATTCAAGTTGACAATAATAATAAGTACAAGGGGAGGTCAAGCCGGATCAGATTGATTTTCCTGTATTGTCATAATACCTGGACATTGTTATATAGACATACATAGTACTGAAGTGTACTCTGCCCAGAAAAGCAACAATATCATTAAAGTATGCGCACCATTCAGAGTTAAACTATACAACGTAAGAAAACAAACTACATGCACTAACTCCAAATCGGTTCACACTGTTACTACAATAAGACACCTATACATCATACAGCTTCTCCGAAAGATATTATTCACCACACCTTATACCAAAATGGACAGCAATGAATTGATTACATACGAATGAATAGTGCAAGATGATCTCACAAAACACGACCATTTGAATCCGACAAGGACCTCCTCTTTCAGAGTCGGTGACCCAAACTTACCAGGGCCTGCACTTGTCGTCTCCATGACTGGCTAGAGGTAACACTGCCAATGCCATGATTCCGCAAAACTTGGCTGACGAAACTACGTGCACTTGCAAGGGGCACATGATAGAAGACCTATATCCATATTCGACAAGCACCCTTTTCCCCCTTCTCAGATGTATTTAAGTATTCACATCGCCTCGTGCGGAACAACAGAAAACAACACGATCCTAACTTGAAAAGACGAGCAATTCATATAACTTCAACGGGGAACTCCACGTATGGATCGCCAGGGCTATACGCCTCCCATGAAGTTTCTGTGGACTTTCGAGTTTTTGAAGAGACATGGCAGATGAGGATGGACCATTTCCGTCGTTATAAAAGATCGGGTGGCAGGGTTACAGGCCCCGAACGGGTTCAGTGGATTACTCCAGATTACACCATCCATGTAGGAGTTTTCTGATTGCCCTAGTATTATTTGAGGTAAGAGCGCTAATTGGGAGATTATAGTAACGGTGCGGCTTGCACTCTGCGACAGCGCAAATTGAAGGCACCATACTCCTCTATGCCACTCGAAGCTTATGGTAGCCAATTGCATAGTTTTCCCATTATTGGCAGATCGGAAGAACGTCAGTCCGCACTCAGATACGCACCTTAGATAGTTTTCTCAAGTTTAACATTCTTTGCTTTCCATTATTTTTGACGCGGGTAGCCGCCTCATCACCCTCTCTCCAAGTTCCGACTTCTGCGCTAGTCCGTTGAAAGAGGATTGACTAGCTTTAAGGTTCAATCAGGATTGGCGGTTCAGATCTTGGCAAGTAATGAATGGCTTCAAGGCTACTCACAACCGCAATGAAATGCTAACAGTAAGTTGGATACATACGTTGCCTTTGCATCGTTACTAGGTTTATGGCTATCCCTGGCAGTACCCAGTCCCCGAACTTTACCACTTTTGACGGACTTAGTATTCTTTGGCAGGGCCTACGTCAAAGCTGTTTATATAATGTTCCTGACAGTTTTGGCCGTTACTATCAACAGACATTCTCATAATCCCCAGGTGATGATGTTCTCTGATTTCCGCCGACTCCAGTCTCTGAATTAAGCCTACTTTCGTCGCAGTTGAACACTCTCGGGAAGGGAAAGAGGCCCACAGATATGGAGTGTATCCTTGACATATGCTATCTCCGAAAATGGTTCTTCTCGCAGTTCCTTCAAATTCCATCAAAGAGGTGGGTGATGGACTGTGATAGACAGCAACAGGCATTTTCTTGCAGGAACCTTAAAACCACAAATATTTTCAATAGTCCTGCTATGGTCGATTTGGAGCGAGGTGCGTGACTGATGCAAGTCAACTTATGTAGGTCTGTACAGGTCTGTACTCGATTCGTGCTTTTACTCCATATATATAGGGCAATGTATCGGATGAGAACTATCGCCGCTTCTCGTCAACTTTCCTCCATTCTCTATTCCTACGTTGCTAATCATGCTTGAATTCTTAGCAATGTTGTCCACGTCTCCTGAAGATTCTCCTGGAATTGACATGTCCGCAATTTTCGCTCCTTTTTTCTGGGGTAAGTCCCACTCTATCCTCATCTAAATCTCAATTCTGCAGACACTAAAAAAATCTGGAATGGAAAGGATTTTTCGTCTCTATATTGTAAGTCATCACAGCGACATTGTGGAAATTCGTTGTGAGATTTAATCAATGTCGCAGCTTGGGAGGAATCACGATTGTTCAAGCATACATGTACTTCCCTCATCCGACGGATAGGAAGAGCGTACAAGTACTTGTGAGTTCCCTAATCTGACCTCGAAAATTTGCAACGATGCTAACCAAACTTTTATGGGCTGGGATAGGCGGCCAGCATGCTGTAAGTTTACCATTTGTTCCATCGGCTCGAAGATCAGTTGTTGAAACGAGGCCTTCACATAGCATCCTTGACCTGATTTCTTCCGCCCTTGTGGCGCAGTCACTTTACTACTACCTAGTTAGTAGTTTTTCTCTAGAGCTTCTAGATCAGGAGCTGACCATGACCGCACGACAGATTCCCCATTTCGGATCTACTGCGCCGTTGAAGACAATCACACCGTATGTTTCCAATGTTTTTCATGCTTTTTTGCAAGGGACATTGAAAATATTGCTCGTCTTTCCTTTCCAGTGAACTGTCTGCGGAATGTTTGATATCGGGCATTTTGACTTTCACGTACGCTTATCACCTCTCGATGTATCGCCATCACGATGAACCTTGGCTGATTGACTTCATCGGCAGCTCTCAGATGTATTTCGTCTATCAGATTCATTCGGGTGAGCTTGGTGCGATAGATCATCACTTCTCATGTGCTAATCTAAAAACATTCAGTGAAGCGCACTGGTATTCTAGCCTGGACCATCCTTGGAGTTTTAGTAAGTCCTAGAGAAAGATATTGGGCCTTGATTGACATACTGAAATGCACTCGCCGACAGACCCTCTTTGCCGTTATTACTTTCGGTGCGTGCTCAACTTAGATGAATAAGATGTGCACCAGCGTTGAACACATCTATTATACTAGTTGGAGGGATAGGTAAGTTCTGTATTGGAGTCGTCAAGAATGCACAAGACCAACCTTTCATACAGGCTGCGTCGCCACCATGTATGTATTTGCATATGGAGTCCTTGCGGATCGAAGCAAAGACTTTTCGGCGAGTTTTCTTCCACGCCAAGACACTGGAAGAAGCTGAACACTGACAAGGTTTATAGATCTTCTTCGGTCTTGCCAAGGGTTTCGGAGCAGTGACGGATATTATGGCAACAATCGCAATGTGTACGTATCTTTCTAACGCCAAAACGGGTTTCAGTACCCAGTGAGTTCAAAGGGATCTAGCTCATAAAGCGTTGTGCCTGACTAGAATTTTTTGCAGTACCGACAGCCTTATCAAGGGCTTGATCCAGTATATCATTGAGCGAGGAGCTGTGGTGACACTCATCCAAACTCTTCTGTTGATCACTTTCTTTGCTTTCCCCAATAATTTGTACTGGTACGCATGACAATAGCATTTGAGATACCCTTGAACTTGGAAAAACATAGGCTGGCCTTCCATATCAACGTGACCAAGTTGTATGCTAACACATTCTGTGCGTAGCATCAGTGATATATCTTTGATGCATGAGAACTAATATGGGACATCTCCATCCGTAGTCTGCATGTTCGTTGACCTAGTATCAGTCCATATGCAGGGAGTAATCTGATCGACCTGTTGTGGTTTCTCGTAGGCTCAATGCTCGAAAAAACTTGTGGAAGAAGCATGCGCCAAAGAATGATTCAGCGTTTTCTTCCAGTGACATTGATATCCGAAGCACTAGGATCGAAGGTTCTGGGAAATCTTTTGCGTTGTCTTCTCTGCAATCGCGGGTTCGTTCTCCCCCATATTTTCACTGCTGTATGCCTCTGAATGCGAAGTTGAATAGGATCAGAGGGGCCCTGCTGAAATGCCCACAATTACCAAGTCGGTTGTGATTGCAGATGTATAGGCTGTTTTCGCACACTGGCCCGGGCATGAAGAATTGTACTGCGTAATATCATCTGCAGCGCCTCACTTCTTAAGTCTTTTGTCTGAGAGAAAAACTTTCATACCTTTTCTATCCTTTTGGTTTAGTGATCCGGAATCGGAGGGCATTTGGGGATTCGTACACATGTATTTATATTGGTAGTAGTATGATGGCCATTATAGTTATGTTGTTTGTTCTGTTTATTTTACGAGGGTCTGGATTACTGCAGGTTTAGGTCGCTCAATAAGCCTCTTTCAGACTTCTACTACTATCGAGGGGTAGCAAGAGGCTAAAGAATGTGAATCGCGACTACGGAATAGTACGGAATGGAATAGTACGGAATGGGATACTTCTGAGGTCAATGAGAGTAATCTCGGTTTATCTCAACACTTCAAGATTCTACTCCCATTACTCGCATTTCCGAATTTAACGTGATCAATAGATGTCCAATTTATGAGTATTGAGGCACTAGTAGAATATGAAGCTTTTCGGACTGTATTTCTTCCTTGCGTTGTACTTTGCGATTTTGGCGAATATGCAAAGCACACACTCGCAATCTCAATACATAGATCGAATAACGGAAGAGCGAAGAATATATGCATCTATATATGTATCCCCTTGAGAAGACTCTGAAAAGTTGTCTGAATTTAACGGCCACACTACATTTGAACAGAAGGAAGATATGATTGAATTGTATGTACATTGTAGAACTATGTAATGATACACTTGTCTTGGATCAAATGGCACGTCGAGCACCGCTACTACTAGTGCTGTGAACTAGTCAGATATATAGGTAGATGAATGCAGAGCAGAGGTTGACGATAATCGCGATGTAATGTAAGACGGGAATTTTGAAAGAGCTTTGAGGGTCGATGTAACAGAAGTGTGTTTGGACAATCGAAGCAACCAGTGTACAGAGAAAGCGTTTTAACGATGATAGTGTATAAAAGTACAACTCTAGGGATGAGTGTGGTCCGTGACTCGCGATATGAGCAATCGGTTTATGGTCGAATGATTGATGAGGAAAGGGGAAAGAGCAGAAGTGATTGCAAATTTGAAGGAGCACAGCACGATGACGAGTTACACATTTGTAACTCATTCAACGAAACAATCTGCAAGCCCATACAAAACATCATTCACCTTCTCCTCACTCGCCTTCAACGCCATCCTCAAACAGTTCTTATTCATATTTCCAGCCATAGCAAACCCTCCACCATACCCCATCACACCAAATGTCGACGCGGCGGCAGCAGCATCCGTACCCGCCAACCCATCCACACCATTAACCAGGCTTTCCAGCACATGATTGACCATATGCATTTTCCTTAATAGATCCACACTTTGTATCTTTATGGCCACATTATTTGACATGGCATTACTGCTGACGGTGCTCATCACCAGCCCAGCCCATAATGTATCCCAGGATTCACCGCATCGCGCATGTGCATGTGCAGCTGCGGTTCCTGCGCCACCGAGTCCAATAGCCTGTTGTGCCTGTTGAGCAGGGAGGAAGCATGATGGGTGGTGGGTCAATTTAGGTGGATTGTTAGATAGTGCTTCGCATGCTCGGGAAAGATTGTAGTATCCTGATAGAAGACGTATACGTTGGTCTCGAGTGAGACGAGGTTTCTTCGTCTTGTCTGAGTCGATTTCAACGTCGCCTGAAGCCGCTTTGGTCCATTCTTCCTTGCCTTTCAGCATCATCAAATAGTATGCCAAACCCAGTAGAGGCCTCAACTGCGATTTGTATCGATCAGCTAGACCCATTGCACTGACAATGTCCTGTGTTTGACCCGCGAAAAGGAGGTCAGCCCAAATGGGCTCCACTGCTTCGTGAAGCTCGTCGTGTGCGCAAAGAACCGCCACCTCCGTGAGCTGAATGAGGAGTTCAGTCGACGAAACGATGCTTTTGCCTGCCTCAGAGTCTACTTCGACGTCGCCGTGAATATCGTGGTCTGAGGGTGTATCCGGCGCCTGACACACGCACATAGTTAACACGCTCAGCGCCCAGCTCTCCGTTGTTCGAAACGCGTATTTGTGTGCTATACGTGCGATGCCTATCAGCCGAGTGATTTGAGCCTGAGTGGATGGCATGGCGAACACTTCCGCGGGTAGAGCGTATAGAGCCCATAAGAGGGATCGAAAATCTGCCGCGGTGTCGCCGGAGAGGAGAATGGGAGTTTTATCGGAGGAGCCTTCGGGAGAGAGGTGTTGGTGATGTAGATGGGATCGAGAATAAGATGACCGAGTGTTTTCAGCATTGGTCATTATGAGGGTTTCGGCGGAGTCTGATTGAGGGATATTGTCTAATGAGAACATCCCTTCGAATGCTGAACCGTCTCGAGAAAGGATGTAGCGGTGGATCTGAACGAGAAAACGCGGTTAGCGATGAGATTAGTCGGTATGAGAATGGAACAAATGTGTGAGTGAAATCACACCTAAGTGAAGTATATAACGCGAGATATAGTATGGAACGAGGAATGAGTAGACTCACGTTGAACAAAACATTCTCCACTTGTATCACTGTGTTTCCGTCAGGAAGATAGTACTCTGAATCTCGAACTAGTTCTGGTTGTAGAACCATCATTGGCGAAGTTTCGATGCCCATTGGTAATTAAATGCCGCGTTATGTATAGATGACTGCAAGCGTTGAACTAAGCAAAGCAACTATGGAATGGGAAACGGAAGTAGGAGGAGATATGATTTGAAAAAATGAAGATGAGGGAAAGATGAAGATTGGAGGGAAACGTGGATTCCGTGAGGCTTTCTGAGCCGAATCTCAAGGAACAGATGTGTCAGGAAGGGAAAATCTCGGGTATCGGCTTGGACTGGAGAGGTTGGAGTCCGTTATTAATACGAGCCCCGATAAATCAAGAAATCAAGGAACTGTGCAAGGCTGTCCTTCTAGTTGAAGTGATGCTTGTGTGCTCGGGAGTCGGAAGAGAAGTACGAGTCGAGAATGCGGGATCAGCTGAGCCACTGCGTCGATAGCAGCAAAATCTGTAGCTGAAGGCCACAGTAGCACGAAGGATGGTGGTAATCAATTAGTGGAAAGAAGGCAATAAATGAATGTTGGATTCTGACAGCAATGACCTCCAGGGTGACCTCATCGGGATAGTGCCGGGCGGGTGCCGGGTTTGCGGCCATTTTACATCGCATGTTTTTGTCAAAGGCTGTGTAGGCGCTCCGCTCCTTCAGAGCGCGCGGCTATTATGCAATATTCACACCAGTCCCACCAGGTCCTGACAGTGTCCTTGGCCAACAATGCATAACGTCCCGCGCAATCGGCAAGAGAAAAACTGTAAGCGAAGCAGTTGTATGCTACTTCTCGAGCGAGCAACAAAAACAGCCTGGAAAGTAATGCAGCACAACAAAGCACAACCCTGTGCATATATTTGGCCGAGTCTGGACATTTCGTAGGTACAGCCAATCCCGGTAGGATCGTTATCTCTTGAGTTTGGTCAGTGGGCCGACTCGGAAGGCTTACAGTGTCAATACAGAATATAGCCATCAATTCCGACGTCTGTGGGGACCACTTTTATGGGACAGGAACCTTAAAGAGCATTACATGTTCGACAGAGGATGGAATTAGATCGGCACTGGCTTGTAACTCTAGGGTACCGTACTAAAAATTCCTCCCAGTTGCGAGTCAAGATCATGATGCAATGCCCTGCAATGCCAGAGTGTGCTTCAAAACTGCATCTGCAAAACCTGGATATTCGGTTAAGGGCTGAGAGCAGATCCCAGTGCTGAAAGCACTGAAAGCAACATGCTCTGGGTGCTTTGACTGCTGGGAAGTGCTCTCGACTGCTTTCAAACCCTTAGCCAAAAATACAGGTTTTGCAGATGTGGCATATCACCAAGATGAGGAGGGGAATTACAAAATTAGGCAAACCACTCATAGTTCTCATTTTATTCATGTTACAACTAATAGCTTACATAAGGACAGCAATTAATGCATGGCGTTGCCCAAACTCATAGCGAATTGCGATGTTCACAAATGTTGAAAGAAATCAATGTCCGACTGGTAAACTTAGACTGCATTCGTAGTAAGATATCGTTGCTTTGTTTACGAGCTAAATTCTAAAAAGAACGTTGGCATCAAGATTATCTATATTTACGATATGAGGTACTCTGTAAGAATGGATATGAGCATTGGAGAAAAGACGGGAAGACTTTCTTTCTTTCCAATAGGGGCGATTGACGATGACATCATTTTTAATTAACATAAACCACGTGACAGAGCATCGGAGCCATTATCGTCCGGACTCCGTTGCGCGCCGCTTAGCTATTCAACAACGACACATCGCCCATCCTACATACAGAAGAGTACCTGGTGCTACAGACTATCTGATTCTACAAACTAAAACCATTCAGCTTGCTGAAACATTCCTTCCCCGAACATTTTGATCAAAAACTCGGTCCACTTGAACAGGAGCCACTTTACAGCGCGCAGTAGAAACCGAAGGCTGTACTTTCAGCGTTGGGAGTATATAACTGCCAACTACGCTTGCGACTCTTAGCTTGGTTTAATGCCGCCCAAAACAGCCAAGATAAAAAATGCGCTGAAATCTGCTGCTCGACTACCGGTACGCCGACGACGAACGGTGTCATCGTCGTCGGATTCTCCAACAGCAACATTACCAGTTGCAACAACCCCCGCTACAGGGCGTACAAGATCCTTCAAGAAGGGTTTGCGCGTTGGGAGAATTAGTCTTGGGAATGGAAAGGGTAGTGGAATGAATATGCAAAGTCCACTGGAGGGCGAAAGTCCATTGGCGCTATTGAGGGTACAAGTTGTGGCTTGTACTGATTTGCTGGCAAAGGATAGAAATGGATTCAGTGATCCGTGAGTCTTTGATGCTCCCAAACAATGATATAGTCTAATACTGCTCATTAGCTTTGCAACTATCTCTCTCCCCCCTCATCCAACGCGACATTCCACTCCCGTCTCAAAACGGACACTTAATCCAACCTTTCCAGCCGCCCAAAGCACCTTCGATTTTCCCATATACCTCTCCCTTGCTGATCGCCTCGGTGTTCTTGAGGTAGTAGTTTGGGACAAAGATTACTTCGGTGTTGAGAAGATTGGCATGGGACGGAAGGAGTATTTAGGTGAAGTTGGCATTAGCTTGGAAGATTGGTTTTCGATACGCGAACCTGGAGAACAGTTGCGCGCTCTTGGCTGGTTTGAAGAAGGGAATACTACTTTTTCTCTCTCGCTCGCGTCGACGAGGTCGAATACTAATGCGCAAGGGTCAGTACAACTCAAGATTGGTTTCGTCGAGGCGCCAAAACATCAGGCACACCATCAAAGGTTTTCCCTCGCGAAAGAGACAGTTGGTGCTGCGCGGGAGGGAATCGAAGGTCTCCTCGGCAAGGAAGAAAAATATCCGGATGTCGAGGTTGATTTCGAAGAAGTATATGGCGAGCTGCTCAAGAGATCCAGGCCGAGCCTGGTCAATATTCCTCCGGTGAGTGGATATAGCCTATCTTTTTATTTCCTCCGCCCCCCTTCTTCGTTTCGTTCCGTTTGGAAAGGAAGATTCCTTCTCGAACGAAGCTTGTAAACGTTTGTGTAGTTGGTAAGGATGAGAATTTGCATGACATTACGTGCATGCGTTCCTCTTATCGGCTTATTCCTAACCCTTAGCCATTTGTTATCTATTTCGTCTTCCTTCTCTTTCATTTGCGCTAATGAAATCATAAATCTATGAACATATCTATATTACACTACACATCCGTAGCTGTTACAGTGAACACCCTCATTGTAGTTATCTCTGCCTCATTCCTCTTTGTTAGTTTCATTTACCTCTTGATCGTCCTTCTTTGTTTCTTTGAGAAATGGGTTTACGAATCTCTTTGTTTCGTGATTTTACTTATATCAATGCACCTTTATCCTCGTCCATCCCAAGTACCCAGTCCTCTTCCATAGATGTTCAGCTTTTCCTTTCATTCCTTCTTCGGCTTTTCAATCTCCTGTTTCCGTCGCACTATACTAATCCCCTCTATATCTGAACAGACTGAAGGTGTCGGCACGGTTCGCTCACATGCTACTGTCTCCGCGCGACCTGAGGATAATTCCAACTTCATCGATCTGTCCAATCTCGACACTACTAACGAGTTTCCTAATGGATACCAGAACGGATATCAGGCAGGGTACCCTTACGAAGACGATGGCGGGTTGAGCAGTAGTGAGGAAGACGAGGTCGACGACGCGGATGGGGTACGATCAGGAGATGATTTCATAGTCAGAAACGCGCAATACCAGAGTGAACCGGAAGAAGACCGCTTCGAATCGGATTCTTCTTCTTGTTACTCTAATTCTGACGCGGAGATTTCTGAGGAAGATGAAGAGGGTTCTCAATCAGAAACATCGGGATCAGAGGATGGCGAGGACCCTGAAGAAGTGGATGTTCGAACCCCTACCCTCCCAACTGAACTGAGTCCGATGACGACGCCTACTGCATCTAATACAGGCGCATACGCTCTTAACGCATCTCACACTCCAGAACCTCCCATCTCGTTCTCTGCGTTGTACACCCCTCCTGCCTCTGCTCCTGCATTTTCGCAATCAAATTCCTTCGAGGTGACTACATCACCTGCTGGAAAGGAGTCCTCGCTAGATGCAACATCGCCCATTCAAGCTCCATCTATGCGTAACCCACCGCCTCCTGCGCTTGATCTTACGCCTGTGTCGCCGGATGGCATACTAGCTAAATCAGACTCAGTCACCCCTACCACTGGGAGTGCCTACCCTTCGGCTTCCACTGTTGCATCTTCCCGCTCCCCTGTTAGCAAATTCCGCCTATCTCCCACCAGAGCAGCGACCTTTTCCGGGAGCACAGGCGTTCGTTTAGGAACCGAAACACCCTCCTCGTTCTTATCCCAAGATCCAGTTCCTACTGCCCCCAAAAGTGCTGGACTATCAAGTATACTCCCTCGGATCCCGAAACCCAAGTTCCCCAGTCGCAGGAGTACGAGTGCGAATATTACCTCACCTCCGTCTTCTCAAGGTCCTGTTTATGACTTAACGGAGGATGTTCCTCGGTTACCCTTATCCGCCGCTTCTACTTCCGGGGCCCATCCAACGAGGCCAAATGTACTTTCATCTTCTCCGAACGAATCTGCTAACGGGAACATCACAGACCCTGGCGAGTTAGAACAGAACTCAGCAAAGAAATCGCGTTTCCGGAAGAGTTGGAGCGGAGTCCGGGTACCAACACGGCCACGGCGCTCGTTGTCGATGGACTCCCCTGTTTCTTCCAGCTCGGCATCGCCTTTCTCAGGTACCACGACATCACCCGGTTCAACGTTGGGTTCACCTCCTCAAGGGGAAGCAATAGAGCCGACAGTAAACCAGGACGCGGCTACACAGACTGCGATGGGCAAGAAGGTCAAGAAACCTGGCAAAGCTACCAAGAAGGACAAAGGCAAGGCGAAGGAAAAAGGGAAAGTGAAGGAGAAGAAAGAGAAAGAGAAAGATTCCACTAAAACTAAGAAAACGAAAGCATCCGCTTCTGGCGAGAAGTCCAAGGTTAGGAGAAAAGGCGAAGGAAAACGGAGGAAACGTCCTGCATATAGCTTTGGTGGTGGGGAAAGTAATGATATCGTCGGAATTGTGATGTTAGAAATTCAGAAAGCAGAAGATCTACCCAAGCTGAAAAACAGTAAGTCACTCAACTTTTCAGGCCTTGGTCGCGGCCTATATATCGACGCGCTCGTACTCATGTACGTGTTTTGTGTTTCTGTGTAGTGACACGAACCGGCTGGGACATGGATCCCTTCATCGTAGTTTCTTTCGGGAAAAAAGTGTTCCGCACCCGCGTAATCCGGCACTCGCTCAATCCATCCTTCGACGAAAAACTACTCTTCCACGTTCGGCGTTACGAAACGAATTTCAAGGTACGTCACTCATATCCACGTGGAAGCATCGTCTGATTGACTGGCTATCTTTTTCTTATACCACCAGGTTCATCTCACCGTCTTAGACTGGGACAAGCTATCCTCCAATGATTATATCGGCGAATGTGACTTTGACGTAAGCGAGTTAATCGTAGCCTTTGAGGATGGCCGGGGTGTAGATCCAGAGACGGGGTTGTATCCCTTGGACGACGGTCAAGGGAGTGGTTCAAGTGGGATGAAAGAGTTTAAACTTCCGGTGAGGACAGCTAAGGAGATGCCTTGGGAAGCCAAATATCACCCATTTATTTCATTGAGGTATGAATAAAAATCCTTCCTTTATACTCAGTAGAAGCACGCTCAACTCATCGGCCCCTGTACTCTTCAGGGGAAAGTATCAACCTTATGCTGCCCTGCGGCAACGCTTTTGGCTGCAATATCTCAAGCAATACGACACTGACGATACAGGCATGCTTTCCCATCTGGAACTCACATCGATGCTCGACTCTCTAGGATCGACCCTGACTAACGCTACCATCAAATCTTTCTTTACTCGGTTCAACAAGGATCCATGGCAAGAGGAACTTACGATGGCAGAGACAATACAATGTCTCGAAACAGAGTTAGGCCGACCCGAGAGCCAGAAAAAGAGACTCGGCGCTGATGATGGAGGATACGAGAGCTCTGTTAGCGCCACCCCAGTGATGATGCTTGCAGACAGGAGGGGAAAAGAGCTTTCTCTTGAACAGCTGGACTTCTCTGGCCCTCCGTTGAGCGCAATGATAAGCCCTGGACTACCGGATGCAGAGTTTCTAGAGTCTGACAGAGTGCCTGCTCCCAAGGCCTATGCGATGGAAAACGGTGCACAGCAGCCGTTAACACAAGCCGCTGCAGGAAGAGAGGGTGCAGAAACAAACGCGAGCTCCAGTTCAGCAACGACTCCTTCTGGCGAGTATGACGCATATTATGGCAGTAGCTCATACTTGTCCTCTGATGCCGATATGGATGGGTTGATGGAGTATCCTAAGAATGGTAGTAATGTAAAAGAAGTCGTTTCTCGTCCGGCTGTCTCGTCATCCTCGACTGTCCCTTCGGGAACAGCTGCTCAACTTCCCAGTAGTTCTGTTACATTTGCCCTAGCACCACCACCATCATCAATCGCCTTCTCTCATTCTTACTCTAGTTCCACCAGCGGTACCGCACCTCCTACCACCTCCGCTGCCACAAACCCAAATCTCGACTCCGCAGTTGAACGTGTGATCAATGTCCAAACTTGTCCACTCTGTCATCGTCCGCGGTTGAACGCAAAAGCCGAAGTTGACATCGTCACACATCTTGCTATCTGCGCATCGCAGGATTGGAACAAGGTCGATCGAATTGTGGTGGGTAATTTTGTCACTGCAAGTCAGGCACAGAGGAAATGGTATACGAGGATCATCGGAAAAATGAGCAGTGGGAATTACAAGCTGGGCGCAGTAAGTGTTTAAATTTTCCCCAGAATATTTCTACTTACCATGTAGGATCATGTAGAATTCCGCCAATATCATTGTGCAGAACCGGTCAACGGGACAACTGGAAGAAGAAAAAATGCAGGTATACGTACGGTTGGGGATCCGTTTACTTTACAAGGTAATTGGCTCGTGAAAGAGCGTTTAACGTTGTTGAGCTGACTCTGTTGTTCTTCATCATAGGGAATGAAATCTCGCATGGAAGGTTCTCGCGCTCGACGTCTCCTCAAATCACTTTCAATCAAACAAGGTGTCAAGTACGACTCTCCGGAAAGCGTTCGGGACATTTTACCATTCATCCAGTTTCATAAACTTGATATGAATGAAGTGAGGGACCCGGTGAAGAGCTTCAAGACCTTCAATCAGTTCTTCTATCGGTGGGTTTTATTTCTATTCTTGAAAATTTGATCTGCGACTTACGCTTCGTACCCAGGAAACTTAAACCTGATGCTCGCCCTGTCGACTCTCCTTCGGACCCTTACCGCATGGTCTCTGCCGCCGACTGCCGATTCATGGCATTCGAGTCTGTGAGTGAGGCGACTAGGCTCTGGATCAAAGGGAGAGAGTTTAGCGTTGCAAGACTTCTAGGGAATGTTTACAAGGTGAGATTTGATTCGCGTAGTAGGACGTATCCTCAGTCTGCCGCCAACATTCTTCTTCGATCCAGGCTGAAGCAGAACGCTACAATGGCGGTGCATTGGCAATTTTTAGACTTGCTCCTCAAGACTATCATCGATTCCATTCTCCTGTGGATGGGAGGATAGGAAATATGACGTACATCGCTGGCGAGTATTATACTGTAAATGTACGGCAAGTCCTTCATCTATGCACGAAGATTTTACTAAATCATCTCATCCAAGCCCCAAGCCATCCGCACTGCTCTGGATGTGTATGGCGAGAACGCTAGGAAAATCGTACCGATTGATTCGCCCCAGTTCGGACGTGTAATGGCCGTCTGTGTAGGCGCGATGATGGTCGGGACCATACAAACTACAGTCGAGGAGGGCCAGTGGGTCAAACGTGGGGAAGAATTTGGTTACTTCGCGTTTGGCGGCTCAACCATCGTGTTATTGTTTGAACCGGGTGTGCTAGAGTGGGATGAAGACCTAGTGATAAATGGTCGGGCAGCTTTAGAGACTTTAGTAAGAGTTGGCATGGGATTGGGAACAGGTCTAAGGAAAGGCATTTCATAGCGAGAATTTCGATCTATATGCCTTGCGATACCTGTGTATTCACCGACAACATTCCTATGTACACATTCCTATGTACACGCGGATGTAGACTTAATTAAAGGCCCTGTTCGGGAACCCGAGTCAAACTTTCCCTGCTTTACACTGCGGGGATGAGCCCATTTTCTCACCCCAAAAAGGCTGAAATTAAGTATTGTGGGTTTTTGTACAGTATTTGGACCACTTTGTTCCTTCTTGTCCGCTTCGCTGGCAGGCGCAGTGGGCGCAATTCACTGTCTTTCTGTATGATTCCTTTGTAAAACAATCCTATCTACATATAATACATGATTATCACCAAGAAAAGCCACACAAAACAAGAATTTCCACTATCTGTCAATAACCAATCCACGTGAAATCATTCTCGCGCAGAGCAACCAGGCGGCGAGGGAATGACTAATACAAGTGCCGAGCATACACCTGAAAGTCCTCAGACCCCATTCAGCCTTGATAGCATCGAAATACTGATTGGAATTGAGAAGATTTGGGTTTTGTAGGCGGACACGGTGCTGGACTTCATGCCAAGCATTCTCGATGGGGGAGAGGTCAGAAGAGTTGGCGGGCCAAGGAAGAATGGTAGTAAAGTGTTTGCTGAACCATTTCATGGTCTTTTTTGACTTGTGTTTACTGTCATTGTCTTGCTGGAAGAAGAAATTATCTGGGTGATGAGGTGGAAGTTTGGCAAGGAAAGGGAGCAAGTTGGCCTCAAGAACTGCAATATGTCAGATAGTAAATACTCTCAGTTGGATGTAAAACAACTATATTTGGTATTTGTCAGATAGTAAATACACTATATGTCATGAGCATGGTATGGGGCTCACCTCAGTTGGATGTAAAACAACTGAGTGAGCCCCCCATCCTCCGTCCGCTGGTGGCTTATAAACTGTACAGTGTATATGTAATTGGACAGAAGCAAAATGAATGGTCAAAGCTGTGGACTGTGCGTATGTGGTGCGGAGGTAGACTCTAACACCCCCCCTGCTCTGCACGATAACGAGCTTGCCTCGTTTTTGTGTGAAAGAGAAAGGAAGGAATCTAATGGGCACTCCAACCAACCAATCTAATACACAATATGCGAGTTCACTGCTATCAAATTTATTTAATAGCAAGGGGTAGCGTTGGCAAAGGTTCCGCAAAGCTTTGAGAGCTAAGTAAGAAGCTTTAATCAATCAATTTGAATTGTTCTAAGGATTCAATATATTCCTTTGATCAAGGTAGGTTCAGCACGATTTGTGCTTTGATTGTATTCATATGGGTATATCAAGAATTGGGGGTTTGAATCAAAGTAAATTAGAACCGAAACACACAGACCCCTACGGAGGGCTAGAACTATGTGCTGGCACAACCACACAGCATGATTTGCCCTTAAGACCAACGACTGATCCTAAGTTCGAAGAATACCCAACAACTGGATATACTTCTCGCAGTCACAAGGAGCAGAACACAATGTTCCTATACTCACAAGTGCTGGGCCCGAATGGCTGCTAGCGAAGAGGTTTCAGTCTGGCAGGAGTGTGTCTTTCCTTTTTACGGATTAGCACTGCAACGTCGTCCCAAAATCACTTGTATTCCAGATACATCGGATCGCTATTTATACATACAGAATATAGAGTCGCCCAGTACAATTAATTTAATACAATAAACGTTCGGAACCACAAGGAAACTTCTACACTCGGTCAGATACCATTTAATTTGAATCTACATGTCCTTATTTGGTCCATAATGGTTCCAAGATTCAAGTATACCTCCAAACATAGGTAGGTACTTCGTTATTCATTTAATTGAATTGTTTTGGAGAATGACTCGAATGGTGTTCAACTGTCATTGCTGTTCAACACTTACTTCGATCATTTGTCACCTCGTCCGGAGGCAAATCAGCTCTCCTCGATTCTAATCCTATCAATCTGATTCATCTGGATTAAACTAATTGCTTCTCTCTTTCAATAGACACCCAATGTGCCTATACTCTATCAAGGGAGTTACGCATAGTATTCATTTAATTGCATTCTTCAATATTTTCTACGTCAGGACTCTTTGACATTCATTTGATATGTCTTCGGAGCCTCGCAGTACTTTGATCGTTCTACTAGTCATTTTCCTCAACCATGCAACTTGATTGGTCTATTAGACTAAATCGCAGTCTTTTAGATTAATGCATGATCTCGTTCTAGAAGGAGTATTTGATAATTCCTGAGTTCTAGAAAGTCATTTCGAGTCAATCCTCGGCTCATGGTCACTTGAGTAAGTTCTTCCAAACTCCTGCCAGTGTAAGGTCCAATAAGAATACCCTTGGTATGTCATACGTGAATGGTCATCCTTCGGATGTAGTCCGAGTCTGGTATAATCCTGCTTGACAAACAGGTAGACTGTTATCCGAAGGTAGTATCGGGGATGGGTAAACTAACCAACTTGTGGTAGTATGGGTATATGGTCCCTTCAACTTATTAGACTGATTCAGTATTGACTTTGACTGTCAATCTGGGTCTCAATTACAGTCCTCTCGATACAAATCTATACGTGAAAATGTCACAATTCACAGCATAGACGTCTAGCCAAAATTTAGGCGTGTCATCCCCCCCAAACTAAAGAATTTGACCGTCCTTGGTCATTCGTAGTTTTGTACAGGGAAAGGATACCCAATCTGTTATTAGATTGATTCGACAAGACTATATCTCCTTTTAATGTAATTCACTGGGTTTGGATCTCTACTTCTCCGTGCTTTCCAATCAATTTGGATGCCCTCAAATGGGTTTCTAGTGCTCATCTTATCCATTTATTCACACACCTGCTACAAATCGTAACAGTTTAGCGCTCAATTTGAATTGAATACTTTTTCGGTATTCGTATCACATTTTGAAATTTTATTTCACAATCTTTTCATCATCTAGTCACAGAACGAGCTTCCATTTCACGGAGAGCTGCTCTGACGTACACATTGATTCAGTGTATACGTTTATTTGGTTCGGGGCATGGGGTTCAACAATTTTTCTCGTTGAAGTCCATTTTCTTCCCTTTTACTTTTTTCTCTCATCTCATTAATTCAAAATGGCTTCAACCTCGAGTCAAACTCGGGCTGTAGCTTCTTCCACGCGTTTACCAACCTCTTTATTAGAGGCGCAAGTCCTTTTAGCGAGCACTCAAATCAAGTCTACGCTACCATTGTTTTTCGATAGCTCAGTCTTTTGGCGTCTTCAAGCTGGCGATTATCTTCCTCAGCATACTCCGGATTACGATGGGTCCAGCACTTTTCCAGCATTCTCTTATCCTCGCGCATTGGTCCCTTTTTGTTTTCCTATCGGGACTTCACGTCCCTTGTCTGTAGCATCAGGCCTGGACTTGTTCTGTTCGGCCCAAATGGCCATTCGAACGTTACAAGTTTTACTTGAAGATCTGGCTCCAACAGAATCCGAGGGAATATATAACGTTTTTGAGGAGGCGGCACCTTTCTTGGTGCATCTTTCACTTCCTCTTTCGTTTCTGATTTTCATTTAATACCTCCTTCTTTTTAGCTTTATCTTTGCGACTTCTGGATGGGCCGAGCAAATTGTCCCTTGTTTGCGGAACATATCATTCTCACTGCTGAGCACTTGTCTCACAGTCTCCCTGCCTTCTTGAGGGATGATTTGGAGCAGCAATGGGGAATTCCCCCTGAACACCGTTCTCCTGGTTTGGTAAGTACATCTTTTTCTCCCATCCTTTTTATCTTATTAATTGGATTCACAGGGCGTCCTCAATCTTGAACAATTCCCCGCCATTCCCATTCCGTTTTGTTTGCATTTTTGCGAGGGAAGCGCCATCATGTGTTTGGTGCCTTCCAGGGATCTAGATCCCTTTGCCTCACTACGCGGTCAAGGCGTTTTTTCCGGGAATCCATCAACCGTCCCCCCTTCCAATACTTCTGAAACTCTCTCTCCTCCTCTGGTCACTAAAGCACCAGTGGTGCCCCCTAGGGCACTTAGAAGGAATTGTGAGATCGAGGGTCTCAAGGCTGATGCCTCCACGCTTCGTGAGTATTAGTTTGATTTCTCAATTTCATTCTATTTATTCATTTTATCTTTATTTGTTTTATTTTTCAGTTTCTTCACCTCGTCCTACTCGTTCAAAAGACTCAGATAATGAGCTTTTAAGCGGGCTCCCGTCTGTAGGTTCAGCTCCTCGAGCCTCTTTGTCTACCAAGGTTCCCGTGGGCAGGAAGGAGCCTAAATCCAAAACTACCATTAAGGTAGTTGAAGATTCTAAAGCCTCCAATTCCCCTTCTGCTGGTATGGCTTATAAAAGGGTTCGACTTCCTCCTCGTTCGAGGAAAATCACACCAATTACCGCAAAAGGCAAATCCTGACAAGTAGTTGTTTCTGATGACGACTCTGCTTCCAATGAAGTAGAGTCTGAAGATGAGGAAGAAGATGAGGATGAGGAGGAGGACTCTGTGCCTCCTCCAAAACGCCTAAAAACGACATCTTCTATTTCTGGTAAGACTTTATTCTTCATTTTATTTCCTCTTATTAATTCAATTTGATTACAGCTTCAGTGCCACGTCGTTCAGTTAAACAAGTGTCCATTCCTAAACGAGTTCCCAAGGCTGCGGTGAAGCCCGCTCCTGAGCGCTCCCCGAATAGTACCTTTCAACCGGTGCTATTGGCAGATGCTCAAGGACGCCTCCGGCTTCCAGAGCAGTCAACTGGGAACTTCACTCCCTTCCCCAAATTTGCTCATGCCAGGGTAAGTCGTTGTTATTCAATTTAATTCATTCAAAATGCTAATTCTTTTAATTTAATAGAATAGCGCTGCCTTAAGCCGAGAAAACCCCCTGCTTGCCATTAACCCTGACTTCGTCGAGCTGGGCTCCATTTTGGAGACTCAAAACGCTCGTTTCACGATGCAGGACTTGATGCAGGTTAATCGGGTGATTTGCGACGTGAGTTTACTTTTAAATGTCTTATTTTAATTTAATTGTTAATCATGCTTTTATTTCATGTAGCCTTCCATTCCCAGTCAAGCTTGCGTTTCGGCACTTGCTCGAGGGGATTTGGAGGCAAATTCGGCTCCTCTTCCAGGATATAAGTGCCAGGCCTGCTCCTCACGGAGTTTAAAGTGCTTGGGTTCCTTGGACGTGGAACTGGCTATGGACACGCTCAATGCGCTCCATAAGGCCTCAACTAGCAGTACGCATAGTAAGTTCATTCTATTCTATTTGATTTGATTTATTTAATTTGATTCATTCGATTTATTTAGATCTAGCCACCTCATTATGATGAGCCACTGACCTCAACGATCAGTTGAAACAAACCGGGTCACTTTTCGACACCACGCAGGACCTCTTCTTGCGATCCATCTTGGATCTGCAGAATGCAGGGGAGGACCCCGTCGTTGTGTTAGAGGCACTCAAGGCTGCCGAGCCCAATCGTCGGCCAATTACTTTGAACGAGTGGACCCTTATGGCCACTCTGTTCCGTTGGCCCAGTCCATTCAATTTGAGTGGGCTGGACTTCGACAATCGGACTCCTGGTGAATGGATCGAACTGCTTCGCAGCATCCATTCCGGGGAATCAACGGCGCATATCGATGACAAAGGGCACCTGGTCGAGTCCTCCCCTCCTCCGGATTCTGCTACCGAGGTCTTGGAAGGCCTCAACGAAGTTGAGAAGGGGTCGGTGGACGAGGGCACCAGTAGCCAAGTAGGGGGATCCATTCCAATGGAATTGGATCTTCCTTCGATCAAGAGTTTGGCCAAGCCAACTCTGTCTCCTGAAAAGGGAGCAGAGCAAGCGCAGACTCTTGAATCGTAGCTGGTTCCTTGGGCGT